AACAGAAATCGGTGTTAATGAATCTATGAATCTATGATGGCACTTGCGCCTCACATCGTGGCCGTGCAGCTAGTTCTTAGGAAGATGATTTGATATACGATGTGTGACTGACTGGAAGAATGAGGGTTGTGACTCGTGAGAACGCCTCTGATTGTGATTGCAAATATGCAGGATTCCAGCTGATTAGATTCGATCTAATGTATACTCGAGTAGATACTAGACAGACCGACCGACCGACCGACAGACAGACAGAGGTAGGTATGTAGTACTCGACTGGTGGACTACTCGCTAAGAGATAATCTTGAAAGCATTACGACTTCTCGACGGATATCCTTACGAATACAATCCACTTGCTGCGTAGGTACAGATGGTATAAAAGTCTTTCACTCATATCGTTTAATAACCTTATTACAGGTAATATCTTGCTCCATTCCCCATCCCTACCCCCCGTGTTCATTATCAGGTAAATCCATAACCGCATTGAGCTATCTAATCGTAAAACTAGTTACAATCCAAGGACAAGTGGGTGTTTGTCTGATCCCGCGTCTAAAATCATCCAACCTTTTGAGTCGTAGAAGCTTTGGAAGAAGACGGAATAGTTTAGCCTAAGAGGAAAAGCCAAAGTTTGTAGATAGACAGTCTTATAGTCTTATAGTCTCATAGTCCCTACATTCCATAGATCAAACCTTGAAATCCTCGTACGCGACAACTCTCATGGCTGTTTCATCACTCCGCGCTTCTTCCCAGAACTTCCAATGATCTCGTCTTCTCCATCTCCATCACAGGATACTTTCTCTACCTACCGCTTTTCGAATATCAATGTCTCTTGACAGTGGATCAGAACAAGGATTATAGATCAAGCAAGCAAGCAAGCATTTTCATTGTCCTGCGACCGAATTACCAGGGGGTTTCAAACCTTCCCTCACACGAATTGGCTGCGAAAAGAGTGCGGAAAGACGGACAATTCTAGGATCTATCTTCACCTGTTCATCTACATGCTTCCGAAAAGAGTTATTGTGAAGCACTGAGCAGACCCAGAAGAGCATTTGGTGCCAATTTCATCCGCACGAACCACCCGCGCGATAGAACGGAAAGTGTTCGAAGTACGAAGTATATTTATATATTTATTTAGGATTTGTGATAGAGATATTGACGGGTACCTGAAGGCTGTGCAGTGTGTAGGGTGCACACGAGATAATCTATCAGAACCCTGGGTTTATTGGGCCCTGAAAAGAGGTCATCGGCGGATAACAGGGGGAAAATGGCAAGAAAAAATGGCCTACAGCCGCTGACGCTGGAACCCGGTACAGGAGGAAGAGTTAATGTTAATGGTACGGAATTTATTAACATTCAACAAAGTCCAAGATCTCCTTTGAGTGCCAAATCCCCAAGATCACCGAGATCTCCCTTCAAATTTAACACAAAGAAATCACAATCACAACAACAGGCCCGAAGTCAAGCTCAAGAACAAGAACAACAACTTCAACTCCAACAACAACAACAACAACAGCAACAGGAACAACTCCACCTCCAACTCCAAGAACAGGGACAATATCAAAGAGACGAAGCTTCTTCTATGCAAGAAGTCTATCCGCAGACATCCGAAAAAGATTCATCCATTACCATCGGCAGTGGAAGTGGAATATCAACATCGCAAACTCTTCCTTCTCTTTCTTCATATCAATCTTCCCCCTCTCCACGGACTCCAGATAAGGGCGTCGGCATCAAGGAAAAACCTTCGCGAACAGGATTCTTTTCAAATTATAAAGCATCAAAAAGTGCAAGTAAACTTCAATCATCTTCTTCATCAAATATACCGCGCCAAGTGAATGTTGTCGAGGACAATAATATGTCCAGAGACACAGACCGCCCTGCGATGAGCGGAAAGGTTTCATCACAGGACACTAAAAGAAGTGGTACGACCCATTCTGTTTCGTCCCTTCCTCTTCAGACAATGATGTTGTTGGGTAATTAATCCATGCTAAGTGATTCACATAAACTAATCCTTTTCAAAATAGAATCAGGTCCTACTGGATCTTCATTAGTTAGAAAACCGGTCGGGGTTCAGTCAAGATCTGACGCCTCGCTGGCATCATCAACGAACGACTCCCCACAACAAAATTCCGATTCCAATTCAATCAATAATCGAAAGAATAAACCGAAGCAATTCAGTCTCCTCGGTAGAACTAGATCATTACGAGATGATAACAGCCCCGCTGAGCCCTCTCCGCCAAAAAATAATTATTTGGATCCTGATTTATCTACCCATCAATACACTCACACAAGTTCTTCTGTGAAGACTACAACACCGGCTCGAAGCGACGACGATAGAAATTGTAGGGAGATGTCGACTCCAACTAATCATCGACAACGATCGAAAGACCGTCAACACAGCCGCTCGAGAGAAAATCGTGGAAAGGATTCCGTGAGAGAAAATACAAAGGAGCACACGAAGGATAATGGCAGAAATCAATCATCCTTCTCTACAACATTCAAAGAGGCCGGCGGACATGCATTCTTCAACAACATCAAATCACAAGCCACAAAGGGAGCCGGAGCAATACACAAGAATCTATTCGGAAAGGGAGGACGGAGTGGTAGCTCTACACATAAGGAACCCTCGGTCGATGATGAGCATTATGTTTTAAAAGTCATCAATAAGCCACTTGTCGAGCAAACTCGACTCACCAGAATATCAAAGAGATTGGAGGATTCAAGGGATAAGACGGAGTTCTGGATGCCATCTTTCCCTTGGAGAGCGATTGACTATTTGAACTACAAGGGAAGTGATGTGGAGGGACTTTACAGAGTACCTGGAAGCGGACCGCAGGTTAAAAAGTGGCAGAGGAGATTTGATGAAGGTTTGCAGATTCTTTCTTTGATGATTCCTGAGAATACACTAACATGCCGCTAGAGCTTGATATCGATCTCTTCGAATGTGATGACCTCTACGATATAAACATCATTGGCTCGATGCTTAAAGCATGGCTTCGCGAACTCCCCGACGAACTGCTTCCCAGAGCTGCACAAGATCGAATTGCTAGAGAATGTGCGGGCTCTGAGGAGGTTCCACAACAACTTGTCGAAGAATTATCTAACCTTTCTCCCTTCAATTACTACCTCCTCTTCGCCATCACTTGCCATCTATCTCTACTACTCGCCCACTCCGAAAAAAATAAGATGGACTTTAGGAATTTATGTATATGCTTTCAACCTTGCATGAAGATGGATGCATTCTGTTTCAAATTCCTTGTTTGCGACTGGAGAGATTGTTGGAAGGGCTGCAAGACTGAAGCAGTATATATTGAACAGGAGTATATGCTTTTTGATCAGATGCCACCTGGAAGTGCTGGTGGACGAAGTAGCACTGCTGTTGAGAGTCATGACGAAAGGAATGTTAGCAGTTCTGACAGTAGCAAACCATCGAGTGTCAGCCTCGAGAATCAGGGCCGAAAGCATAGCCATGAGAAGGGACGAAAAGCCAGCGGCGAAAAAAATCAACGCAGAAGCCCGGATAGCGAGAGAAGTCAAAGACAGATTCAAGTTGAGAATTACAGGGAGGGTGCCATGAGTCAGAGCAATAGCATGAACAGTATCGATACTGTCAGTACAACTTTGACTGTTATACAGGCGACGCCGCCTCGGAATGGGGATATGAGACCATTAAGTCCTATCAAACCACTCTCTCCTATTGGCTTTTGAGTTTCTTTTGCTCAAAATTACAAAACTAAAGAATTTAACAAACGGGCTTTTGAAAAGTCACATCAAAAGGTCGCAAATCATCATAATTCTACCTCTACATATTAGGGCGATGCAAGTTTCTCACAAACTCGTACGAACTAAACATACAGCGACAAAATTACATTTTCCTCGGTCGATTTTTTCATTGCTTACGAACTTTGGTAAATGGAATGGACTGAATGCATTCAACGAATTTCCTTCAGTATCACGCACAAAATACCGATGAGATCTATTCTACACACATTTCTTGACGTTCATTTTGTTCGTTCATGCAACACAAGTATTTCCTTTTTTCCCATTTCAATTGAATGGAATGGTTTTTTCACAAAATCTTCATGCGTGCTTGTTTTGTTGAATACCCCCAGCGCAGCATGTTTGAATCTTGACGGCACAAAGCATATAGCACAGAAGGCGGGTTTAATAATGGATGGATGGATGGGGTATGGGATTTGGAAATGGATTGGTGGTATATGGAGTGGATTGTTACTTTGATTTTTTGAGGGATTATAAGCGTGGGGCGTGATGGAGATGGACGGATGGATGGAGGCTGGAATGAATTGTTAACAAGTTTCGAGATGAATCAGGAGGCGCGAATTGCTTCAGGTCCTCGAGACCGGCTGGCTATCAGGCACATGGGAGATGAGGATGAGGGAGAGGGAAGCAGGACTTGTTTGTACGATAGGAGAATATGTTATGTTTGGAGCAAAGGAGTCCAGAGACCATAGATTACCTAGCTAGGGTCAACGAGTGCATTGGGGGACAGTCTGAAGAGCATCAGAGATCGTGGGCATGGATTTGAAAGTAATGCCATGTACCATTTTGACTTTCAGTCTTCTTACTTTGATATTATCGATGTGATGTGAACTGATATAATCAAGGTTCAACACTCAAGAATGCTTTGAGACCGGTAGTGGACCGGGGGTAGATGTGGGAGAGGAACTAATTCTGCATTCGTATTTTTCTTCTGCTATTCATTGCGGGTCTTGCCATTTATGTCTTCTCGCATGAATTTGAATCGATCAATACCATTGCTATATGCTATAATAACTCTTGAATTTCTCAATTGGGTGTTCTTGTGATCTAATGTCTTCCGACGTAAGGTATAACACTTTTTCCTTTCCACAAGCAATGACTGCCCTAATAACGCCAATGATAATCCATTCCAACGCCATACAATGAAGTCCACCCACCATGAAATCATCCAACTTTTCCCGCACTTCTCCTCATCGCATGTGAGCTGACACTCAAATCCCAGCAGTTTAATCCCTCTTTCCTCCGTGATTCTTTCTATCGTTCCTCTCGTTCTTCCTTTGCATTCTCTCATTCCTCCTAACCTTTTCTTTTCTTTCCCGTCTTCCATCATTTTGTCTTTCAGTTCCCTCCTTTCTCTCGCGCTCCTTATTCTCATTGACCTCCACAATCCAATCATCTTCTCCCTTCTTGTTGATTCCCTTATATCCCCATTTGGGCACCCATTCGCCGGTAGATTCATCATATACAAGCTTCTTCTTGGCCTCAGCAGTCTTGGGTTTGATACCCTTTTTAGCTGCGAATTTTTGCCAGGTGGTTTGGGCGACTGGAGGAGGGAGAGGCTGGAGATGTGTTAGTATGTATTCACTGTTAATTGGGTCTCCAAATTGGAATCTCCAAATCGCGAGAATGCAAAAGGGAAGAAAAAATCGAAATCGCATAATTACCTTTTCACGAGGCAGCTTGGTAGCAATCCCAGGTAAGCTCAGCAATACACCATTGGGCGTCGATGCGATGGGACAGGTGCTCAACAATTGGTTCAATAGTGCTTGCGCGCCATCTCTAGCAGTCGCAGCTAGATCATCTTCGAGATTTGCGGAGGTGGTGAGGAGAAGCGGATTGGGGTCTTCGGCGAGGAGGAGACCGAGATCGAATGTGTAGGGAGTGGGTTTGTTCACTATGATGGGGAGTTTGGATGGTTTCTGGGGGGCGTCTTCGGACATGTTGGATGCGAGGTTGATAAATTAATTGAATGGGTGAAGATTGGATTTATTTTTCATAGAGGAGGAGAAATTGAGATTGAGATACCAGAGGAAATAAAATAAATTTTGGGCTGCTGCTTTTGCGGGAGGATCCTTGTGCGGCCGCAATTTAGCGCGGGATGTGTTTGATCCTAGTCGAGAAAGATTTCTGGAGCAAGAGAGAGGGACGACACGTCGAGAGGAATTAGACCCTTTGAAACTCACTGCAGCAATCGCAGATATGGCATCCTCGGGATGTTGGAAATGCCTCTCGAGGCCGAATACTTCGCAATTAATCCAGGGTAATCATGCGGCATTGCGACTTCCAACAATTGCAGCCACGGCGGGATTTTCAACAAGTGCGGTTATGTCCAAGAATCCGCTGGCTGCCAAACCAAAGGGCGCGTTTGGACAAAATATGGCGAGGGGTGGAAAGACTCTGAAGATCAAGAAGAAGCCGCCGCCTGTACGGACTGGAAAACCTCCCGCGGAAGGAGAGAGAAAGGCGTTGAGGAAGAGAATCGTACTCAGTAATACGAATGCGTTGGAAGTCGAACTGGAAGATTTAGGAATGAGCAATGTTACGAGTGAGGGATTGGTAGGAAAGGTGGTGGGATTGAGTGGGAGCACGGTGGATAGCTTAAGAGCGAGTGAAGCGTTTAAGATTACGCAGGGATGGAATTTATTTAGGAGGCCAGCGGTCTTGGTTCGGGAGGAAAGTGTTATTTGTGCGAAGGCTTTAGAAGAGGCGGGAGCAGAGAAGAAGACGGAGCGATTGGTGGTTGATGGAGGGAGGGTATCAGGGAAGAGTTTGATGCTTTTACATGCTATGGCTTCGGCTTTTGTTAAGGGCTGGATCGTCCTGAATATTGCGGATAGTATGTTATTTTATTTTCAAGGATTGCATTATGCTAATAAGATTTATAGCCCAAGAACTTGTCAACGCTTGCACTGAATATTCCCCTGTGCCCGATACCACGCCCACTCTCTTTTCCCAAAACACATACACCGCGGCGTGGCTGGGACGTATTGGCAAAGCCAACGAAGCAGTTCTTGACAAGCTCCAATTGTCACAAACACATAGTCTTCCAATTCCTCTCCAAGAAAACTTATCTCTCCTCAGACTTTGCGAACTTGGAGCTCAGGAACCAGAGCACTCTTGGCCAATATTCCAAGCATTCTGGAAAGAAATTACAGCTGCAGACCGACCTCCAGTTCTCATGACATTAGACGGTCTTCAATGGATCATGCAAAACAGTCTTTACCGAAATGCTGCATTCGAATTGATTCATGCCCACGATTTGGCTGTTGTAAACCATTTTGTGCAGTATCTCTCTGGAGAGAAGTCCCTACCAAATGGAGGTGCAGTAATTGCAGCTACATCACGTAGTCACGCGCCTGTATCGAAATCCACGAATCTAGCTATCGTGCAACAACTCAATCGACAATCGGAAGAAGAAATCACAGAACGTGATCCCTATGAGAAGAAGTACGATGAGAGAGCCGATAAAGCATTGCAGAAGGTACAGGTCATGTGGTTAAATGGGTTGAGTAAGCGAGAAGCGAGAAGTTTGATGGAATACTGGGCGCAGAGTGGAGTTTTGAGACAGAGAGTGGATGAGAAGACTGTGGCGGAGAAATGGGCGCTGGCTGGAAATGGAATGGTCGGTGAGTTGGAGAGGGGCGCGCTGAGGATGAGAATTTAGATGTTTATTTATTGGGCATGAATGAATAAAGTTTTAAATATGTATTATGTGTACAATTATCAGGCTTAGTCATATGGCTTATGTGGATAGATACGATATGGATCAGTGGTGTACGTGTACAGTGGAATAGTATGGTCGTTGCTCTAGACGCAGTGTTTACGTCGTTACTTGTTTTAGTAGTCCTTTGATGTTGATTTTCTGCGTGTAGGTAAGGCTAGCTTCGACACACTCATACAAGTAGAACTGATTCAGGAGAAAACCATGGGACCTTTAAGTGTGCAAATTTCAAAATATGTATATATACATACCTAATCTAAATCCTCGCACTCTCACAAACATCATCTTCATATCATAACCCCTGATCTGGCAGCATTCACGTGTTATTAACACGCTTTCTCCTTTACGAACCTATATTGTAAGATTGGTTTTCTCGAAGCCATTAGTAGGCATCTGATAGTGATGCATTTTTTGGCTGTTGGTTGGTAAGTGATAGACGGGAGTTCTCCTTGTGCTAGTCAGTTATCCTATTGCTGAAGATCGCGAAATGGATTCTTGGGCGTGTATTGGAAGTGTGTTATCTAGTTTGATAATGAATTATTTGGGGGATGAGAATGGAACTTTGGGGTTTGCAATGGATCTCTGGGGTTTGTAGTTGTTGAAAATGTCTGTTGTATATTTACTAATATGTAGGAGTGAGTATAAAGATAGATCCGTTCGTCTGCACAACATTTCCCACAGACTTTAGGCTCACCGTAGCCTTTTGTTATCTCTCATTGGGTTTCTCCTATGCACTACTCTGTTGATAACAGGAGACAAAGCTCAATAAAGCGTCTGTTTTATGGCAGTATACAGGTCCGGTCAAAGGATTCAATTTGCGTGATCATCTCATTGCCCCCGCTCCGATCCTAGAACCACATATATTTCTCCCAAGAAACCCACCGACATCTGCCAAACTGGTCTCCATAATTTCCATTCTAGTAGGTAGTACGCAAATTCTCCATCTTGCCCGTCTCGATTTCCAGAATCTGATTCATGTGCATTTCCACAGGCTCGGTGTATGTATATTTTGCCGCCGCCGTAGCACTAGACGAGGATAGTGAGCCCAATTATCTGATATTCGTATTCTCGGTCGCTAACAAAGCACGCGAAGAGGAGATATGGTCTAGCCAGTGATCAATAATCAGAAGGATGGGAATCTGCGAATTCATGGGTTGAGTAGAGTGCCAAACTATATTTCTACCGGGAATTACAAAGACTGCTTGGGTGCGCATTACTCCTATATTATGTGAAAATTTCCAACTGCCGTCTCCCCAGAACTCGATTGTTGGGTTGGGTATCATAAATGTAATACGTGTGAAGGTTTTGGATCAAGGCCCTTTTCCCGCTGGGTGAACATCCTAGCACGACTATCCTCGCGGAATCGATGGAGACGCTAGCGGTTTGCAAAATTACAAGCGCATTTAGGATAGATTTTGTGTCAGGTCTAGACAATCATTACACCTGCCGAATGGGTTGAGCTGTAAGCGATATAAAAAGTCCCTCCCGCGACTTGATTTATCTTTTGATTAACTGATTTGAATATCTTTTCAAATTATAATCGCGACACTGATAACGAGGCGATACTGTCTGTTCTGTATGCTGTCGTTTCCGGGTGATGAGCTGTGCCTGGGGATGGGTATGCGTTGTCACGCTAGATGACGTTGATATTCCCAATTCGGGACGGGTGATTGAGAGAGCGATCCTGGAAAGAAAAAGTGGTGGAATAAGGCTTGGATGGAAAGGCTCTTCATTCAACGGGTTAAAATTGGAGGCTAAGTTCTTGTTAACGACAGCTAGATTGGTCGAATGTGGTAACTCGTTGAGGGACAGGTTTGATGAAGGCGTTCGGGAGTGATGATATCGATGTTGTGCGGGAGGCAGCTTCTTCGGGTAGCTAAGTTCGCATTAAAATCTGGATGATAGTTGTGAAGGGGTAGAAATGAGTTTCGTAAATAAATATCCAAAGAATCTTGCATACTGAACAAAAGATCTAAGTTTAGAGCTGTATACAATATAAGTGAATCTGGAACCAGACAGACCTGGCGGACAACATCATCTTTCAACATCATATTCTGAGGGAAGGATATTTGGTGAAGGATATCCTTACCCAATTTCATTGATTTTGATTTAGATGTGATGCTTTGCATCTATTTGCACTTGATGGAAAAAGGAGAAATCTGGAACAAATTCATCTCTAGCCATGTCAATTTAGACGGCACAGATTTCATTTCTACAATTTCCTATCACAAGCTGTATAATTATCTCATGAAGAAACCTTCGATCATACCAAGACTCGACGAAGCGAGGCTGGCTAATGTAGCTTCGTATCTTACTCAAAGACTATTGGATGTGATGTTTATCCACAAATATGACCATGTTGTCATCAAGGTGATCTTCCAACAATCCAAATAAGCCATTGAATGTGAGCTTAAATCTTCAAAAGTCCTCATTTAATAGATGCCAACTTCAAAGTTCATCCAAATACATAATATCGAATATATAGCTTTATTGAATTTATTAGAATATTATCGTCTCTCGGTTTATAGATCATTCTCATCGGAAACAGAGTACGAACGTAAGATGGATACAAGACCCTAAAGGCTCTGTATGGAAACAAAGCTTTTTATCCGCAAATCGGTGGTTTTTTTCTATCTCATCTCTTTCTTGGGAGCATGATGAAGGTCACATGCACAGATGTGGCTCGTTTGTGTAGCTGCCAAGGAAATTAGAGAGACGAGTATGGATCGCTCTTCAACTCTCGCGCGCAGAATCCAACGTTTTCGAAATACAGTTAATGTGACATTTTCAATAAGGAGATCTGAAATAAGAAATGAGGGATGAGAAAGCTATTCCCTCAATCTTCATACAGGAAACCCGAGAGCTACTAGGCTCGGCAATTCTTGGCATAATCAGCGAGACACGAAAAGTCTCGTGAATAGCATCTTAGTAGAGATCAAAACTCCCAGAGAAGGAATTCGATGTGTGGCCAAATATCCATTGTAGTACTCAACCATCAAGTGACTGACAACTCTTGTGTTATGGCTGGGCAAAATATACGTGCTACATTCCCCAAGCATCAGCATCCCGCACACCACTCATTAAATTCCTGAATATAACCGCTTTAGCTCTCCAACCCCTACCATTTGCCCAACTTTGATTCAACTGGAACTCCAAGAGTCAGATAATTACATAATATCATGGTATGCGACCCAAGCTATGCCATGCGTCTTGGCATTACCCTGCATGTGAATTCAGGCTGAAAAATGTGCCGGATTATCCGTCTTATGCGCGACTGTTTGGTTCAAAGGAGGGGCTAAGAAGATGATATCCAAACCCCCGTTGCGAAAGTGATGGAGATTTGATGTACTGTGGTTGCGTAAATCGGCTATCCTCGGGGGAGGTGAAGGGTGGGAAAGTACTGGTGAAAGGGAAATGTAATTGTCGTGAATTCGGTTCGAGCGGGGTTAATCAAATTGCCAAGCTAATGTCAACGACAGCAAAAACATATGATGTAGAAACTGCTCAAAAACTATAACGTGTAATATCGCGTCATGTTTGGTATTTGATAGCTCATGGCCGAGATTTTAATGACGAATCAGTTTGATACTGTGAAGCACTTGCAATGTGTGGGGAAAAAAAGGATGTGACGCCAACGTACCACCCGGCCTGCCGGAAAAATAAATAGTAATGGAAGCAGATAAAACTTGGTAATATGGGGTGTAAGACTGGATAATCAAGGCGCGTAGAATCACATAGAACGAGCCAAGGTTAATTGGTACACGAAGACATAAGAAAGGATTTTAAATCATGCAGTCAATGTTGTAATACACCAAAACGAATATTTGTAACGCTTGAAAGGATATTCTCATTCTTTAGACTGCACTAGCTAAAGCATATAACATTTAAACTAGTTGTATATTAGCAAAAGTCTTTGAAGGGCTCCAATGACTTAGAGGATACATACCATAAACAAATCGTCCGTTGTGGTTCTCAATACGCTCAGCAAGGTTGACATCACGGCTGAACTCTTCGCCATCGATGCTGCGGAGGAAAGTGCGGAGAACTGGGACTTGTCCACCACCCTCAATGGAGAATGTGACGTTCTCAGCGCTGTGAGAGAAGTCTATATGAAGCATTAGAGAATGACAATTGAAGGATAAAGATAATTTCTTTTCGAAGATTATACGTACTCTCGCCATCCCAGTGAATCATGCCATCTTGGTTTCCGATGTATTGGTTGAGATCAATCTCAGCATCTTCCCAGTCACCGTTCTCGTTTCTGAGACGGGCTCTAAGGATGTGGTTGTCATCGATGCGGATATCTTCGGCGGAGAGGTGGAAAGACATTTTGAGTTATATAGAAGAGGTTTGTTTTTGTTTTGTGAAGAGTGTTTGGAAAGTGGTTGAGAGTTGAGAGATATGGAATGAGAAGTGAACGGGAGGAGAGGAGCAGATATATATGTGTCCTTTGTAGTCCGACCTTCGACTATGGTAACGCCTCAGGGTCTACCCCTCCGTGCATGCTTGCGGCAATGCAAAACCATCATCAGCCACTCATCGACGCATTTATGGAAACCCCCGCTGATATGCTAAGTGAATTTCACACATAAGGTGGCATTTCAATGGCTTGGCACCTCCTTGGCTCACACGTTTTCCACAAACATTGGATCAGAAGCTTCACCGTATGTGGCATGACCCGCTATGACCCACTTGATGTGGGGTAGGGTTTCGAAATGTCACCACTGCGGCGGATTCGGTGGCTATGAGTGATATGCATTACAGAATTCTAAGTCATAATGATGGAATACGATGGACAGACCCACACTAGCTTGTAGCTACCCTGGTCACAAAGTGGTTGTACCTGGATAGCCAACCAGTTTCGAAGAAGATTGAGAAGGACTTCGTGAGACCATGGAAGCTCTCAGAAACCATTGGCGTTAATGACTGACTGAACGAGGGTATCTCCTGAAGAATCAAGTAGTGTTGCATCACTCAGGGGTAATTTTACCGCTTGTGTGTCTGCACCTGTAGCAGAAAGAGCGCAAAGATAGCTTATGCCATCGATCCTTCAAATATCTTACTCGTGCGGCCAGAAAGTATGCAACTCCGGCGCTATGAAAACCAGGTTAGTCCTCTTGTAGTTTACCATCTTGTGGTATGTGCATCTAGCGTTGGAGTTGCATACTTTCTGGCAGCACGAGTACATTGCTCAAGGAAGTGGCACAGTCAAGCCACGTAATTCCTTGATGGATGGTCTCGTGTAACATGCTTCACACTCCGTACAGAATGCTCACTTGAGCTGTCACTCTGGGTCAGTAGCAATCTCAAACCATCTCAGTATGATTGCTCCAGAGTACACAATAACAACCCGCAGTTTAAAGTTCACAGCAACAGCGCATCGTTAATGAGTTACCTACTCATGTTTCAACAAAACTTGTACCTTAACATAGATATGTGCTAATCGCTGGTAGGATACCACGACTGTGTTCATTACCCCACTTCACCCCACCAGTGTATATTAATCATGTCGGAGAGGGGCACATGAGGTATACGATGTACGGAGATGTACTTTGGCGACGCTGAATGATTCGATGCAGTCGGTGAGGAAAAGGGGTCGAATCTGTAGCCGTCGACTCATTTCGATGCATTGTAGAATCGCTCTATCATCGAATCGAGCATCGAATCGAGTAGACAGGTATTAGTACCGCGGCTGAACGCAGCATGACCTTTGGATATCTAGTGGCCGAATACGTGCATTGTTGATCGATAAAATGTAATCTTACAAAAACAGTCTGCACAGAACGGCAGATGTTAAGTCCAAGTCTTTGGCGTTTTCTTCGAGTAGGGCTGTGGACGAAAGTTTCACTAAGTCAGTTTGCTGACTAAGCGAGCAACACTTTCATTTCCCTCAAACATCACTTATTATATCGCTCACAGCGCATTGATGGGACCGGCGTTCAATCAGGAATCCAGTGTATCACCCTAAATTTGCAGCACATTGCGAGAAGATCTATTTCATCTTTATGTTCAAGCGGAAACCATGGTGGTCATGATGAGCCTCAAAACTATTTACGAACAGCTTCTGAATTCCTCATTAACGATGGCGGACGAGAGCGGCAACAGAAATGTCAAAAGCCTCTACTTGAACGTAGGTAGATTAGACAGGTTGCTCTGCTATAGAGCTATCATAATCAGGCAATATATGCCCCCAGTTGTGGCACCGGTGTATCAAACCACCAGGCTGCAGTCCACAGCGAGAGAATTGTGAATAGAGGAGCCCTCTTGGATGTTGAATTTCTCTGGTCACTGGTTCTTCTTAGAATCATAAGAATATCAGAATGATTGAAAAACATCAAAGATTCAAGCTTAAGACAACGAATTCGAACATCAGTCCAAGCTACTGGGCACACTGCGTAGCGTATGCTACGTCAAAACTCGACATCGGCGAGGGCATTCGCCCGGAGAGAATTTCTCTGCGCCTGCGCTGTTTTGGAAGACTCCCATCCCAAATGCTTGGATCTTACCCAATCGTTATTTCCTCTAAAAAGATGTGCTGATTGTATGGAAACACATAAAGTAATGACAACGAAGCTAAATAACACGATTCTCCTGATGGACGGTGAGATTGTGAATGATTTCACAGGATCTATACAATTAGAAAAATAAATTCGGAGATCAAGATATAAATGCTCGTTTGGACTACAGGTCAACTGCAGATGTTCAGAGGATCAAGTGAAGCCACTGGGAAGATCAGAGAACATATCGTCAAGTTACGAATTTGTGATTTGCTTTCACAAATTACCTGCCGTTTTTTTCACGGATTTGATAAGGAAAATGGTTATAAATCTCTAGATCTTTACCAAGAATCATCTGGCTCGATGATAAGAAATCAGAAGCCATGCCTATGCATGTCCTGGGCCCCATCAAATACCGTCGTCTTCTTTCGTATTTCACGTCGGTAGTATATTGTTGGTAAAGATCACAGACTTCAAAGTATCATCCGGTACTAGATTAACATGATAGCCGGGCAATCTTGATCTTCAATCTCTAGAATTGCATTGCTCACTGTGTAATCGTGTCTGGACTCGACGGAACTTCCACTGTGTAATGTGAGAAATTGGGTCAAGTAATATCAGATATCATCTAACGTAAAGACATCTCAGTCTAGAATGGCCGTAAACTCTCATAATATTCCAAAGTGATTGAAAGACATCTTTCCTAACCATGCACTGGAATCACGCAAATTCAACTCGACTTATTAGTTTGTCCGCGTCTTTTCTACACAAATCAGCCAAGCCATACTCATTATTCCGCATACTTAAACTTGAACGAAAGTAATCGGTACCATAATCCAGATTATATACACGTGATGAGACGACGTGCTAAGGCCTTGAGTTCCTTCCTCATTTTGAAATTCGGATGGGAAGCTTATTCCCCATCTTTGATTCGCTCCAATGACTTTCCTTCTCTAACTTGTCCAATTTTTACAATCATTCACCGAAAGAGCATCAAGGAAATTTATTTCACAATTCGTGCCCTCTCTTTACCTCTCTCTTCCTCTTGTTTCTTCTATCAATACTACAAACTGCGATTCTATCGATATTCTTTTACTTCCCTTCAACTCTTGAGGTAAGTTCTTCAGATACGCTCCTAACAACCTTCCTTTGAGAAGGAAGCCCTTAACTCCTCCAAATTCACTTCACTGTTCGAAGCGAAAGTCCCCTCGATGCCGCCTTAATTAAATCCTTTCAAAAGCTTCTTTGGTTCTTACAACAATCAGGTCGCAAGTTTCATATGTACAAATTCTCTGGTTCAGTATACTGACTCTTTATTGAAAGTGAACCTCTTGAGGACTTATAAGATATTCCATGGGTTCTTGAGAATCTGCCACGACCTCTTTGTTGACAACCATCTTTACATGCCAGCCAATTTGGCATAACTGGAAGGTTTGTGTTTCTTCAACTATCCATGTTACTACTCTATCGGGTTGCGACTGCCGGCCACTTTTCCAGAATATACGAATGATTTCCGTAGCTTATCAACGGAACGGGCGCAATATTCCAGATGACCTTCCCTTTACGCTTTATTCACAGTTGTGAAGGGACTCGAACTCGAATTAAAGTGCCTGCCAGTCAAAAGTAATGCTAATCGTTTCCAAGATGCCCCCAAGTCGTGGAATGAAAGAGGCCTCGCAAGGCTCGGTACTGGAGAAGGGCGTCGAAAAGTTGTGTCAGGAACTCGATAGAATTTTCAAGGCAGAAGGCAGTGAAGAGTGAGATAGGTTTGCAGTATCGATACATCTATAGCATGCTAAAAATCAACAGAATCGCCGAAGACACTCTGGAATCAATCTACGATGCTCTGCACACGGCGAAGGCAACGGATGCCATAACTGAGACAGCTGTGAGAAGTCTTCTTTCAATATTGGAGAATGATCGCGGCGAGTTGTGCTGTCCTTTCGACGTGAAAGTTTTCTGTGTTATACTTGAAATTGCACTTAAAAGCGAGGTGTGTCGAGAAAGTGAGCGTGTTCTCGTTTTGCTTGCTGTAAGTACTCATACCACAAAGGCTGCCATTTTCTAGACACTGACTGCGTTTTACAGAAGGAACTTCACACCCAATCAATACCTCAGGAAACTGAGAGCTCCCACGGTGTTTTGGTCGAGATCGCAAAGCAAGTGAGCGTCGCTCGCCTTATTGAATACTTTGTCGATAAATCGAAGCCAGACGGAATGAGAAGATGGGTAAGCTACCATATGCTGATTTATTATGGGGATATGCTAACACATAAATAAGGTTGGTATCATCATGCAGCAGCTCTTAAGAGGCCCGGAGGCAGTTTCTGAGCAATTTCAACATACACCCGAGGACGTCAGGTGAGAAATCCCACATATGACTATCCACAATTAGCTGATACGTTGCTGGAAAGACGCAGCATTGGTCCCATGATTATCAGTGAAGATAATGAAATCCTCAGATTGATTTGTGGACGGGTTTTTGCGCTACTACTAAACGCTGATGTTCTGCCTGAAGAACTCTGCCCTGTAAAAACCGACAAAAGGGAATACGAGGATTTTCCAGTTGATTTGCAGAATTCAAATGAGTGGAAATCGCAATTCCAGCAGTGGGTAGATCAGAAGTGGCCCGATAATGAAAGCCAAACGTAAGTACATCAAAGATTGCCGCTTTTTCTGCCAGCTGATGACTTTCCAGACCACCGCATATGCTTTATTACAGTCTTAGTGTTGTGACTATACCACCATTTCGACTGGGAACATTGGGTGAGAGTATAGAGCTGGTTCTTGAAGACGGCTATATTCTTCTGCTGAAAAGCTCTACGGAACAAGAATTGGATCAAATACTACAAGTACCATGCAACTCTATCTCCCGAGTTTCTGTCATTGACAACTCTATTATTATCAACGAAAGAGAAGTTTACGATATTGTTTTTGACATCAAGAATGACCAAGAGCGATCTTCTTATCTGAATTCCCGACCTACCACTCTTCAACAACTACGTTTGACCACAGATTCAAATAGGAACGAATTAATGATCGATCTTCACGATGAATGTCCCGAAGCAGAATTCCAACCGGAGCGGGTTCAAGTGTCTCAAGCCGAAGATGATATACTAGTTCAAGGAAAGGGAAGTTCGCCAGATGCCGAGAGTTACGAACGGCCCTCGGAAGACGAGCATCAAGCAGCAACAAGTGATCCAATGACGTCTGAGTCCGAGGACGAAGCACTAGATACCCTGAATAACCTTGACTGTCAGGTTCACGGCGAAGATTCTCGACATCAAGCAGATGATAATATATCTTTGAACGTGCTTGATAATTTGGACCACTCCCAACAAAAATCGAGCAGAGATTATGCAGCGAACAAAGTCAAATTACCTGAGAATAGTGGTGTTTCGAGCTTCAGTGACTCACCTACGATGCCTACACATCAAAAGAATATCCCATCATTCGACGAAGCTTTAGGAATAGCCGACAGAAGTTCTGAAATAAGTGGTCGGACACTTCTTTTGAGGCAGGAAAGCAAATCTCGCTCTCAAATTTCTCAACCTCTACCGATCACCGAGATATCACCCCAAAAGATTGCAGCCAATGTCACCCTTACTGTCAAGACTAAAGGTAAAGTGTCTGCAAGTCTAAAAATCGGAAGAGAGGTACTCATACCAGAAGCACAACCAAGTACTTCTCAAGCACCACCGAATCAAAATACCAATTTGAAAGCTAGTAAAGTGTCAAAGAAATATGCTGTTAAACCCAAAACACCAATTGCGGGCGTGAAGAGCTTAAAAGTGATTAATCCTTTGCCAAATTTACCGGAGACAGCAATTTCAGCTTCTGCAAACGAGAAGAGATCCGATGAAGGATCTGCGCGAATCCAGACAAATATATATGATCTGCCTGAGATCAACGAAGATGGCGGAAGTGATTCAAAGACGGACGGTCAAAATAACCAGGGGACAAGAAAAAGGCCTGGCAGTTCAAAACAAAAGGGCAAATCAAGTAGCAAAGGCAAGGGAAAGAACACAAAGACCTACCAAAAAGCCAAGCCCGCCCCAACGGCAGTCGAGGAATCTGTAGTCGCGAAGCGGAGTAGCCAAAGAGCGGCTGCTAGTCAAGCCAAACTTAGCATGAGCAAAATCAACGACGACTTTGAGGAAATTGAAGATGATTTTTCAGATGGGAGAGACAATGAACCAGCGCAGCCCAATGTCTCGCGAAAGCGTAAGACGGCGGAGCAACCAGCTGAGCCAGCTTTTTCTGAGATCAAGTTTGCTTCAGTGCTAGAGTCGGCTGCAGAGGAAGATAAGGAAGCATTGGTTCTTCAGCAGCAAGATGCCCAGGTACTAAGTCTAGTTGATAACAGTCTCCCTCCTGGAGACTCATTCGCAGTTGATGATTTGTACTCTGCTAGTCCGCCGAGACAAAAGGGTCAACAAGATTACAATCAAGAAACCCCCACGAAACCTTCCCGAAAGACCGCAGCTGTGAATTTCGCCAGCCAACTGGATGATCTCCTGAGCGACGATACTAAGGGTGAGAACCGGATCCCTCACATCAAAGGTTTGAACAAGAGTCTCTTCAAGAAAAACTTGTCCCCAATTACACCACCAGAAAAGTCAGGAAACCTTCAGCATATTACATCAGAAAATAGATCGAGTATCATAAACAAAGACTTGTCAGAAACCGTGGTCGAGGATTCCAAATATTATAATAGTCGCGATGGCCGAGATGCAGATTCAGAGGAGCTACATTTAGAGGATGGAAATTTGAGCCAGCCAACTCAACGTGTTGAAGAAGTGGTGCGCGCAATTCCACGCGAGACGGAAGTCAAGAAAAGTCAAATGATCAAAAAGACAGAGGATCTCGAAAAAATGACAGACACTAAGCTTCATACCAGAGTAGGCGAGAAGATTATCACGAAGATGGACGAGTGTGTACTCACCACAGATATAATCGACCCAGTACTTTCAATTCCAAGCCACTCCTTAAGCATATCTTCGATTAACTCCAAGCAGGAAGCGATTCACGAACCAGTTGCTACAAAGGCTTCAGCTTCCACTGACCATCAAACTGAAAGTCTGCTAACTCTACAACTATCAGACGTCGATTTGGTCGAGGAAAAGAAGCGAAAGGTTGCAACAGAGATTGCTATACCACCCAAACGCCGTAGACAAATTGCGACAAATAACTCAGGAAGCCCTTCAATCTCATCATCTGGTCCCCGCGCACAAGAAAATGCACCTCCCGAAAGCTTGGCTAGCAATAATAGAGTTCTACTTGATGATCGAAGTATTCGCAAGCCAAAATTCATACACTTTAATGCTAAAGGTGCACAAAATCAGGGCTTTTCTGGTACGTCAATACCTGTTCCGAAACGAGACCCTAGGTTACACATCAAAACATCGAACACTGCGAAAGTCAAGTCGCAAGACATGGTAAACAGTAAACGAAGACATGATGATCATCATGACTCAGATGAAGAAAGTTTATTCGTTTCTCAAAGTCCACCCAGAAAGCGTCAGAGTGTTAGTCCGCCGAACGTAGCTTTGCCAACAGATACGCCGATCTTGGTAGATGGTACAACCAGTCCTACAATTCCCACAGCTCTTAAATCAAGCTCACAAGGATCTCGAGTGGATGCGTTTGGTAGCCCACAAGCACAACACATTGTACCTTCCATTGGTCATGCTCTCCGAGTCGAGCAAAGAGAGGCAGTACCAGAGTCTGACAAGGCAGGGCCACGAACTATGGACTCTTTTCAGGATTTACCTGAAATCAAAGTTCTGTCTCCTGAATTGGACGCCAAGGATACTCCAGAGCTTTTTGGTCCGCGTATCAAGGTAGTAAGCATCCCAAAAGCACGTCCTGCTCCACCGGGAGAGTCTTCTGTTCGATACATCCCGCATACAAAAACTCAGAACGGATCTTATAAAGACATTTCAACCATGGAGAACATACAAGAGGTAAAAGTTCTGCCGGATCCATTCGTTGATGTCGACCATCACAAATCAAGTGGGTTTACAGAACGATTACGGGCACGTGAGGCTGATGGAGGCTTGAATGTTCGTTTCAGCGATCCTGACAAAACTCTAGTGGAGATGACAGAGCAAAGCTATAGTAGAGAGTCATCTTCACCGAGTGAATTGTCGAGTAATTCATCTTTCCGATCGACTGGTTCCTCTAACATTCCAAGACAAGAATTATCTCCCCATAGTCAATGGTCAAAGGCTGTCAGACCACATTACAAGGGATATGCAGATACTGTTCATAAAATTGCCGATGTAAGTCTGACAGACTGTACGGCTCGAGATTGATAATTGGGGTAGCTGACACTGAGATTTAGGAGATGGTGATTAGATTGACCAATGAAGAAGATGCATCAGAGCTGGTTGTTCGGCAATACAAGGAGAACGCTACGAGTATGCTCGAGGATTTGAGTAGCAAGCGAGATCTGGAGAAGCTCAACATACGCCAACAAATCGAAAATAAGAAGACAGAATTGATTCGAATGTATTCTGAAGCTGGGAAAGCCGTGAAGCAAATCGAAAAGGATGTAGCAACTTCTCCCATAGGTGATGTTGATGGAACGTGGCAGGAGAGACAAGAGTTCATACAAAGAGAATTGAAGGTAGGGAGACGCACATCGGATTCATGATCCACTTGACCATCGCTTGACTTGCTTTCTCATTCTATATTCGAGAACGCTAGGGAGTGGTGCGTAGATTTCAAATTAGGCTTTCGGTAGCTTTTCATCTTGTTTGTCTACCTAATGGGAGTAGTCTAAGAGCTGTGGGGACCGAAAGGTTGATGGATACCACATAATTGTTTAGAGACCTCAGTACTAGCTTTGAATGGTTTATAAAATTGCTATGATAACAATGAATATGATTAAGACGTCGATAATCTGATGTGATCTGTCGGTAGTACTCACGTGCTAGGACATGTATACGTATTTGTTTACATGTATGGTAGTCATCCGGTCAACCCAATAAAAAATGACCCTGTCGATACATCTTGAAAAGGAACACTAACAAGGGATGACGATTGCTCATACCCCCACAACCGCAGCAGCCCAGATTCCAGAACATTTTACTCAATCAATACTTACAAAACTTACGACGACAATACGGAAATTTTCCACATCGCAAGGTTCACTAAGAATTATCGGCTTCAGCTCTTACCTCTGTCTGTTTTTTCCATTGTTTTTTTTCTTCAATTCTTGGCTAGCGATACACCTATCTATCCTCGAAGAATCCGACTTCCCCGCGTTCCGAAGCCCAAAAAGTCTTTTCGTCCTACAATAAAGGGCAACCATACGGCCACCTGCATTTTAAGTCAAAAATAAGAAAAGAAATCTTTCATACTCGAAAAGAAAAGAAGAGCTATGCCACAAGGAAGTGGTTTCCACCCATTTGGTGGCAGATTATCCAAGCATATGGGCAATTCGGTATGTATCAAGCACATGCGCACTTTGCTTGTCAATTGGTGACTCCGGCGGAAGGACAGTCGCAGCAATAAAGCAATGCGCAACGTGGAACTGACAAACACAATCATTGTAGCTTTCTCCTGAAGCTGCATATCTAAGTTGTGAGTCTGCCTTTTCATGATCGCTTTGCCGTCGCTGCGGGGTTCCTCTGGCTTATTGCTAACACTCACTTTTTAGATTATGATGTACGATGTAGGTTTTCTCAACACTTTTGAAGGAGACACACGCGAACTGGCAGACTAAACTATGGCGATAACAGTGACAAGAGAAGACGTTAATACGTTGAAGGATGACTGGCTTACGGATAATGTATACTTTCACATGATTCCCTCTTCCAAATAATTACTGACGAACTGTTTGACAGACAATCGCCTTCTGGCAGGAGTACGTGAATTCTGTTCCACCTTTCGCAAATACGTGCCTTTACAAGAGCCACTACTAAACATTCCCTTCAAACAGATATCTCGAGAACGAATACCTCAAGCGATACCCCTCCTCCCATATCGTCCTACTTCGACCTTCCATGGCATATATGCTACGAATGCACGAAAACCCAGTCCTACTCAGGTCCGCTCTTCCAGACTTTCGTCTCACCACTCACATCTTCCTCCCCATAAACGATAATCGCAATGTTTCCCAAGCAGAAGGTGGATCTCACTGGACACTTCTCCTCGTATCCGTTATCGATGGTGTAGCATTCCATTATGATTCTCTCTCGCCCTCGAATTATGAAGAAGCAAATACGACGACTTACAAACTAGGTCAGTTACTGGGTCGTCAGTTGAAGTTTCTGAATCTGCAGGATACTCCCCAACAACAGAACGGAAGTGATTGTGGGGTTTACGTGTGCATTATCATGCGCCATTTGTTGTTGAAGAGATTGTTGTGCGCAAACGCGAAGGAAAAGGTTTCTATGAGTATGGGAGGAAAATTGATTGATGCAAGTGGAGCGAGAAAGGAGATGCTGAAGATTATTGAGGGTTACAGGAAGGAGGGAGAGAGACGGAGATCGTAAGTTCCCACCATCTTCAACATTTAAAATACGTGGGTTGAGCGACCGAAATGAACCCCCCGCTAACAAAATTACAGACAAGACGAAAGTCGTAGCTCATCCCCTTACCAAAAGGGTAATCGAAGTCCTCCCCGAATCGATTCATGAGCTACGCATACATGAAAATGACTACAAGAAATCATCAGGCGTTACGGATTTATGACAGGGCTGGATTAGGACAATGAGCGAGATGAGCGATACAATACGAGGCACAAGAGATATGATTGCATGCTATTTCTTTTCTATACGATCACACGAGACGAGCTTTGCGTTCTGGCAAATGGGGATGATATGTGCGTTGGGAGTTAAGTTGCGAGCTTCACTAACGATGAATTCAGACTTGCATTGTGATTTTGGTGGCATGGGGGGCATGTAATGGTACGAATTGTATGAAGTGGCGAGACTTTTGCTAGGGTTAATGGTTGCTTGGGTGTGGCTTCTTTTTATCGAAGGAGAGATAGAGCCCAGGCTCGTTACTGAAATCAATGAAATTTGAGCATGATAATCAGTTTAACTTTGGGTGGTGAATGTCGGTTTTGGTATTCGTGCTGTTATCCTGCTACCAAAACAATATTGAAACGCTAAGTATATGTTTGAGCATGCGTGCCGTTGACTAGAACGACACCACGAGCAACCGGGATTTTGTTTTTACAATTTTGATATTTCCAATATCTTCGTCAACTTTGGTTCCTCATTAACCCAGAAGCTTCTTCACAGTACTAGGAGGATTTCCACACTCCTCCAACAACTTTTTATGGCCCTCCATAGCCCCCTTACAAAACGCTTCTAAATCCATCTTCTCAGCCCCCTCCCATTTCCCATCCGCACCCCCATCAAAAACTTCCATACTAAACCATCCTCTGAATCCCGTTCCGAGTACCGCTCTCGCTACTTCTACTATAGGTAGATAACCCCCGTTATATGGATATGGTCTAAAATCATGACTCCACCTACCCCTCGCTCTCAGCTCTTCCTTTTCCTTTTCAGCAGGGGTGGTGGGGATAGGTACAGGCGGTTTATATGCGTCAGAGATTTGGAGGAGGTAAATTTTCTCGGGAGGAACGGTGGTAGTGAGGGATTGCAGAGATTGGGTGAAATTCATGTGGAGTTTTGCTTGGGTTCCTAGATGCGAGATGAGTCCTGAAGAGGTGCTTGGGTCGCCGTATTCGCCGCCGGCGGTTTGGAAGGTGTCCAGACAGAGGCCGATGTTGGGGCGGTCGACTAGTTTGACGATTTCCCAGACGGAGGCCCAGGTGGGGGCGTGAGTTGCCCAGCACCTAGAGGCGAGGAGTGTCAGCTTGCGTCGATAAAGAATGGGATAGGATCACCAGTGGGTGCATGGATTGACGGGACACTTCCGAACTTTCGAAATTTCTGATAATTTCATCCTTCAATTGTTTGATATCAAAATTTATGATTTGATTGTTTCAAATCCAATGAATTGGTGTAACAACTTCCAGGATATCTGATTCGATATATCAAGGTATATTCACAAGTCCATTTTTGTAGTGTCCCGTCAATCCATACACCCACTGGTGGATGGAAAAGGAAAAGAGAGGAAGGGGGGTTTCTCACCAATTCTCATAAGCAAGACGAAACTTATGTTCCGCGAGCAAATCACACAACTCCCTCAAATCATCCGCCAAAACATGAAAGTCTGAGGAAATATCTGGCGAATCCGAACTTCCCACTTGCAACATATCGGTACCCACAGCCTCCATGACACGAATCCAACCCTTCGCCCGCTCAAAAGCATCTTTCCTTTCATTCGATCCCTTTGGCCATCCCTCGAAGTTCGAAAATGGTTGTAGCATCATTATTCCCAAATTATTCTTCTCGCATAGTTGTTTGACTTCGGTTCCAGCTGAACATAATGAATCGTAGTCATTTTCTTTGATTTCTTTTTTATGAAAGGTCGAAGCGAAGGAAAGGAGATCAGGAAAGCCAAGTTCAATGGCTGTGAAGCCTGCGGAAGAGATTGCAGAAAGTTTAGAAGAAAGAGGGGTTGAAGATGTGCCAACAGAGACACTGGCGAATGACGCCGGGATTTGAGTGAGAGATTCTGGAGAGATGGTCATGGTGAAAAATTGATTTATCTAGAGAAGTTGTGAATCCCAATTGAGCTTATAAATTATGGACGGGAGTCAAAACACTGAAGGTGTTGATTGCTTTTTATATAGGAAGTGACGTCAGGAAGGTGGTGGGGCAGTTGTTTCACGTGATTGTTTATCATAGAAAAGAGTTTCGGAATCATTCGGGAAAGCACTGTCGTTCCCCTGTGTCAGACGTTTCGGAGGATCTGGAGTTTGGTGGTGGTGGAGAAGATTGTATGTTTGCCAATGTTTGGGTGACATCGGCAGTATCATCGGCCGGCTGCAATGTGTGCATATACGCGATTCATGATATACCGAATCCTCTCATCCACTCGAATGATACATGATACTCCGCCAAGTTGCATGAAATGTATCTGTGGGTATTCTTTCATGTGAAAAAAACAGGCTTTTAGGTCCATCGATTGTAGATTGATAAAGGGTAAAATAATAACACGTACCATACTTGTGGTAATTGGGTATCTCAAAACAGAAAATATGTCCATGTCCGGTGGAAAAAGTGAAACAATCAAGGCTTTTTGAACTCCTCCTTCTGCTCCATGGTTTGTGAAATGAATCCTCTCAATGCGGCCCATCTACTCGCAGTCCCTGAAGCAGCTGGCACTTCTTGACCCTCTACAGTAGTGACGTCTTTCGGTTTCTCCTCCGTAACTCCAGCCAATTGTGCCATGTTCTTTCCAAATCTCTCCCTCTCCATAGCCTCCAACTTCTCCCTCTTCTTCGTTGCTCCAGGTCGACTCTTCATACTCTTTTGCTTGATCTTTCCACTCTCTCCTCTGCTAATCTTCTCCAAGCCTTCTCCCTCAAAATCCGGTAGTGCATCTGCCAGACTTTCTAATGTGGTAACCAATTTCTTGTTTGGACGTCTGCGCTTCAGAGGTTTTGAATTGCCTTTTTCGATACGGTTGACAAAGGCGGAATGTTTAATCGTTCGCTTGTCCTTCTTGGACTCGATGAATGAATCTGATATAACGGCACCTTCGCGATGCACAGGTGGAACGTGGATACCTGAGCCTGCTTGAGAAGCCTTTGCGCGCATAGAATTTCGCTTTTTGGGTGCAGTGGGCGCCTGTGAGGATAGTTAGTTTTGCGACTCTAATCAGGAAAGATAAGTATTCTTCCAGACGTACCATGATCGCGAATTGATTATCTCTTGAAATCTAAAGTGTCACAAGAAAAATTGCTTGAAAATTGGTGAAAGTTGTCAGTGAGAGCTTTGGGGGTAAAAATGTTCACTGGTGCATTGAAAGCTCCAAGGTCTAGGTTAACTTAGCGAATAAAAAAAGTTGTCGGAACTAGGTATTTTTATGAAGCGACTTTCATAATTTACCTACTCACCTACGCTATAAAAATCACAACCACAGGAAACCAATATGAATTCTGCTGAGGAAAAGGCAAGTGCTTTACGGCGTCAAATAGCTGATGCCGAGACCCAACTTGCTTCTCTAAAACTACAATTATTGAGTATCGAAGGAAAAGATGTCAACTCAAAGGATCCTGGAGTCACAGAAGAAGAAGGTCTCGTGACTCATGACGAAAGCAAATGGCCCATGACTTTGGAAGAATACAAACGATATGGAAGACAGATGATTGTGCCTGATATTGGTATTCAGGGTTAGTTGTTAGATCTCTGGACAAATTTTTCTTGAATACTTTACTGATCATGATTTAGGACAATTACGACTTAGATCGGCTTCTGTTCTCCTAGTAGGAGCTGGAGGTTTGGGATGTCCGGCTGCTGCATATATCGCCGGTGCTGGAGTTGGCACTATTGGAATTGTCGATGGAGATACTGTAGAAGAGTCGAATTTACATCGACAAGTATTGCATAGTACAGACCGAGTAGGTGTTAATAAAGCTGTCAGTATTGCTAAATATATATCTGGGTATGGATCCTCCCCAAAAATCCTGGCGAGCATACATACTAACAGCTTATTAGCTTGAATCCAAATGTAAAGACAAATATCTACGAAACACATCTTACGCCCCAAAACGCACAGAATATAGTCAAAGACTATGATTTAGTTCTCGACTGTACTGACCACCCCACCTCCCGTTATCTCATCTCAGATATATGTGTTCTTCTCCAAAAGCCACTCGTTTCAGCCTCAGCTCTCCGAACAGATGGCCAGTTAATAGTTTTGAACAATCCTGCCTTACCTCCTGGTGATCTATTAGGTGGTCCATGTTACCGCTGTGTCTTTCCCACACCACCTCCACCCGAAGCGGTGACGAGTTGTGGCGATGGAGGAATTATCGGTCCCGTTGTAGGTGTAATGGGAGTTTTACAAGCTTTGGAAGCCATTAAACTTATTGCATCTGGAAGATTGGCCGCCGTTGGGGAAAATAACGAGACAAGCTCTACCCCCAAGACGAATCCTACTACAATGTTGTTATTCTCTACAAATGGAACGTCGCCATTCAGAAATGTCCGTTTGAAGGGTAGAAGATCAAATTGTTTCGCTTGCGGAGAGGAACCTCAGTTGTCTCTTGAGCAGCTGAAATCTGGTTCAATGGATTACGTCTTGTTTTGCGGCATGACGCATCCTATCAAGTTGTTGAGCGATGAAGAGAGGGTTGAGGCAAAAGATTACGAAGAATCGATAAGAAGGAAGCAAAAAGATCATTTGTTAATCGATGTCCGAGAGAAGGTGCAGTTTGATATCTGTAATATTGAAGGATCACACAATATACCTTTCTCATCATTTCAAGGCAACGGAGTCAACAAAGATCTCCCACTATCAACGCTCACCGATGGTCTGAGCCCAAAAACTCCTATATATGTCGTTTGTAGGCTTGGGAACGATTCTCAAGTAGTCACAAAAAAGATGAAAGAAATGGGATTGGATCTCAAAGGCGACAGATATATTGGTGATATCAAGGGAGGTTTACGATCTTGGAAAGAACAGGTAGATAGCTCTTGGCCCGAATACTAGACTCTAGTGTCAAAATCAAGACGTTGAATTTTCAAAGGAGCGAGATTGATATTTGAGTTGGTATTGTGTGCCAAAAGTGCATAATGTGAAGCACCATAAGGAGTGGTTCCATGAACGCCAAAATCGTACAACTGCTTGCTAAGTTGATGTTCTTGCTTGCCATAAAAAACGATAATCATTATAACCCGCCATTCCTTCCACCATTTTTCCTATGCGTTCCTAGTTGGATTGGGTTCTACACGTATGTTTGTCGTTTCCTGTTGAAAGCTCTTTGATCCTTCAACCATTGCCTGTAACCGGCTACACTTGAGATTTTCTCGCCGTAATAATCTAAACAGATCAATTAGCAGTATTCTTTAATCGTTCATGAACCTCAAATCAAACGTACCAGGCACCGGATTCGCCATTGAACTCGCACTAGGATCCACCCTATACTTCTTAACCCTCGCATAAAACTCCTTTTCCTTAATATCCATCTGCTGTCTAAATTTCCTGTTCTTCACATTGAACGCCGCAGTCCCCAAAATTGGTCCGGTCAACCATCCAGCTCCTCCACATGCGAATGTTACTAATCCCAATGTAATGAATGGATCCAATGGGATTTGTCCCACTAGTGCATCCATATCCGTATGTGTAAGAATCTGCGCACCAATTGCGAAACCACCAAATCCCGTGCCGATGGAAGAACCGAGTTGGAACCAGCGACGAGTTCGACGGAGCTTGAAGAATGTATTCCAATCTAGAACTTCTGTTTGCGCAGCGCTGGACTTTGAGGTTTTGGTTGCTGAGGAAGATGTAGTTGTGGATGCAGAACGAGTAGAAGAGGTACCGGATTGGAATGCGACATTGCGTTTATAGTTGGGAACCAGAACTCGACGTCGCGAGCTTGGTGTTTGAGGATCTGGAGTGCGAGGAGGGGTAGTTGATGCTGTTTGATAGGTACATGATGTGAGGAACGATGGCTGTATGCGGCAGCTAGCTGCTGCTGTTCTTAATGTTGGCGCTGAATACAGCATTGTGATAGAGAGAGAGGTAATTGCAATATCTGGTGAGTTTTTGTGGTGATGACGAAAATTGAAAGCTTTCTTGAGAGCTTGTTTGTTGATCCTAGTATTTTGATATCGATGGTTGGGTTCAAACCGGTTATTATTTTTCTTAGGGCGGCGGTACGTAAGAGTTGAGGCCCCGGCTTATCGCATACTACCCTTTTTCATAACAAAATCCCTGTAAAAAAGTCGTTTTCCTATATAAATTTATTTCTTTTATAATTTATTTAATAATTAAAGAATTAATTTGAAAATCTTTTATATAAGAAATTACTATATTTGAAATCTTAAAAAATAAATGAATTATTTTTAATATTTTTTTTGATATAGTTATAGATTTTCAAAATTAAAATTTTTTGAAATTTATTATATGTAATGCTTTTCCTATACAAAAAAATCGATTTTTTTGGATTTTTTGGAAATTTTAATTTTAAAAATCTATAATTATATCAAAAAAAATACTAAAAATAATTTATTTATTTTTTTGAGTAATTTTAATAATTAATTATAATATATATCAATTTTGATAATTTAATTTCTATATTTATTGAAATAATATATAGTTCAAAAGTTAAAGAAATGAAGGTTTTTGGTGTGTTTTCGATTAGTATGCGATAAGCCGGGGCCTCAACTCTTACTATTTACGAGTTTTGAGCTAGCGCAGCAAGAGCTCGAAAAGACAGTAATTCATCTTAGTAACTAGAGTTCGTAGAGAAAAAAAATAAAGTAAACAGACTAGGTAAAGTCATTAAAAAGTCGATAATAAAAAGTAAATTATTTTTATTAAGTTTTTAAATATAAAGAACGATCCTTTCAGATTACTACTTAAATTATTTTGATTAAATATTATTCTTTCGATTCTAGAGTCTTTTGAATAATTGAATACTAACTTATTTTTAATTATTAAATGAAAATAATCAAAGTTTTATTAAATAATAAATAGTAATAATACAAAACGAGAACTATTACTAAAAATTTAGTTTTAAAAGTAGTATTTTTAAAAAAGTAATATTTTAATGATTTCGAATTAATATCTTAACTATAAGAATCTTTTAAAAATAAATTTTAATTTCAAAGACTGATTTACTAAATTAAATAACTAATAAGAATCTCTTTATCAATAAAATTCTTCTTAAAGTATTTCTAAAAATAATTATCATTAACTCTTTCTTAATTTATTCTTTATCAAAATCTAAAGATTCTAATAAAGATACTTCTTTGAGTTTCATTTTTGTTTCTTAATAAAAGCTAAAGATTAATCTAAATTTAGTAGAGTGAAAGATTCGCGTTTTTATTAATCTTAGATTAAGTTAATCTGATCTCTAAAACAATCTCAACTTCAATTTTCTTCAACACAATTTCGATTTATTTAACGGAATCAATTTCCCTACGGGGAGAGAAGAGTCTCCTTTAATAATAACTTATTCAATCTGTCCATTTGACTTCTCAATGTCTTCCGAAAATAATTCAGACTTCACCGGGGAAGATACGTGTTTACCAAGATCAAAATTGGCCTTCGATTTCAGAGTAGTCGAAAGACCGATTTATAAACCAAATAGCGGTCCACCACTTCAATCAATTTCACTCATTCCTCCTCACGAATTAAAAGGAATTATTCTTGATTGTTTTCCATACCCGAAGCCAAACGACCCTAGCCACTTCCTAGTGGGCTATGAACGGGAGCCACATAATCGCATTATTATACACCCAAATAATATACGCAATTATGTATCAGAGTATACTTTGGAAAATTGGGAGCATGAACGGAGCACTGCAGAAGAGAATCGTCTTATTAAAGAGCTTCAACCTCGTTTGATAGTATCAGAAAAAGCAAGAGTGTTGCGAGAATTGAAAAAAGCCGGAAAATCACGTGATGATCTCAGGGAGGAGGATGCCGAACAGTATCAGGCTTTGGGAATGCCGAAGAAGAGGGGCAGGCCTAAGTCTATGGCAAGTGTTTTCAAGCCAGCACCCAAGCCAGTATCTGATCAACCAAGTGGGAAGCGTGGACCTGGAAGACCTCGGAAAGTGGTGTCAGTTCAAGTTGTTTCGCCTACCATCTCTCACCCTCATCGGCCTTCTTTGTCTCAGCCATCCTTATCTCAGCCATCTCTATCTCAGTCATTTGCTAAAGCACCAAGAGCAATGTTGGAGCATACAATTGCCGACTCGGCAAGCGAAGAGGAAGATGAAGATACCGATTTAGCGCTTGATGATCAGCACAACCAAGGGGCAACCCATATATCCAACACCGCTATGAATTCGTCTACTATCCTGAGAGTTACAAGTCCGGCAACGGAGCATTCTAGTCAAGGTCAAGTAAATAAGACCCCTATTCAGTCACCACAGAAGTACAGATCCTTCAAGATGTCACCTCACGATCGTCCCAAGAAAGCTGCAATTCTTCCTGGCATGAGTGTAGACGCATACCCATACGACAATTTGAAAGCCAATGCTAGCAATAATAAAAAGAGCATAAAGTTCGACAAAGGTTCAAGCACCCAGAACCAATCTCCAGCAAGCCTTCAGTTACCCCTTCTATCAAGTGGCGAACAGTCCACTGGTCGTACAGTTCAAGGCACAAGTCAGAAGCCTCAATCTAAAATTGTCGATTACTTCAAGGATTCTGGTACTAAAATCCCTGCTTCGAAGACGCTTGATGTGAACCGAAATTACGAGCCTTCGTCTAGTTTGAAGCGCAAATCTTCTCCGTTTATAGGACGAGAAGGTGAGTCAAGTGGAAAGTCCCGAAGTAAAACTCGAAGACTTGGAAAAGGCTCCGACGATTATTATGATGCCGAATACAAGGGAGCTTCGAAGAAGAGGTCTGGGTCACCAACCATTGAGAATTGTGAAACGAGCTCCGAGCCAAGATCAAGTGCACGGCGTGGAAGCGATGCTTTCAACCTGCGTAGCTCTAGAAGTAGAAGTCGACGACTTGAATCTTCTCCTGGTAATAGGATGGAGCTCGAGGATGAGAATGAGGATGCGATTGGAGATATGGATGAAGATGAAGGCGAGCAGAAAGGCGAGCAAGCAGCTTTTGGCGGCAGACCGCCAACATGGGATGTAAAATCAATCTTGGATCACAAGTACGAATGGAATGACGGTGACAACAAGCAAGAACTATGGTATCTTGTTGATTGGAAGGGAGATTGGAACCCGACATGGGAACCTGCCAATGGCATCTCGGAAGGGGCCGTTGATGATTACATCGCTTCGAGGCAAGCTCAAGGACTTGGCAATCTCTCTGTTTCAATTGACGCGATAGATATAGGGGGAAATAGTGATTCGTTATCACGAGGCGATGATCTAGAATGCAGTATTGAGGACGACGGGTACTCGTAGTCTTTGTTCTAGGGAAGAAGTCTGAACTCTAGGTTTTGAAGGAAGGGAAATGGCAAATTAAATATAGAGCAACGAGACAAAATTTGGGAGATCAAGTCGGGGGTGTGGATAACATTGTATCTGGCATCGGTGGATCATTAGGAGAATCATAATGGGAGGCGTCTGAGGCTATGTTTGGTAGATTTGAGGCACATTTGGCCATTATTCGCAAAATGACTCGAAGTCTTAGGTAGGCAACGGGAATGGTGATTCTCATAATTATTACAGATACCCAATAGCATACCACATTAGCAGTTTTCCCGAGATTTTTGCAGAGGGTATTCGTGCAGGGTGTTTTTAAGGTCTAGTCTATGCATGAAATACCAGGAAGAGCAAGTGCTACCGGGATTTATGGCAATTAGGCAATTGATCGCTAATATGGGTGTACCCCGCCTCTGACCCCCACGCGTAGCTCGCATTATCGACGTTGAGGATTGGGGACTCGGGCTCAAGATATTTAAATGATCACAGCTGTACTATCTGCATTTGCTTGAAATTAGATACTTCCCTTCCTTGCTTCTGAACTTATCTTCCAATCTTGTTATCTGAACGCCATTTCTACGTTCATATACTTTATATAGACATACTGGGCCGATGACCAGATTTGTTCATTTAGATAAGCAAGCTAATATAAAACGTTGCGAATTTATTCCTGTCCAGTTCAGAAAATGGCATCTACAAAAGTGGATCTCGCCTCTCCCGAACCCTACATCACTCCCGCCGAGATCTACAGCGGTACCTCATTCAACATCGGCGGCAATCCCAGCCCAGATAATTCTTCATCGACCCCACCAATAACTCTCCGCATAGCAACCGGAGGAGCTGGTCAATCAGGGCTTATCCGTGCTCTTGCCAATAAGTTTATCGAGTTCGAGATAGACAAAACAGGTTGTCCACGATTCAGCATTGCATGGTTATTATCAGATACGTCTGCAAGTTTCAACTATTTGGGAAGTAGAGCGGCGGATTGTAGCATAACTTATCATAAGATTGCAGAGGAGATAGCTTTAAAGCAGGGAATTGCAGAGAGGAGGGAGTATGCTTGGAGAGATCATTGGTTGCTTGTTGGTAGGTTGTTTGCTGTCTCGTCTTGACGACCATATCCAAGCTCCATTTGAAATGATCCATCCCGTTCTGATGATTTCTAGGACCGAAACGAAACCCTGCCGGGCTTCCGCTTGATAGTACAGACGACTCTACAATATTTGATCTATTCGGTCAGTTATTTATGGCTTGTGTAGAGAATCCAAACATTAGATTCTTATCCCGATATGATAAATCAGCCGCCAATATCAAAGAATCTTCTATTTGGTCAGCCATCGGTCAAACTCCGTGGGCACATCCATATTCAAGTTGGTATCATCGCTACATAGAGTTTCCGTTTGCTGCTTTGAGGGCTGCATGTGCGCTAGGCGAGTACACAATTACGGATAAGGGTACATGGTTAAGTGTTGAAGAAGAAATTAGAGATAAGATGAGTATTTTTGTATACTATGGTTCCATCTCCAAGATGTGTGTTGAGCTAATGTGTTGTGTAGAAAGCGAGCACAGATGCCCCAGATGATCCATTATTGAATCCTGCACATACATTAGTAGGCACGAGAGGCAAAAACATAGTCATGGCTCATAAATTTGCAGATTGGATGATAGCAAGGGACGGTGGTCAGAAGGTCATCGAGGAGTTTGAAGTGAATGGTGCTATCTTATACACTGGTGCACCAAACTCTTAGGAAGGCAAATATAGAGAATTAAATTTCTCCATAAGTTCCTTTGTTCAAACCATCTGAACAACTGAAGCATTCAAAAAAAAATTGAAGTTTTGGCTGAAAGTTTAAGGTATTTGGAGGGTTTGGAATTTTGGAGACTTCGAGTGCATCGCCAAGTATAATTTCATCAAAAATTTGGAGATTTGCCACGGAGTTATTTCTACATGATGCATCGCGTGGATCACGTCTAGTATTGTCATTCACTCGTTCTAAGAAAAGTATCCTCTTTCTTCAATGTCACAAGTTGGATAAGAGGGGCTAATATTGCAAAAATTGATATTTTGAAACACTCAATTTGAATGAATATAGTTAAATCAATAAATGTTCTGCAAGCAAGCCTTGGTTCTTCCACAATCACGAGCTTCTGGATGTTATGGGAATCAATACAATTGCATATAAACTTGATAATGTGAGTGAATTGGTTGAAATTTGATTCTTTCTCGTCAATTCTACCACCTAACTTCTTCATAGCTGTCGGGATATCGATCATGTGATCAATAGAGGGCACTGTATTGAACTAGCGTATACACTAGCGCTAGCACTTCACTATATTAAATACTAGCTTCCCATAGATAATAATGATCAAGAACGAATACAACCATAATAGACTAAAGTACTTTACACTTATCAACCAAGTTGATACCAACAATAGCATACAAGTCCCTCACAATTCCACGACCATGGACGCTCAAGGCAATGAAGAGGAGCTGGATCGACGCTTTGAAGTACTCGCTACTAGTACAATCGCGCACGATAGAAGGGGAGCAGCATACGTCGGACCACCAGGACAACTTCCATTCGTCAAAACTAACACCAAACAAGCAATCACCCCAAGACAATCATCTGCTGGCGCATTTGACAACTTTCCACTTGAGATACAACAAGAAATATGCAAGAACCTCGATTTCGAAAGCATAGTAACATTTAGTAAAACAAGCTACGCCGCTAAGATCATTGTCGACTCTGTTTTTATATTTACAGAAACCACGTCAAAAGCCCCTTGCTTCTTAAAGGCTATCGCTGAGCTAAAACTATTGCATGTCCACTCGGTAGCAACCATAGCTCATGTATTGAGTCCATCGTCTTGCGATTTCTGTCCAAACTACGGTTCTTTTTTTTTCCCTTGACTGGTAGTCGGTGCTGTTTCTTCTGCTTGTCTACTGAATCAGAGTTTTCTCTCATACGCAAAACCCAGGCAATTAAATTCTTCGGTTCATCTTCTATCAAAGGCCTACCATCTGTATTCGCGAGGATGTTTTGTCCCCCAATTCCTGAAAATTATATGACAGAGGTAGTCGAATATTTTAGCGCCCAGAAAGTCGTCGATATGTGCAGCAGAAGAAGATATAAGACAAGACAATACCATACTGCTTCCGGGGATCGATTCCAACCTTCCCAACGCCTTCGATATTGGGGACCAGATCAGCGTTCTCAACCCATTTATGCAGTAGCCGTCAGAATCCCATTGCTAAGAGATTCCGAATCGCCCCATTACATGGGAGGGTACTATTGTAGACCATGTATTATGTCTTGGACAAAATCGAAAAACACCAATCGGCATAGGTTTTTACAAATACGCGTGATGAGCCCACATTTTGAAGACGGTTCAGCAAGAAAGATTGTAGATGATACGTTGAATCTCCCAGTTAGAACGATAGATGAGCACGTTAAGCATGCGAAAACTTGTGCGAATGCTCGGGCATTTCTATGGAAGGGTCGAGGCTACATTTCAGGAAAGAAATGAGTTTCGAGTTTGAGCAATGCCATCACGTCATTTCTTCTCGATTGTCTCATTTTATCTCAATGTTTCGGCAACAGTCAAGTTTTGAGTCTATGGTGATCGATAGCGGCAGAATTTATACTATTGTCACAACTTCGAATTCATTCAGCATCGCAATGGGCGCTACTATCTAGCTGAGCAGGAACTGTTCAAATTGGTTTTCTCCAAACTCCCTTCTCCTTCCACCGAACGATTCAACCTCCCAAATACAAATCATCAACTTCTACACTGGTAGGATCTTACCATGTTCTTATACGATGCAGTCGAACTCTCCTCGGTGATTGAGTAAGGGGCATGTGATACCCGAGTTTTCAGTTATCATAATATGAACAGGGCTCGCTTTGGGGGGGGGGCTAGACATATTGCGATGGGGATTTCAGGAGAGTTAATGCAAAAAATGAGTTTTTGGAGTACATGCTGGCATACATTCATCCAAGTTCCTGTGGGCATTTGGATTAAAAGCTCTTTTTTTTATACAAAATATGTATTAGCAAGTCAGTGGGGGTATTTTGATAGCACTGGATGTTCTCTCCACTTCAATTGTATTATAAAGAAAATAGGTTGAGCATCAAAAAGAGAAGCTGTATCAGATCTATTTTTGAGTTATAGCTTCTGTGACTTCAACGCCGAGTCTATGCGTCTAATGCATGATGGATGAAGGATCACTAACTCTAGCTGTTGCTTGTTATGATACTCCCCAAGAGAACATAACCACCCATGGAAGCAATTTGCTGGTGAGATATGAAGTGTGGATCTTTTATTTATTTTCAACACATTCTGGATATCTATGCATGAGAAAGATTACAAACATACGCAGTCAAACGATGAGCTAATAGTTTATAATTACTTTCTATGCAAATCTGAATTATAATCAATAACTAGCCATGCTCACTTATCATTACTACAGTCTAGTTTTGGACAAAAAGCTACAAGCTGATGACATATATCGATAAGTAAAAGTAGAAAGTGCGAGTGTTGAAATATAATGCCTCAGCCCTCCCTAACTACTCTCGACTAATAAACCATGTTCCTATATACCGGCTGCTTACTAACCGCCATCAACCTCGTTTCTCCTTCCCAGCCAGTCGACCACGCACAAACTCTTTCTTTAACCCTCGTTTAGTTCCAGCGGACTTCCGAGGGAAATATGTTTGTATGAAGTGTTCCAGTTGAAAAATATGCTGTTTAGGAAATTCTCTCGATTGAGACCCGCCTCTCTCTGTGCTAGGATAATGAGATCGTTGACTCCCGAAGACAAAGCAGCGATATCTGCGTTTGTCAATTCCGCGGTGTAGCGGAGGACAAATCTGCCGCAATTCGTATCTAAATCCGAATTCTGCTCTCTGTTCATGGCCCGAATTGCAATTCCACTGTCTGCGACAAGTCCATGGATAGTACTTGGAATCTCATCGTTGCGGGGTGACATACTATAATTCGAGAGTCGAGGTTCCCTTCCCCGAGCCCTCATCTTGCACACATAAAGTTCATACTTCACAGCTCGTTTACTTTTGTAAAATGCCATCAACGACTATCCTGACTATGTGTATTCTCAATATCAAAATTCGGACGTGTGGCTCCGTATTTGCGTTGAGAAAACGCATATGCGACAGCACGACGATGAGCCAGATTATTCGGATCGACCGCCATCCACACTACCTCGCCCTGGTGATCCCGCTTGATTAGTGCGCGGAATTGAGCTTGATCAATAGTCTAGACTAGAAGACTAAATGTAAATTTTGAGATTCTGAGAGTAGTTCAATATTAGAAATAGATTTATTAGATTCGGAAAGCATATGCCTTAGATTTTCAGACTGCAGTCCAGATTATTGAGATTCCTGACCATACCATATTCTACCCTACATTAAACTCGACCTCCCACCAACCTCTGTTCCCCCTTGTCCATTCGGCATATCCCCACTTCTTCCCACAACAAACTCCCTATATATTCCCTGTAACCTCCTTCGCTCGTCAGCACTAATACTTGGTCTTGTACCCTCCAAACTCTTTACTAGATGTTTCCAGAGAATGGTGACTTCTTGTTGACTCTTAACTTCCTTCTGCTCTCCTCTGTCTTCGCTCGAAACATCAATACCCTTGGCTCTCAGTTTCTCCTTCTTCTTTGCCTTTTTGATCTCTTCCAACTTGGCGGTAATGGCAGCTTTCTCAGCAAGTTGTTTGGAGCGATTATTACCAGCTTTTGCGCGTGTCTCGGCTTCCGTCCGATCCTCATCTTCACCATAGCGGAACTGCACAAAACTTCGAGGTCCGCTGGATGCTCCATTTGTCTTAGCACCATTACGTTTTCCTCCAACCTCAACTGGTTCATGGTCACCAAGTACATCGTGAATGGCTTCAAGTTGCGCATTGGATATCAAAGCCTGAAGATCTGCGCCAGAGTAGCCTTCAGTCCTACGAGCAATCTCAAACAGCCCTCCTTCAGGGCTGTCTCGGACTTCTTCGGATAACTTCAGCTTTTTGCCTAGTGCCTTAAGAATATCAAAACGATCATCCACATTTGGAAGATCACATATAAGGGACTTGTCCAAGCGACCCGGACGGAGTAATGCCGGATCAATTAGATCAGGTCTCGAAGTAGCTGCAAGTACATAAACTCCGGATAAACCTTCGGCACCATCCATTTGTGTCAACAATTGATTGACTACTCGATCAGTCACACCAGTAGAATCATGACCACGCTTAGGGGCTATAGAGTCGAACTCGTCGAAGAATAGTACACAAGGTCTAGCAGCTTCAGCTCGCTCGAAGAGATCGCGAACAGACTTTTCAGAAGCACCGATATATTTGTTGAGAATTTCGGGTCCCTTGACACTGATGAAATTCAAACCACATTCTCCTGCGACTGCACTTGCAAGGAGAGTTTTACCACAACCTGGGAATCCATACAAGAGTAGACCCGATCGCAATCGCAGTGGACATTGTGCAAAAATTGGCGCATAAGTAGTAGGGTACTGCAATGTCTCAAGTAGAATTTTTCGGGTCTCCTGCAATCCTCCGATCGAGTCAAAGGTGGTAGTGGAAGTCTGAAGAGTGACGTTTCGAAGCGACGCCGGAGTAAATCCTTTCAAAGCACTGTCAAAATCTTCTCTTGTGAGTCGAATAGAACCACTATCGGCGTTTTGCAAGGAGCTTGAGACTGTCCGAATCATTGCTTCGCTCCTGGCTCGTGCTACGAGAAGGACGAGGTCTCCAGGCATGTAACCATCAGTTTGACCAGCTAGGTCTAAGAAATCAAGATCTTGATCAATAACATAACCATCGCCTTCCGATTTCTTGGTACCTTCCGTACTCGAACCACCCATCCAATCAGTATCGTTGTACCTCTCGCTATTATCTGCTGTGCTTGGGCGGCTACCAGATGCCACTGTTTTTGTCGTAATTTCCGAGATGGCATTTTCCATAGCAACTTTTTCCATAACTCTTCTTCGCCCTTCTTTGTTTGGAGCTTTCAAGGCGACAATCTCTCGTACGCAATGACAACCGATGATATTTTTGTGAAGTGACTCTTTCGCTTGAGCGGTGGCAAGTAAAACAACGTTACTGCGATGCCCAATCAAGTATTCTCTAGCAATTGCAATTATCTTCTCGCTAATTAAATCACTTCGGAGATTGTCATTGCCCACTTCAAGCTCTGTTTCTGCGGGACACAATTTGTCAAGATCATCCAATATCACAATAGACTTTCCACCGATTCTTGCACCCCACGAGGCAGCCAAAAAAATCCGGTCAAATGTTTCGCGTATGGTTGAGACACGTGCCTCATCAGTAACGAATTTTCGACATGAAAGATATGTGGTATGATACCTGCCATCTTGCCGTAAACGATGTGCCAAGTGTTGAACTACTGCTGTTTTGCCAGACCCCAAAGCACCAGTGAGTAAAACGGAAGACAAGTGCGAAAGGTGTGAGTGTAGTTGTTCTATGAGGTTATCAATTCCCACAAGAACAGGAGCTTTTGCACCAAGACCATCGATCGCATTTGCTGCAAGGGTTAAGGGTCTTGGAATAGCGGGTTGAACCTCAAGATTAAATTTCTTTTCCGAACCAAGAAACCAACTACAAGACTGCTTTCCGGACTCTTGTGGTCCTTGCTCCAGACGAATCATTCCGCCTTCCCAACTTGATGGGAAGTCAGAACCTGATGGCTTGCCAAGTACCAAGCCATCAGTCAATGGTCCTTCAAAAATGCCACTATTAGAACCATTCTTGCTGTACATTTTCATGATTGATTTTGCAGCTTCTTCCCGCTCAGCTTTCGATTCCCCACCAAATTTGAGACCTTCACTCGCTTTTCCCGTGCTAGATGTATAGGGAAATATCTTGATGTGTGGAGTACCGGATTTAGAAGTGGGCTGAAAAGTTGGCTTTGAAGCTTGGGATGGGGCAGGCGCAACCCTTATCACACCTCCGACCATATTTTTACACCCCATGGAGGCGCAAAGTGAACTCGATAACGCCACATGGTATTGGTCTGGCGGTTCATCCCATGTCATCAATCTAGCTACTACCTTCGATGCAGGCTTCCCGGCACCACCGGTATTTTCATCTTCTTGTTGTTGTCGTTGTGGGTCGATTGGCTCTTGTAGAGTAGCAGGCTTGACAACGGTGACGGTGACCCAAGTGAGCCCTTTCAAGGAGTCACCGAGAATGAAGTCTCCATCAACCCAAATTTTCAATCCTCCATCATCTGCATCTTTCTCTTCTTCAAACCACTCTCCACAAAGTGCTCTGTCAATTCCTCTATAATACATAGCCGGCTTCGTTTCTTCACTTCGTCCACTTTTCCGACGTACAGCACTAGAAACACTTCGTCCGCCAACACTCTTCCTTGAAGATACACTCATATTTTCGCCCGTACTTCGTGATGGTTTCGACCTTGTTTTCGGGGCCACAATAACTTCTGCATCTGGTGCTAACTTCGAGAACGCAATGTTTGAAGGCGGAGCAGGAAGGAGAGACGTGACTATAATATTGGCAGTCGAGGTCGGTGAAAGGTGTAACGTAAGAGGATGCGGCAGTTGTGATGAACCACTCGGTGAAGTAAAGCTTGGATTTGGTAATGCGCGAATTTGATTGATGAAATTGAGCTCAAGAAAATTAGCATGCAATTCTATAATCTCCCAATCTTCTGGCGTCAAAGGTTCAATATTGATGGTATGGGCGACTGGAGGGTCGACGTGTATAGTCGCTGTAATTTTCTGTCCATCTGATATTCCCAATGTTCGCGCAAAGGTTGCATCTATCTCTACAACCTGGACTTCTTGCTCCCTACCAGATCCCCTCGTGCCACTTATCCCATCCCTCCCAACAATTGGTGCAAGCTTGCGCTTGCTTTGCATACCAGTCCATCCCACGAAGATGGATCGTTGAGTCGGGGCGCCATTCGTTTGATTTGGGCTCTGCGGAGGTGGAAGTCGGTAGTTCAACTCTACAATCACATTTTGTGCAAGCTATGGAGTGTGAGTGTGTGATTATGAGGTAGATAGATTCGTTGCGACTTACAGCATTGATATTAACTAGTAATGAAGATAATGATGAAGGCAAGTTAACCAAGCAATTCTTTAGATGAATTAATGATATCTCTGCAGGTGTAGCTTGACTACCACGTCCTTTTAAGTTTGAGGCCATAATTAAAGATGTTACAATAAAAATCAATATACCATAATGAGGGAGAAAAAGATAGAAAGGAGAGAGATTCCCAAAAGATGAAATGCCTTGAGCATTTCAACTGACCGTCACAAGTTCACCTCGGTATATCATTTCTGGAGCGCATACCCACCCGTACCTGAGAGCTGCAAATGCGGTTCCGCTTATTCATGGCATACAGTACCACTTGACATTTAACCCTTTCCGAAATGAACTCAAAATCAAAAATCTATTATTTTGCGATTGAAATGACTGTCAATTTTTGATTTCGTATTTTAGAATTTACCTTTCCAATTTGACTGATTTTAAATCATTCAATTGATTTTAGATGTCAATTTTTGTAAATTTTGAACAATGTAACCATGATTAGGCGGAGCTGCGTGCCACAAATAGCTTGATTAGACACGAAAATTCACGAACCGTTGACAGGGGGATTGAACTTTACTATCAGCGCGTGAATTTCAATTTAGAGATTTGACTGAGAGATTCCTCACTTCAACCTCATAAACCTTTGCGCCGTCAGCCCCTCCATACTAATCTCTCTATTACGGTCTTTTATTACTTGCGCAAAGTATTGAATCTTTGATTAAATTCTAAGTGATCAAGGGGCTCTTACCAAGATGGCGCTGCTTCAATACAAAGCTCCCGTCAACTATGAAGCTCATCAAGGTATGGAGTTTTCAATTACTGAGAATTTCTATGATACTGATCCAATTACTAGAGGCTTTCGAAGACTTTCTTTACACCTTCAAAACTTCTCCGACTGCGAACATTACCCATGCTTTGGGCGGCATGAACATTGATGAGGATGATTTCAGCGATGACAACGATATGATGGATGACGATGACGACCAGACCTCAAGGAGGCAGACCAGAGCTCAAGCAAAGGTTCCCAAGTTGAAGTATCTGGAGTTATTACAAAGAGTTGCGGACAGATACGAGGATGAAATCACAATTGAACTGGACGATTTAGCCAAAGTATAGCGACCGCCCCTCCATCTGTTTGATATACTGACAGTTGTAGTATGACGACTTACTGGATGAAGCTGGAACTCCTCTCAATCTAGTCAACTCAATTGAAACCAACGCAAAGCATTATCTGGATATTTTATCCAAGGCGGTCGATGCAGTGATGCCACAACCTACAAGAGAAATTAAGTGAGCTGAGCTGTAAACTTGCTGTGGTTTGTTTACTGATTAAGTCACAGCTATAAGGATGATGTACTTGATGTTCTCATGTCGCAACGAACAGCTCGAAATAACGCCTTACGCCGTGCTGCCGCCGAACAAAGCGATATAACTGTTGAGCCCGAACTCTTCCCTGCCGAACTTACAAGAAGATATACTCTGAACTTCAAACCATTAACCGCTTCCGGAGATAATCCCAAAAAAGCTTTGGCAGTGCGACAGGTTCGTGGTGAGCATCTTGGTCATCTTATTACCGTTAGGGGAATTACTACAAGAGTTTCAGATGTTAAGCCGACTGTGGAAGTAAACGCATATACTTGTGATAGATGTGGTTGCGAAATTTTCCAGCCCGTTGGATCCAAGACATTTGGGCCATTAGTTGAATGTCCTTCTCCCGATTGTACTACGAATCAAACCAAAGGACAACTCCATCATTCCACTCGAGCTTCAAAATTCCAGCCATTCCAAGAAATCAAAATCCAGGAAATGGCCGAACAAGTCCCAGTTGGTCACATTCCTCGAATGTTGACTGTCCTATGCCACGGAGCTCTAGTTCGACGTATCAATCCTGGAGATGTTGTCGATATTGCAGGAATTTTCTTACCTACGCCATATACTGGTTTCAAAGCCATTAGAGCTGGTCTTCTCACTGATACATATCTTGAGGCACAGCACGTCACTCAACACAAGAAGGCTTACGAAGATTTAACTATTGATAGCCGAGTTTTCAAGCGAATTGAGCAATACAGAGCATCTGGCCATGTCTACGAATACCTTGCAAAATCCATCGCGCCTGAAATTTACGGTCATTTAGATGTGAAGAAAGCATTACTTTTACTGTTGGTCGGTGGTGTTACTAAAAGTATGGGTGATGGAATGAGAATCAGAGGTGATATCAATATCTGTCTGATGGGTGACCCGGGAGTGGCAAAATCTCAATTACTCAAATATATCACCAAAGTGGCACCCAGAGGAGTTTACACTACCGGTCGTGGAAGTAGTGGTGTTGGTCTTACTGCAGCGGTCATGAAGGATCCAGTAACCGATGAAATGATTCTCGAAGGTGGTGCGCTGGTACTTGCGGACAATGGTATCTGCTGTATCGATGAATTTGACAAGATGGACGATACCGATCGAACTGCTATTCACGAAGTTATGGAACAACAGACAATTTCCATTTCCAAGGCCGGAATTTCTACGACTTTGAACGCTAGAACTTCCATTTTGGCAGCTGCCAATCCTCTTTATGGCCGTTACAATCCCAGGATATCTCCAGTGGAGAACATCAACCTTCCAGCAGCTTTACTCTCCCGTTTCGATGTACTATTCCTTATCCTTGACACTCCTACAAGAGATAACGATGCTCTCCTCGCTCGCCACGTCACCTATGTTCACATGAATAATAAACATCCTGATACTGAAGGCGTTGTCTTCACACCACAAGAAGTTCGTCAATATGTTGCTCAAGCTAGATCCTATCGTCCAACGGTTCCAACGAGCGTCTCTGAGTATATGGTAAAAGCCTATGTCAGAATGCGTGATCAACAATCTCGTGATGAGAAAAATAAGAAACAATTTGCTCATACCTCTCCTCGTACCCTTCTTGGTGTCCTTCGTCTATCACAAGCTCTTGCTCGATTACGTTTCAGCGAAGAGGTGGTTCAAGATGATGTTGATGAAGCTCTTAGACTTGTTGAAGCATCGAAAGAGAGTTTGTATGCTGATCAAGATGGATATAGAAAGGATTCTAGTCCAAGCAGTAGAATTTACAATATGGTTAGAGCTTTGGCCGAAGCTGGTCAATGCAGACCTGAAGAGGCGGATGATGAAGATGATGAGACTTTGGGTATGGAATTGAGTATGAAGAAGGTAAAGGAGAGAGTTATTGCCAAGGGATTTACTGAGGATCAATGGCGAGCTGCTGTTATGGAATACACTGATCTTGATGTAAGTTCTCGCATGTTTTACCCCTTCAATGGGATTTTTACTAACAATGTCATTAGATCTGGCAAACGGCTGGTAATGGAACGAGATTGCTATTTGTCATGTCAGAGGCAGCGCATATGGCAAGGGATGAAGAGTATGAAATGGAATAAATATATCCGAATCAATGAGATAAAGATCATATGTGTGCATGTAATCCAGGCGTTTGTGGATTAAGGATATCCATGAGGCGTTTTATTGTATCAGCTGTGGTGAGATACCAATAGAAGAGCATTAGTTGAATACCTACCTATTGTCAATTCAGTTAATTGTACCGTATCTTCCCCATGAGCGGTGTTGACACTAGTGATACCTATCCTGAATCATTGGCATTTACAAACCTTTCCAAACCTCCTCTCATCATCTTTAATCTACCTACCTAGCTGAAGACAGTAGGTAGTACTCGGAAGAAAGCTCCTCCAGACAATACCTAGGTACCTAGGCAATGTTTATCCTGAATGAGAACTTGGACATGATGAATCTCAGATTTCCTACCTACCTTCTACTTCTTTGTATTATCACTTCACAAAACATTCAGGGCGAGCTAGCTCGCTAGTGTTTGGAAGCGTCTAATATTTTATATTATTTTATATTGTTCTTATTATTCTTATTATTCTTATTATTCTTATTATTCTTATTATTCTTATTATTCTTATTATTCTTATTATTCTTATTATTCTTATTATTCTTATTATTCTTATTATTCTTATTATTCTTATTATTCTTATTATTCTTATTATTCTTATTATTCTTATTATTCTTATTATTCTTATTATTCTTATTATTCTTATTATTCTTATTATTCTTATTATTCTTATTATTCTATAATTTAATAGATATAATAGAAACAATAGAGGTTTCGCTTTTATAATTTTTTCTAGATTCTAATTTAGATTGTTTAGATTCTTTAGATTCTTTAGATTCTTTAGATTTTTTAGATTTTTTAAAGAATAGTATTGTTAGTCTACTATACTCTATTATTCTAATAAAGAAACTATAATACTCTTTATTGAAAAGATAATTAGTATATAAAAAGGTTTAGGGGAAATTTAATAATTATAAGGACGATTATGTGATTATATCAGAAGGATAATAGACTTCAATTGTCTAAACCTCCATCAGCCTGGATTACTCTTCATCCCATCGGGCACTGATCATTTTTCACAACGAGGTGGTTCGCCAAGATCTATCAATAACAACTAGTAGTGCCACATATAGCATTGGCTTTTCTTAAGGAGATATACGAGCAGGTTCGTTTACAAAGCTCCCAGAGCGTTTCATTTGCCATACTGCTGCTCTTTCTCAAAGGGCTTACTCCATGTGTCGCTCGACACAGTTTTCATCGCCCGCATGCTTCATACCCAGTACCATTTGATTATACGAAGACAATATGTCAGAATTGAAACGATAGAGTGTAAAATTTCGAGAGTTATACAAGAAAACATTCCTATCAAATTTGTCAAGACACCGATAAGGCTTCAGAGAATAAACTACCAATATGGAAACTGCCAGCGAATTAGATAAGTGGTCGATGCAGGAGGTTCAGAATCAGTTTTAGCTAGATTCGACGCTACAATTGAGTACTCTATAACTCATGTTTACCTGCTTCTATACATCCCTAATATGGGTTGTACCCAAACAGGCCAAAGCATTGAGATGGATGCATGATTTGCCTTATCCAGTAGGAAAGCCACCGGACGATTTACAAACAGTTATTTAGACTGAAGTACACAACAGAGGGTGAAGGACAATATTCAACCAGCGGGCCGAGGATGTACAGTCGTGAAGAAAAGATTCCTTCCCAACCTCAGCAGCTTCAGCGGCCTCACCAGCTATAGCCACAATACCAAGCCATCCATTCCTCCCATTTCTCCCTCCAGCAGCAAAATTCACAACAGCTACTGCACTACCCACTAATATAGCTGCGGCCCCGTTGAGAGCGATGAGATTGGGCGACCAAAGCCACCAGTAGTAGCTGATGAGGCGAACCCCAAATGGTGGTATCCCAGAACTGTATCTCTGTTGCTAGATCAGCGAGCCTCAAAGAGTGGTATGCCAGAGCCGTGCTTCTATAGACAAATAAATTGAGCCCCAACGAGTAGTGTTCAGAGCACTTACCCCGTCAGTCAATAGCGTCGCCACTGCTTGCCATTAACATCTCTCCTGTAGGTAATACCCTTAGACGTTTTTTCAATCATACTAATGAATTGTAGATAGATGGAGAAATGAGCAAGCCGCCCAAAACTATCGAGAAGGCCCGCCCACCATCCGCCCAATTGGTAATGATTTCCTTTCTTGTGAAATATAATATATTGACTCTCTCTAGATACACCCGCCCATAGCGTTGCTGGTGACAATCCGGCTGGTCCATCAGGACCCCCCCAACTACCCGCCCAACCGACCTACGAAAGTTTGGGGCAGGAAGTTTTTGCTCGCCTAACGGCAACCGCCCAAGCAAGACGCGAGCTTGCAGATGCTCTGGTTGAGCAAGAAAATGCTCTGGACCTGGACCCTCTTACCGGCTATTGGCATGTTGGGGCAGGGGAACGATGGGAAGAGAAGGCGAAGTCCGGAGGGTGGGACACGGGATAGCATTAGGAGGAGACAGTGAGGGTCGTCGACTTTTCATCCTCCTTACCAATCGCGTCTTCGCAGCCGTGGATCTAGGACCAAGATATATTAGCACAATTCAAGACATCGAGCACTTTTCTGACATGTGTATGTAGTGGCAAGCTTCGTTTTGCATGTTGAAGAAGTAGAGGAGAGCTTCGAGGCCGGCAACGGCATCACTCCCTGGATGAACAGCGGTGATCTAAGAATTCTAGTGGGGCCACTTGTATTGCATACGAATTTAATATTTTTCTAGGACCATACCGAGATAATGACATATATCAAGCATTGTGAGTTCCACACTGTGCTCTACGCCCTTGATCTACAATTCTGCCCACTTCCGTTTCTTCATCGTTCTTAATATTTCCAAACCCTTGGTGAATGCAGCATCTCGTTGCAACCAGGTAATCGAACAACAAAGTCTCCGACCTTATACCCATCCGACTCATCCGAATTGTAGGCATTCATTATTTTCTGGGGCACGAGTGCCAACCTCAAACAAGGGGACTAGCCGGCAGAGAACAGAAGAAGCAAGCTATGAAATCGCGGTGTCTTTTCACCAAGGGGTTGGTTTGCTGGGTTTATAAAGAGTTGAGGACGTGGCTGGAGGGTGCTCTTGATCAACTTTACTAGCCAATATATCACATTGATTCTACCCCTTGAGTAAGAATGGCCGAAGCTCAGATATTCATCAGTGAAGCAGATGGCAATAAAGTCTTTCAAACAGACCACCAGACCACCAGACCAACCGAGGTACTAAACTGGAGAGTTCTGGGATGGGAGAAAGAATCGATTACCCTCAACAACACTGGTATACGTATACTTTGGCCAAGGTATATTAAACAGTCAATTCCATGGATGCTTCCCCGAGAAAATGGGAGGCTAGGCTTTGGGAGAGAGAAGGGGGGGGGGGGGGGGAGGTGAGGACAGAATTTATTTCCTGCAAGTAATAATGATATCATCATCTATTCTCGAAAACCAATTCTAAGCTTGGCCAAAACTACGTAAGCTATTTGGGTAAGTCAACCGGTGACATCGCAGTACTTGATGAGTATCTTTAGTGAGGCCTTTCCGAGTTTTTACATCGACTCAGAATCCGAATGATATTAATCTACAATGTAATTGATGAGAAGTATTGAATATTACTATTTGATATTCAAAAATCGGAAGAAGCAGAAGTGTATAGCCTCGTTTCATGAACTTCAAAACTAACCCCACAGCGAATTTCCACGTTGAACTTGAGGAATTATAGTGAAAAGGCTTCCAACATCAAATTTTGAAGTAGAGCTTCGAGAGAAGACTTGTGGCGATGTATTACACGCATTGCATTGGAGACATAGTAGCTACTCAGCCAACAATACAGATAATAAACGAAAGATGATTGTTTGATTAAGTGGTTCAGCAGAATTAAATCTCCCAAGAGCGGAGCTTGTGTAATAGATTGAGTTTATTCAAACTACCACGGATGCTCGGAGGTCTACATACAGCTATGCGAATATTGGACGCTGCACTCTAGAGTGGTCTAAGCAATTGTGTAATTTGATTTGCACATTGAAGATATGAAATTGACCAGAATCTTGAGGAAGAGACGACTCATCTCTTGATGGCATGCGATGTCTTCATTATACTCTTGGTCCCGGCAAAGGAGTATTTCCGAAGCGAGATATTGGAAGAAATTATTACAATATTCGACAAGGAAATGTACATACCCCGATGTGCAATGGAGGACTCGTATCATAGCGCTTTCAATCCTTGATCTAAAAACGCTCCAAGAAGGTGAGTATGAGGAAAAGAGAAGAAGAATATCAAGTCCCAGAAGTGAAATGGCTGTGAAGTTCAGTAGTGTAGATATCCGAAGCGAGCCGAATGGCAACTTTCAAAAAAATGGAACAAAGAGTTAGATAATTGGAATTAAAACTATTCACTTGACCACTGCAGCCTAGTTCAAAAGGCGCTTTACCATTTTAGGCCATGTTTGTCCCATTTGCACCAACTGGTCCCCTTTCTAGCGCGCACACTCCACCACCCATTTTCTATAAACGCCTCGATTCCTCCCTCTCTCTCTCTTCTTCTTCTTCTTTTCCTCTATACTTACCTTCTTGGAGCGTTTTTAGATCAAGGATTGAAAGCGCTATGATACGAGTCCTCCATTGCACATCGGGGCGACGAGAATCGTTGGGTATCCTTCGGGGTCCCCATCAGGGGAATTTTTGATTGCTTCCTTCGGGATAGAACCTTTGTTTCATTATGATTGCGGTCTTGAACTGTAACATGAAGAAGAATTGCTTGGTTTGAATGTTCTTTTGATATGCTGTCGCCAAGAGAATGTTGAGGATATAATATGAGATGGATACTGGGCGACCCCAACAACACTTGATTATCTAGACGTTCTAATTAAGTAAGGATTGTTTTTATCGTATTGATGGATAGCTATTGAAGGAATATTCTGCACTCAAAACACTGATTGATGTTGCTTTGCGACGTTCGTTGTTGATATTCGATCCAAGTGAGTATCAAGGACAGTAACGAAGCTAAGATAGAATCCCCCTCCAATATGTATCAAAACAGCTTCACATTTGAAATTATCATTATCCTACACACATACACACATACACACATATATATCCTAGATAATTCCAATGGTTTGTTCTGCATATGTTGGATGTCGGGGATCATTGTGTTGTGGTGGCCACCAAACCAGGATATGTCGACAACAACGTGACATGCCACATCAACATCAACGCGACAACTATATATTCATGTAATAGATAAACCATTACATCCTCATTCATAACATTCAGAATATAAACTAATCACACAAACTTCATTACACTCCTCTTTTCCCCATCCAAAAACGAAACCTTACCGCAGATCTCCAATTTAACCTCTCCCTATTGTTCCACGCCGAGGTAAACTTTCACATGTTGATCAAGGAGATTACCCAACTTCAAAGCATCTATCCACCATAATCAACAAAACAACATCACTCATGCGACACCCGTAACCACTTCAAAACTATGGAATCAGCACCCAACGGTGCTCCAGAAGCTCCTAAGCCACCTCGCGATCGAATCTCCGCTAAATCTACTGCTGATCCTATTCTCCGCAATGCGATTCGTTATACCATCTCCGCGAAAGAATATGAAACACTACACAAATACATAATCTCACGATCGAAAGTTCTGAAGAGAAATGCACCTACAGTTACAAAGGTAGAGAAATTGGTAGAGAGACCAGGTCGCGATGATTATAATGCTGCAGCTGTGAGGGGTAGCTTGAGGTTATTCCTGGCTACCAATGCGGGATTGAAGATATGGAGTTTGATCACGGAGAAATTCATGGGAGCTGGTAAAGCTGGGTACGTTTTTTCTATTCGTCTTCTCGCAGACGTGCAAATAAAGTTAAACGAAAGCTAATTGATGTTATAGGGGGAAGAAGACTTCATTATGGAAGTCGCCAAACTTCCGCCTCTCTCTTTCCCTCTCTACGATACTCCTTCTTCATCGGATTCTTTTCCGATTCTTCACCCGACTTCGCGCACATCTCCTTACATCCGAAGCCGAACCTTTCAGACAGCGAAACCCGAAAACAAGTAAGACGCTCACATCGACTTTGGCACCGGCGGTTGGAGCAAGTTTGGCTGGGTTTATGTTGGGGGTTTATCCAAGTGATCAGCTAAGAGTTACAATTGCGATTTATGCGTTGAGTAGAGCTGCAGAAATATCGTATAATTTGGCAGAAGACGAGGGCTGGATTTGGGGTAAAGAGGGAAGTAGATGGGAGAGACCGTGGTGGTGGGGAAGTTGGTTACTTTTCCCATTGACTTGTGGTCAATTGCTTCATGCTTTCATTTTTGATAGAGATTGCTTTCCAAAGGTATGGTTTCCAATTGCTCTGAAAGGCGTCGGTACTAATGATGCACAGCAATATGGAGATTTCATTCTCAAAAACTCTCCACACTACATACAAACTCGACCGGAAGATTATCCAGCCAATTTACCATGGCCAAATACTTACGGCATCGTTGATAACCTCGCAGAAATGGCACGTCTTAATTACCCGTATGTTATCATTACTCTCACAATTTCATGTCGAACACACTAACATTCATGCCAGACCCTTCGTGTCCCCAATTCTTTTCCCCAACAACCCTACTCTACCACAGTCTCTCAGCGGCATTTCTCCCATAACCTCTCCCGCCCACCCATTAATAACATCCCTCACATGCGCTACTCTTCACCCCTCGGACCCTTCTTGTCTCCGCACTTATCTCACCTACTGGATCCAAGTCTTCCCCCGCCTCGCTCGAGTCTTCACTCTAATCCTCTCTCTCTTCTCTCTCCCCGCCTATCGCAAATTCTACAATTCCCCCATCTCTTCGCTAAACACCCTCGCTATCCGTATCCTCAAATCTACCCTTTATATTTCCGGCGCCATCGGCACTAGCTGGGCTAGTATCTGCGCTTTCCAATCGATTCTGCCCAGACATGTCCTACCTACCCAGAGATTCTTCCTAGGAGGTGCATTGGGCGGTCTTTGGGGATTCGTAGTTAGAAAAGATGCAAGAGGAGAATTCTTATACAGTGCGCGTGCATCGATGGATTCGTTATGGAAGGTTGGCAAGAAGAGAGGATGGTGGAAGGGAATTAAGGGTGGTGATGTATGGGTTTTTGTCATTAGTTTAATGGCTATTGAGATGGCTTATGAGAGGGACGGAAGAGCGTTAAGGAGTGGTATGTTGAGGAAGATGCTTAGTGGGATGAGGGGTGAGGGTTGGAGAGATTATGTCACCGAGGAGGAAAAGAGACCAAAAGAGGAGAAGAAGTTGTAGAAGTTGTTCAAGCGAAAACGGGGAGTATTGCCACGAGCGTGCATTGCGTTTGAAGTACTGGCTAGATCATAAATCACGGATTGAGAAGATCAAGATTTAGAAAATGGGATTGATGAGGGGTCGGGTATCAGGGTCGGGTAGAGGATATGAATCTCTACAATAGAAGCAGGGTTGTGATTATGGGGGGTTTGCTCATCAGCGCCGTAGGGAAACCTACGGAAGAGATATACTTTGCAACTTCATTTATAGGGGGCGATTCGGGAGTTCACGAGTACTTTCATGTTTCGAGGCGGATATGAAGATGTTTATATATCCAGGCCGAGGCCATTTGCTCCAAGAGTTGCTTTCTGTTAATGGTTAATTTTACTTTATTTATTTTGACATTCGCCGTATTTGAGATACAGTGTAGTCAGTCAGTTACTGAAAAACTTGAGTAGTAAGTAGGTTTGATGAGAAATTTTGAATTAATTAATATTAAACATTATTAATTACTGACTTTATCTCAAGCTAATAATCTAGCTCTGTTGGATAGCTGAGATGTTCGTTATATCCAGCTAACCGATCATTCAAGTCTTTGTGTGAATCTGAATTCAATCCACAAGCCCAGCAACATCGAGGACAGAAACTTCTTGATTCCTCCACTCCACTCCTTGTCAAGTATCAATACAAACCCCGAACCCCGAAACACTGATCATTCTTTTATTCCTTCGTCTACTTCTCCCTCCTACTCCTCCCTCCTACTCCTCCCTCCTACTCCTCCCTCCTACTCCTCCCTCCTACTCCTCCCTCCTACTCCTCCCTCCTACTCCTCCCTCCTACTCCTCCCTCCTGCTCCTCCCTCCCTCGCCACTGCAAACCCCCCCTCCCCAACATCCCTCTCCCCTCTCCCCATCTCCAAAGATCTCACATACCGTTCTCTATCCCTCGTATGGAACGGACGAAGTCTGGCCAACAACCCCTCATCAACATCCTTCTCATCAACATCCTTCTCATCAACATCCTTCTCATCAACATCCCACTTCCCAATATCCTCCTCATCAACATCCCACTCCCCAATATCCTCCTTCCACCTCACTATTCTTGAAGGCTTTGTACGCTGCTCTTTCTGCTGTAAATATGTCAGAAGATCAATACCCCACTCCTCAACATCCCTCTCCCCAATATCCGCCTCCCAAACATCCCCCTCCTCGATATCCTCCTCTTCAACATCCCCCTCCTCAACATGCCCCTCCTCAATACCCCCCTCCTCTATACCCCCCTCCTCAATATCCTCCTCCTCAATACCCCCCTCTCCAACACCCCCCTCCCCAATATCCCCCTCCCCCCTCACCATCTCCAAACCCTCCACACCCTGCTCTCTATCCCCCCCACAGTCCGGACAAAGCCTAGCCAACAACCCCTCATCAACCAACCGCTCCATTTCCAATTCCGTACCTGCAGTCTCTCTATCCTGTTTCGGGAGCATGTTCACAATCTGAGCTAAGCGATCCCGAGCTGTATCTTGCTTTTGTTTTTCCTCGACACTTTGATACGTCTCGCGCGCGAGTTTCTGTTGCTCGTTGTGTTCTGCGTTTGAGAGGGCAGCTATAGCTTGAACGTTCATAGCTGTTTCTCCACTTTTTTGTGCCATTTTCATGATCTGTTGTATTTGATTTCAGATTAGTTAGCTAGTCTGTGAAGCCTTCGAAAGGCTTGACCGTTTTCAATTACGCATGAGCAAACAAGTTGGTATGGTATGTACAGTTAAAAATCCACAAGACAGAGGACCAATCAATATGCAAGCAAGCAAAAATATTTACAGCAAAAAGTCCACAGGGAGAGGATCAATCCAATAAACTATGCTAGGGTGCTCCAACCATTTCAAAAGATTCTTGTCCACCTCCGTCCTTACGATCGCCTCCTTTAGCTTTCATGGGCCCATCTACCACTTCATCCCCCTCAACCGTAACCTCCTTATCGCGAAATTGTCGCATGAGTTGTAGAAACTGGCTATTCTGAAACTTCTCGCTTTGGTTATTACTAACACTAGATAAAAGTTCACCAGCTGTACGTGATAGCGCATCCGGTGCATGTATATTTTGTTCTGATGTAGCGGTTGCGGGATCCTGAATGGTATCTGCGCCGAGTAAGCTTTGGCCGAGTAGTTGCTTCTCCGCTCTTTCGAGTTCTGATACTGCCTCCTTTGTAACATGTAGATGATCCATAGTGTGAGTCTCTTCATGTTGGATACTAGCAGCTTGTGACTCTAGCTCCTGTTGTTGCGCCCTTTCACTTTCCGCATTAGCTGCTTGTTCAAAAGCTCTGGCGAATGCCGCTTCATCAAAGACTTCATTGTTTTCTACCAATGACTGGCTCGTAGATGCAAGCTGATTTTGTTGCATAAGAACTCTAGGCATTGGATTATATCCGGCATTTATCATAGAAGGGCGATTCATTGCCATGATAGGTTGGTTTCCTTGCGCAATCATTCCCGGGGCTCCATGACTTTGCGCAAACTCCTGATGCCATCCTGCTCCCATTTGTGGTTGAATGGTTTGGTGTACGCCTTGTTGTTGAAATTGCGCTTGAGGACCAGATATGCTCATATTTTGGAAATCATTAGCCCATCCTTGACCTGCAGAATGTTGTGGTACGACGTTTTGAAAAGATTGAGGAGGTGGAGTTTGGAAATGATGAGGAGTGAAGTTTTGCGCCGATGGAGAGGGACCAAGTGATTGATGACCGGCTTGGAAAGCTGCGAATTCAGCATCTAGTTGACCTGCATTTGGACCTGGAAAAGCTCGAAAGCCCTATTATGTTGTTAGCAAGACTGTGGCTGTGATGTAATGCGCTTAGGAGTAAGTGAAGAATAATATATGATACATACTTGCGACGACGGCGCTCTTCCAACTAATCGATCTTGTTGTAGAGTGCGATCAACATTGGAATGCTTTTGGAAGTTCTGCAAAGCATTAGATGGACCACAAAGATTGTCTGCCATGTTTTTGTTTCTTATTGCGAAAAATCAATCTGGATTGATTGTAGTTGAAAGATGGATTCCCAAAATTGCGATTATGTGATGATCCGGGAATGTGAGCTTAATTGTTGAACCGAGGCTTATGAAATGGAACTGTGAAATTATAGAAGATGTAAGAAGAATGGAGATGTTTATTAGAAGATTACAAAAACTGTATGAATTTACTGAATGAATTGATACGAATCTATCTCCTCAATTAATTCCCCTTAAAAACCAATGAGATAAGTAAGGAAATGGAAGAAAGGTAAGAGAAGAGAAGGGAGAAGATTGAAAGATGTCATCGCATACCTACACTAGATTAAGACTCGGGATTTTGCCTCTCTAATGAGTAAGCGGTCAGGATAACAGCATCCTTATCACAGAAATCACATGCAGGTTAAATTCTGCCGGGGAAATGTTTCCCCGATATGTACCAAAAGCGGTAAGTGCCGCTTAGATACGATCTGGCAGCATCAATCAGTTGAGAGCTTCAGGAACTCAGAAGGTGTTTCGAATTACATATACAATCAATTAATTCTCTTGTGTCAGTATGGCGCAAACAATAACCAATTCGGGTCATGATGATATGATTGTAAGTATTCCTTGGTCTTATTTTTCTGGTTTCACCAGGAATTGTTCCATCATTAGCTTTCAGCGCGTTATCGAAAGTCAATAGACTAATTGCTTGTTGTATAGCACGATGCAGCTTTAGATTATTATGGTCGCAGACTGGCAACATGTTCGTCGGATCGTACAGTAAAGATCTTTGAAATCGAAGGGGAAACACATCGTCTTACAGAAACACTGAAGGGGTATGTTGCTTTCCTGAAATCAATCAAACACATAGGCTTCATGCGCTCAACACACTGGTTATTGCACATTGCACATTGCACATCTTCTGCATCTTCATGATGACATGTCTTCTCAAACTCCCACAGCTTTACCCTCACCATGCTAACACATCCACTCCAGCCACGAAGGGGCCATCTGGTCCATCTCCTGGGCTCACCCCAAATACGGCAATATCCTCGCCTCCGCAGGCTACGACGGCAAAGTTCTCATCTACCGCGAAACCTCATCGGTATGGACCAAGATCTACGATTTCGCTCTGCACACTGCATCCGTCAACTCTCTGTCCTGGTGTCCTCATGAATCCGGATGTCTCCTTGCTTGCGCATCCTCGGATGGAAATGTTTCGGTTCTAGAATTCAAGGATAATTCCATGGATCATAAGATTTTCCATGCGCATGGTATTGGTGTGAATAGTGTTTCTTGGGCGCCATCGTCGCAGCCGGGTAGCTTGGTCAGTGCGAATGCGGGAGGAAAGGAAGGTGGTGTGAGGAGATTTGTTACCGGTGGAAGTGATAATCTTTTGAGGGTTTGGGGTTGGGATCAAGCTAGCTTGAGCTATAAGGTTGAAGGGGCTCCATTACAGGGACATGGCGATTGGGTTAGGGATGTTGCGTGGAGTCCCACTGTTTTACAAAAGAGTATGTTTTCCTCTTTTTTCATTTTCACCTTATTCTCCCCTACAATGAAAGATTCAAAACGATTAACACATCAATAGGTTACATAGCATCCGCTTCCCAAGACAAAACCGTGCGCATCTGGACCTCATCCGCAGCTTCTAGCCCAGGTCAATGGGAATCCAAAGTTCTCCAATTCGAACGCGAAGTCTGGCGCGTATCGTGGAGTTTAAGTGGAAATGTATTGGCAGTCAGTGGAGGTGATAATAAGGTTTCTTTATGGAAGGAAAATTTGAGGGGCGAGTGGGAATGTGTTAAGGAGATTGAGGAATAGATTTTAGTAAAGGGGTGCGCGCAGTGGCGGGAGGAAAGGGGCGGAAAGAAGAGGAAAGGAGTTGAGAAGTTGATCAAGCGTTCGTACGAGTAGATGAGGCGTTTTGGGACCGATACCGTAGGCAGGTAAACATAAAGACAAAAGATAAACTTCAAATAAAATGATATACAAAGTGTTGAGAAGCGAGGCAAATTTGTAAGTTTGTAAGTTTTCATTCTTCAATTCTTCAATTCTGTTCAAGATCCTCAATCTACGAACCACCTTACTACTCTCACATCGACCATCCATAAAGTTGGAGTACGTGCTACGTACGCTCTTTCCTTTCTACAATCTATAGAGATCTTTTAGAAACGAAACGGCACGAATCCAAACGAAAATCACCATCAATCCCATTTGAACCAAAGAAAAGTACATCGCTCGCTGACCAATGCCCGCACGCGTGTAAACATGCAAACTTTCAATTAGATGGATCTAGATCTAGATCTCGATTTCATTCGCATTTGACCTTCACCCAAATCCTGCTTCCCTCCACAACTGCTACCTCCTCCACAAAAGAAAAAAAAATGCAGACGCAGATGTAAACGCGGATCACAAACGCAGAAACCCATATATTGCAAGATACCACCCCATTCTCAACGCCAGATTGTGAAAAAAGGGGGTATATCCACGATGCAGATCCATTTATATCCATCCAACACCCCAATCCCATTCCCAATTCCTCGAATAAAACTCCCTCCCTTTTGCAAATCAATCCACCCACTTCCCTCCCTACTGCCCCGTCCCTTCCAAAGAAAAACGTTAATATGAAAATTGAATCAAGGAAAGAAAATTGCACCAAACTTATTTTTGAAAAGAGAATACCGAAAGTATGTTGAAGAATATTTGTCTGGAAAGAATGTCGAAAGTTGGTTAAATATGTGCAAATCGAAATGAAAAGAATTGCTAGTAAACGATGCCCGAGGTTCGTTGTTAACTATGAAAAATATCCATATTGTTGGTCCAAAATAATACTGTTTCTTAAAACGAAATGAAGTTATTAAGTTGAGTTAAGATTCCATGTTTCAATGTTTGTCGCCGGCCAATGTGTCGCGTATGTTGGAACGGTATGCTTGCTGCTGCTGCGCTGATGCTTTGAAAATATGCTCATGATCTTGGATCGATTCATCACAAGAATCGTTAATTGATAGCCTTATATCGAGGAACTTAATCCCCATCTTATTGTGTTAGATGTGACCGGCACTGAAAAGTCGTGGCAAATCATTAAATAAAATGTGGTTAGCCCGCAGAGGCACAAGCTAGCAATGGTTGTAGAGCTTCAAGAGTTTGAGAAACTTCAAAGCTTCCTTGCCATCAATGGGCTCTGTTGCATCACTCTCATCCGTATTCCAGAAAATGAATGGTCCTGACATCACATCCCTAGAAGAATGAGATTGCGCATCGAACCATCGACCAACAATGATGCGACCACCAGGTAAAACACAACCTTCATAGCCCCAAGACTGTCCTGGGTCATGGAACCCATTCCGATCCGAGAAAAACTTCATGATGGTAATTCTTTGAAAGCCGGGAATCCCATGCTGTGGAGGAATCCCATGTACAGCTCCATAGAAATGGGCAGTCGAGGAAGAGTCATTTGAAGAACCGTAAAAGTACTCCACGCCTGGGTTCGGGTTCTCTTTTGGTTTCTTGAAGTCCTTTTTCGACCGAGTAGTGCGTCTCGAAGTACGACGTTGAGAGGTGGGCTCAGGAGCAGCGTTGGAGAATGGATCACTATGAAGAATTGTTTCCCATGACTTGGGCCAATGTTGCTTTCCGAAAATCTGGTCGTCGAAAAATAGAGATATATCCTGTTGCGACACTAAGTTAGTCATCCTGCACCACTGACACATTCTCATGATTGGCTTACCTGAAATGACTCCCCACCATCTAGTTCATCCGAGTAAGGACCATCGTCAGTTTCTTCGCCAGCTCGTCTCATTCTTGCCAATTCATCAGGATTGACATAAACTAAGGTCGAATTAGTTCCCGGGAATTCGAGGCAGTATGTATCGCCGACACTTACAATAGGCTCCTTTCCAATGGCTTCCTAGCTTTTGTGTTCCCGACTTCAATCGACCCAACCATGGTTGTGGCAATTGACTTTGTTCAAGTTCGGCATAGGCATGAGCGAGAAGTCCTTCACCCTTTCCAGCTTTGAGGTGAAACTTGAAGAAATTCGCCACATGTAAACACCAACGGACGTTGAGGTCACCCTTCCATTTCCCGAGAAACAATGGTTGTCTCGCTGGCGGTGCGTAAACCTCCAACTGGGACAAGTCGAACTGAGAGATTGTATTTGTGCAATATCTTGGGTCCCAAGAAATGGATGTCAAGCATAGTTGAATCAACAACACCCGGGTATTGGCACTACTATCAACTGAACAGATAGCTTTCAGATCCCACTCATTACGAGTCTTCGCAATGGAATCAATGATATCAATTATATCTCCAGCATGAGTTGTGCCCGATACGAAGGATCCTTCAACATATTGCCTAATGTAGTCAATGTTGCGACTTACAATCATCTCATCGCCGTTGTCGTCAAAACTTTTGTGGGCATCGGATTCTGTACCATTTCCTTAGTATGTACGCTTGACGATGACAGATTCAAAAGAGACATACCAATTATGAGGTTCTGGAGCATATCGAGGACCTTTTCTTGCGCCTTTTCGATTCGTGCGATATCTGCACTAGGAAGGTACCGGTACTTGTTGAATTCGAATTTGGTGTAGAGCTTGGTGGTCTTGTGTCTGACCTGATACTTCTCCCTCAAAAGTTCTACAGGCGCATCGGGTACTGCATCAAATTTCTCCAGAAATCGATAACGCCAGACACTATCCGACATAGCACTGCGGGTTTTTCGACAGATTTGAGAGTATCGTATGATGTCTCGATCGTGGGACAAGAACTTGACGATATTTTGGTGTACCTGTATTTGAGTGGTTAGCGAATAGAGTCTAGGGGGAAGCATACGCAAATTTCGGTCTACTATCCGCAATAACTTCAACGGTCTAGTCGATAGCCTGAGAAATAACGGATGTGATCAAGCGATCTTCAGGTTATCGCAATCAGACGAATGACTCTGAGGTATCTGTCGCACGACGACATGCACGATTGACGAACATGAGTAGAAATACTTAAAAAAGACAGAACGTACCTCTACTGGGATAACCTCCTTAAACAACTTGTCAAGGTTAGTATTTGGAGCAGCAACTGTTGCAGCGGCCATTGCAATAGGTCCTGAGTCAACGACAATAACGGATCCAGTATCAGAGTCGTCATCATCCTCGTCACTCCAAGCAGTGACACTACTATCGAGTGCGCCGATCTGGGAAGACTTGTTGTCGTCGTCATCGTCATTCTCTACAGAGGAGGAATTGTCACTATCCGAGACTACTAAATAGGCCCTGGCTCGCTTGGATCGAGAGACTTCGAACGATTCGTCCTTCTTTCTCTTGGATACGGCATAGGGAAGCCGTGTTTGAGTAGAGCGTTGCGAAACGTTCTTCTTCTTCTTGGTCGGCATCTTGAGATACGCGGCGGTGGTGAATAGAAGCTGGAGTAATTGAAGAGAGATTGCAAGTGCGAGAACTTTCAATTGAGATGTGTTGATGGAAGTTTAAGACGCTGCGATAGCACGAATGGAATTGGGAGAAGTTATTTAATGTTGAAATGATGATGTGATAGTTGGGTGGGAGTTGAAGGTGATTAATTTTTGAAGAATGGATGGGGTAGACTAGAAAACTAGTAGTGAATCTGGAGCTAGCTAGCTGATCTTCGGAGTGCAAAGATCGTAAGTTGGAAAAGCAAGAATCAATATGGATTGGCCAAGATCAAATCGATAATGTCGAAAAGATCTCTGGCCATGTCAATTCTGTGTTTCTCCTGAAATGTCATTACTAGGTAGATCAAGAGATCTTTTTCGAGGTACGATATATCGGGAAGGGGCATCTGGGAAAAAAAGAGCAAGGCAATCTGTCAGCCTTACCCCTCATACCCTTAGCCTGAGCTATAAATGGAAAGATCACACTGACCTGCATAAGCCACACATGTTTGGGGAGTTGTGATTGGTCGAAATGAAAAACACAAACAAGTGGTGGACGAGGCTCACAATTGACCGATGCTAGGTGGGATTTCGATGGATCAAGGGCTTTTAGGGTGAAGTAAGTGAAGTGTGATATTGATAGTAGGAAACACGGGAAGAACGATAATAAGAACAATAATAAGATTCGGAGGTAACAATGTTAGTAGAACTTCGGATGATACGTTCGTTGCCCACTGTCGATGAACCTTTTTGCGGTGGTGAATTATTGTATTGTGTCGGTAGTAAGTAATATATTGTAGTTGTTGGGTTGATACGGAAAGAGGTCTTCCCTTCCAATTCTGTACAACAGTAATGAATCCAATGTGCAAACGACCATCATGACCTTGGCTTGAACATTGAGATTTGTGATCTCGCAAGTAGGAAACGCCAGGAGGTTGCTAGAATACCATCTTGCGTTTGGATTTGGATTTGGCCTTTGATATTGATGATATTCTTATGGATATCAGGGTGCGACTCTTTTGGTGGTGTGGTTGGAAGTCTTCATTCACCCTTTCACATCACTTCACCGAGACACAAAGAATGGAAATGGTGAAGAAAGAGCAAGAGCAAGATCAAAGACGAGGAATTGGAAACTACCTTGATCCATTACCTTAATTATTATAAAGAAGATTCAATTGTTTACTTTTTGGAAGGAGATTTTGCTCAGGCCTTGTTCCTACCAATGAATATTATATATGCAGGTGGTAGCAACTGATTTGGATTGAGGTTCGTTTGTAGTGATGCCTTAACATTATGTATGAGAGAGGTAACCTTAAGATAAATAAAACAATGATAGCTTTCTACTATCCCCAGACTTGGGACGACAAGACCACTCGAGTAGAAAGCAATATCAATTCAATTCAATTTAGCTAAGTCAATTCAATCCAATCCAATCCAATCCAATCCAATCCAATCCAATCCAATCCAATCCAATCCAATCCAATCCAATCCAATCCAATCCAATCCAATCCAATCCAATCCAATCCAATCCAATCCAATCCAATCCAATCCAATCCAATCCAATCCAATCCAATCCAATCCAATCCAATCCAATCCAATCCAATCCAATCCAATCCAATCCAATCCAATCCAATCCAATCCAATCCAATCCAATCCAATCCAATCCAATCCAATCCAATCCAATTCAATTCAATTCCCCTCCAATAATATCAACAATGAATTTCAAAGAACGTCGATACTTTCAATGCCGACGTCTACCAGCTTATGATCAATCAATCAATCAATCAATCGCCTCAATGTCTCACTCACCTCACTTATTAACTTCACCCTCATTTCCCTTCCCCATTTTTGATAATGAATGACATCTCTTTGGACCTTTTGAACCTTGATCTCTCTTTATCTTCGTATCTAACCACTCACCTCCTCCTTCTTCCCCAGACCAGAATCCAACTCACGGTCCCAACTTTCCAGCGTTCGGACATCGCCTTTTTCCCTCAGTGTGGCTGATGGCTGATGGCTGATGGCTTTCCCGGAAATCTCTCCATGATCTGCTCTCCGTCGGGGCAAATCCACGGCAAAGCCATGTAAGCCATGTTCAACATCTCTGGGCATCAGCTTTATGCACCTTTCCACGATCTTATTCACACTCCCGTCTGGGCAGCAGGGCTATCTCCATACATAACCATACCATACCATACCATACGGTCCATACCATAACATACCATACCGGAAAATTGCAGTCCCAAGACGGGAGGCTTCAACAAAAGTCTGGGCAATCTGCACCTCATCTTGCTTCAAAATACAACACCAACAACTTCATTGTCTATTATTATTTACATACATATAACCAGAAGTGATTTCTCATCTTGCTACATTTGCGCATTCGCCACATGGATTTCAAGTTCTTCTTTTAACTACCTACCTACTAGGGACAAACAAGCAGCTTCTAAATTAATCCATTTCTTCCTCCACGGCTTCTCCATCTCTCATACAAACTTGACATGAGACGAGAAGATCCACCTCTTGTGCGGCACACCATTTCTTATCTGTGGCTTATGACCTCGTTTTCTTGACCAACCTTCATTGTTAAGAGACCCTCTCGACCCTTTAGCAAGAAACCTGGAATTAGAATGTTCAAGGGAGAAAATGGATACCTCGTCTCGACAACCCCCGAGTCTCCCAGATTAGGTCAAGATAAGCATGAGTCGAGGTATCATAATCCAATCATGAACTCTCATTGCCTCTTCATTGCTTACTATCCCCAACTATTTCGTACCTTGACCAAACCCAGGTATTCCGATGAAAATGTTCTCCATTCATCAACATGGATAACCCTTTCCAAATCATGACAATGCTACCGATAATAGGGCTACGCGGCACGGCCGATTTTGCAAATTTCTTATCGAAATATTCCTTCGTTCCGTTTTCTTCCCATGAACTTCTCATTTCACAAATATCATCATCCTGTGGAATATATATTCCTATCTCTTGCATACGTCTCCAATGAATTGATCATCCGACTCTCTTATCTTCAAACCGTCAGCCAAGGACGTTAAAATAGTGCCCCAATCTCCTCTGCTACATTATCGATCGTTCTCGCTCTCTATATACACTCTTTGGTATATTCACAGATTTTTACTTTTTTGGCCAAGCTTCTCTTTCAAGAAAAGTTCACCGTTGATTGTGCGTTCGTTCGTTCGTTCGCTCGCTCGCTCGCTCGTTCGCCATGGCTTCTACCGACAATGCCGAGAAGAAGATCGACGAGCATAACCGTGCTTCAGATTCATCCAACGTCGAAAAAGGTGATATCATTCCGCGAAATGAAAACGCTGCTACGAGACACGAAGATCAAACAATTGCCATTCTCGAACTCGTAAAGGCTCAAGATGAACATCATCCTATGCATTGGCCTGCCTTCAAACGATGGGGTATCGTGGCGGTTTATTGCATGTTACAGACATTTGTTGCTCTGACCAGTACAACTTATGTATCTGCTGAATTCTTGATCCAAGAGAAGTTTGGAGGAACTACTCAAGTCGTTACTCTGGGTCAGAGTATGTTCATTTTGGGAACAGCTGTCGGTCCTATCTTCTTGGGTCCATTATCGTAGGTTGAACACGACATATGCCGCACAACGCGATCATCGTGGTTGTGAACAAGAATTGTAACTGAACATTTACAGTGATCTTGGTGGCCGCAAGTGGATTTATGTTATCAGCATTGCATTCTATGCAATTTTGAACTTTGTGAGTTATTTTCAGAGCAATCTTCACTCAATTCATTCTAACAAGTCTTAGGGAACCGCATATGCTCTTAACCTTCCTATGCTTGTTATCTTTATGTTCCTTGCTGGCACGGCAGGTTCTACTGCTCTTTCTAATGTCGCTGGTACAATTGCGGATCTGTTTGGTGACATTGATGGTGCCGGACAAGCAATGGCACTCTTCGTCATGTGTGAGTTTTAATTATATGCAACCCTTCATGCCATAGACAAAAGATACTAATGGCGTGCACACAGCTGCAAACATTGGTCCATCTCTTGGATCTCCCGTTGGAGAGTGGATCGCCGACAATGAAAATATGGGTCTCAAATGGATCTTCTTGATTAACGTAATTATCGGATTCGCATTCTCTATCTTGTTGTGTTTTATCCCAGAAACATTACCAAGATTGGTCATCGCCAAAGCAGCTGCAAAGAGTGAAGCTGTCGATGAGCAAGAAGCTGCCATCTTGACAAGTAGACTCAATGTTCTCCACGAAATGAAGTTCATCACAACCATGACATTCAGAATCATGTTCACAGAGCCCGTCGTTATATTCCTCGGGTTGTACAACGGTTTCGCCTACGGTATTCTCTTCTTATACCTTGATGGTGTGTTTGATGTTTTCGTCGTCAACAATGGTCTCACTTACATCGGTGCCGATCTTACATACCTTAATTTCGTCGTCGGAGTAGTGGTCATGTTTCTCTTCGTTCCGGTTCAAACTTGGTTCTACGCGAGAGATCGTAAGAAGCATGGCATCAACCGCCCAGAAGCTAGATTCATCACTTCTTTGGTTACCGTCTGGCTTTTCCCAATTACACTTCTTTGGTTCGCATTCACATCTGATGGAAGCGTATCTTATTGGTCACCAGTTGTAGCAGGTGGTGTTCTTGGTTTTGCAGATCCATTATTGTGGCTTAGTATGCTTAATTACATTACTGGTATGTACCCCCTTCATTATACCGCTTACATCTCGCTAATTTTCATCTCTTCAGACTCTTATCCCAACGTCGCCGGTGCAGCAATCGCAGCTTTCCTCATTCCATCTTTTGCTCTCGCAGCAGGTCTCGCCCATCTCGGTGTCCTCATGTTCGATAACATGTCTACGAAATGGGCTATGGGTACTATTGGATTCATTAGTATTGGTCTTTGTGCTTTGATTTACTTTATCTATTTCTTCGGTGCAAAGATTAGATCGAGATCAACGCTTGCGAGAAACTATTAAATGGGAGGGATGAAAATGATGGATGAAATGTAACAGTATGATTGAGACGGGATAGCGTGTATGAGATTTGTATTGCATTGCATTGGGTTGCGTTGGATCGGGACGGGATAAAAGCTCTTAAGCGGCGGATGGATATTTTGATATCTGGAATTCTGGATTGGTTGCGAATGTCATCATTCTCGATATGTTGACGCATACATGGAAGACGAATTTACATACGTTATGTGGTTATGTTATGAACTGGGTGGAAAATAATTTGATTCCTTTTTTTGTTCATACATTTAATACCCTGTTGTAGTATAGATAGCGCGAATTTTATCAATTTATGACATTTATAGAGTAGAGATTATCATTCCTATTTTTATCATCATGTGTTTGGAGTTTTGTAATCTTGATTCTTGAGTTGTGGAATTAATTATTTTTGTATAGGCGTAATGATTAGATTTAAACCTTGTAGGTAGTTTGAAAACTCCTTTCCTTTTCGAGAGGAAGAGGAAGAGGAAGAGGAAGAGGAAGAGGAAGAGGAAGAGAGAGCGGTAATTCTGTTCTGAGATTTTTGCTTGATATTTTACTTTATTGTATTGTATGTATGTATGTATGTATGTATGTATGTATGTATGTATGTATGTATGTATGTATGTATGTATGTATGTATGTATGTATGTATGTATGTATGTATGTATGAGATTGAGAGTTTCAATACATATAGTCTGGTATGAATTAAAGGGGCTTGGGGGAGTGTATGAAAGAGTTCTGGAGAAGTATGAATAGGATTTTGGGAATCTAGGTTTATTAGATATGTAACATTAAGATATTGAGATATTCAGCTAGTATCGCTTGGTGTATGAGTTGAGAGTGTTGAATGTGTGAAAGAGGTTGTTGGGATATGAGTTTAGATATAGGATTGAGATATTGAAGTTGTATTATTTGTATTTGATATGAATTAGAGTAGAGGACTTAGGGGAGATATTTGAATGGGTTTGTTAGATTAGATGTATAATAGCGGATATTCAATTTATGTTGTTTGATATTAGTTGGGGGTTTTGTATGAGAAAGAGTATCTGGAATAGTGGTAGTAGCAAATTCTTAATCGATTCGGTCTATATAGCTATGCTAAGACCATGCGATGCGCCTGTATCTGCTTCTAATTGAATGAAGTAGATGGGAAAAAGAAATAACCCCCCCCCCCCCCCCCCCGCCGCGAACTTCCCAATAAGACCCTCGGGCAACCCCCCGAGCGGTCTTCTCAAGTCCTTCTATCTGGAATATAATTCATTGAATATATTATATTGAGACATTCAACTGTTATCGTCTGGTGTATAGTAAACGAGTTAAGAGAATGTATAAAGTTTGATTAGAATATGTATTTATTGAATATATAGATAGGATTGGAATATTGAACTTAGATCATCTGATATAAATTACATGAGTTAATCTGCGTGTTTGAAAGTTTGAAAAGAGAATAATAGGACAAGAATTCATCAGATATACTAAAAAAGACTTTCGACCATGTAATCTTACATACTTTGATACCGTCAATTGACACAACAAAGAAACAACCCCATCCCACACAATGAACCTATCCAGCTTTCTTTGTCATCTTCTTTCTTCTTTATCAAGCATCTCCAAGAACAATACAATTGTCTTGAGAACAGTTACCAAGTCGACGATGTAGATGCATCGCCGCGAAAAGATGAAGAACAGGAATTGAACAAATTCGCATGGGGAAGTATAAATGGCTGGATTACGTCTGAGAGATGTTGTTTCTTTAGAACTCATAACTCATTCATAACTACCTTACTATTCTATTCATACATCTATAACTGTATATCAGTTGTCTTTTTAACTAGCTTTAGAAAACTTCATTGGTATTTACAATTATGGCTGATACTGTTATGCAGGATGCTGTTATGCAGGATACTGTTATGCAAGATACTGTCATGCAAGATCTTACCACGCAAGATACTATCGAGCCAGGCGTCGTGCGAAAAATAGCCAAGATGAGAACCCCCAGAAAAACCAGCTCGGAAATATCCATATACAGCAACGAATGGAAACCCAGCGAAAAAGTGCTCCTTCTGAACCTCTACACCACCCACCCCGATGTTTCTCGGCTGGCAAATGGCGACTTCCACCACCGGGCCGGCACCCTGGCGAGCTTGATGCGCGACATGACGGCCGAGTCCGTCAAACATTACCCCGGAGGCTCGTTGCACGAGACGGATCCATGGATTCCCAGAACGTACACGGATGGAACGATTCGAAACGCAGTGGCACGGTATCTTCTGGAAGAAGATAACTTGGCGCTTGAGTTGGAGGCCGAGTTGAACGCTCACTATGGTATTGTTTCGGACGTCGCAGTGGAAGAGGCCGCACTGAAACGGGCCGCAGCCGAAAGGCGAGCCGAAAGGCGAGCCGAAAGGCGAGCACTGAAAAATGAGTCCAGAATGGCGGAGAGATTAGCGAGAGAATTGAAGCAGCGGGAGAAAGCTATACTTCGAGAAGAGAAAGAAAAGAAATTCCAAGAAGACAGGCGCAAACGTGAACAAGAGCGTATTAAAAATGTGAACGAGGCTCTTAGATTAGCATTTGCAAAACCTAAAAAGCCTGTTATCATTGCCAAGACCGATGCTTGATCAACTCTGACCTCTATTTCTTAATTCGTGCTCTCACTCAAATCTAGGCTGGTCCTAGTTTTCACGTAATCTTCTCATTCACACTGCTCTGCTAAACCCATCGTAACTTTGAAATTCAAAATAAAAAACATAACTTTCCTTATAAAAACACAATCATGCCCCAGTGAAAATCATTAATCACCGTGGTGTCGTGCATTAACACATAACACATATCGTATCTTCCCAATGAATAAAATTGAAGTCCATACCACTAGAAGCAGAACATTAGATGCCGTCGAAAGGATCTTCGAAGCTCGAGCCGGAGATTAGACAGTTCCCGTCCCATCTCAAATCAAACCCCTCATTTAGCACTAGCATATATTCATACAAAAGCGAAACAAATGACCGACTATTCTGCAACAGACTGGCTTCCAGCCAATCTATCAGTCTGCAATCAATACCAATATAAACCACATCCGTATCCCCATCCCAATCTTATCCATATGTAAACGTTTCCTCCACTTCGAATTTCGACATATTTCTCAAGGGGCAGTCAGCATTTTCCTTCCCTCCGCCTAACACCTTCATCCCACCCACTTACCCAATCTTGAATAACTTTAAGTTAACCTTTAGATACCTACTTAGAAAAGACTATATTCAAATCCCAGATTATTCAAAAATCGGCACTCGAAATCCAAAGGCAACGCTGAAGCATCACATCGAAGCAAATGCCCATCCCCAAAAGTCATAAGCCTTGGAACTGAAGGATCGAGTTATTAAACTAACAAACAGCACAGAATATCATGGTTTATCTTCCAATGTTATCGTTAAAAAGCACACTTATGCAAGATCCTCGATAATAATTTGTGTTCTCATGACACACGAAAATATTTCTTGTTTTCTTAAAATCATCATCATCATTATCATCATAATCTTAATTTATACCATCTATCCCAACTGATTCGTTTCAATTCATACCGCACCATACACACTCAAAGATTCTCCACTCCCATACAGTATAGCCGTACCATTGTACCTCGAATCCTGAGACGCACAATGTAAACGCACGCCCACGTGCATAAATTTGCACAGAAACAGAAATCAAAACAGACCAGATGATGATCAATAAATCCCTTTCAAACGCCCATTGCATATCCTTATGTCCAAAGTTCATCATTCCCCAAGTTGCTGTGATTACTCAACTGTGATTTCAGCAGTTGGGTCTTTCCTAATATCCAATTCCATTAAACCTTCTTTCTTATCAATGACAAGACCCTTCTCGTTGGCCAAATGCAGAAGACAGATGAAACAATAACTAGTCGAGATATCATTCATGACTTGCTTTGGATATACAGTCTGAAGGTTTTGCATGACGGTTGTAAACTGAAGGGTTTCATTTTCATCCGTAGGAATTTTGACAGGTGGAGTTGGGAGTCGTGATGTAGAAAGTGACATGTCCTGTTTCAATTTGTTAGTGATAACATTCGGGTACTATGAGGAACAGATAAACTTACTGGTTGTTCTGGCTCACTAAATCCAATGCCCTTCCATAACTCCTCTTTCAACCTCCTAACATCAACCTTCTTGGCAACCCTAGCATATTGCACATATTCAGGCCTCAATCTTCTACTTTGTGTGACCAGCTGTGTACCAAACGCGCCCTCTTCTCCGTCTACATCTTGAGCTCCAGCATTTAATATGGCAGCGATACCACCAATGCCTGCACCTTGTCCTTCAGCTCCAGGCGAAAATTGTTCACGTGCGTCGGCGAATTCCATATCATCATCATCATCTATACCTGGCATGGCCAAACCGTCGTCTTGGAAGAAGTTGGCGTCATAATCTCCATGAGGCGGAGCTTCATCCTCTAATGTGTGAGCAGGTTCTTCTTTTCGTGCCCAATAATCTTCACCAATCTCGCCTTCAGGGATATCATCCTCCTTCTTTTGACCAAAAGTACCGGGTTTGGCACCAAACCCAGATTTTCGACTACCCATTCTAGCTTTGGGTTTAAGGAAAAGACGTAACAGTTGTTTGGAGTTGAAATGCTTGTCATCGGGAAGAAGATTTCTTGTCTTGGACTTCCAATCTTTCTTTGGTAAAGATATCGTAGCATTGGTTGGTGCATGAGTATAAATGGTTTCAGCCAAGGTGGCATTTAAAGGAGAAATGAAGTCGATTTCGAATGGCTCTTTCTCTTTGCGCGGCTTTGTAACTGTTGGCTTGTTGACGTCTTTGATCTTTCGTATCCTCCAGTGTTCAGGACCGGCCCAATTCTTTTGCAACGCCTCGTCGAAATAACTCAAAATGTCATCATGGCCACCTTCCTTCTTTGATCCACGATCAAGAGATATGATGTACTCGCCGGTTTCGGGGTCAAATGAGCCAGCACCTCCTTCTCCATCCTCACCATCTCCACCATCATTATCGTATCCCACATCGTGAACTCGCATGCGTGGTTCGATTGCGGCATCACGAGCCCAAGCTTCACCACCTTCACCAAATCCAGCATCATCTGGAATATCAAAATTTCCAAGAAGTCCATCGTCGTCATCATCGAATCCAATAGGGTTATCATCGTCTAGGAAAATTCCTGACCTATCACCAACACCATTGTCATCCGACTTGTCTTTCTCTTGTCGCCAATCTTCTGGTGCTTTTAAAAATGGAATATCCATAGAACCAGATGGATCTCCAAGGTCAAAATTCTTCAATGATGGACAAATGTCTTGTTCTTCAAGGAAATCCAAGTTCGGGAAAAATTTGACTCCCAAAGCTTCCACATCTATCTCCACGTCTTCTCCATCATCTTCGTCATCCTCGTCATCTTTTAGAGTGACGTTTGCCGATTCTAAAACATCTTCCTCATCCTCTTCAATGGCATCATCCTTTCTTCTTCTACCCCGTCCTTCTGCCGAAGCGTCACCTGCGTCATCGCTACTATCAAAAACAATACGCCCTTTAGAGTCGATAGAGAGATGATTTAAAAGTAGACCTTTAGCACCCCCTTCATCGAAGTCTGCAGATGCTTTTTTAAATAAAGGATCAACGGAGAATTCAAGTTCGAACTTCTTCAATTGTAATGCTGAGAACGAAGTTGCAAGAGTTGCTTCTGATGAGCGTTGAGTCTGAACTTATGATTAGCTAGGGGTTTTCTGATCAATTATACTAAGTGCACGGTTTGACCAAGACAAACAGGTATCACAATCAGACTTAAAGGTCAAGTGAACCTCGGGATGTAAATTATTTCAAGTACTCTTTGGGGAAAAGCACTAGAACCAAAAAGTTTTACACTCGAAGAAGAAATTCCCTCTGCAGTCCCCCAAACCAAAAAGGATGAAACGAAAGAGATAAAGATGAAAGAATTGAGAATCGAGGATGCAAAACATGGACTGGCGCCCAGCCTAATGGATCTTTGAGACTAACACCCTTTTGAAGAATGGATCTCGGATCGATATGGGTTGGTTGTGTCCATCATCGTGCTTGCCGCTCTACAGGACCAATTGCACCAGTAGAAAATAATGAAGCAAAATAAGAAACAAAAGGATATTGGAACATACAACAGTGGGGATTCGCTGGTGGTCACCCACCCAACTACTAATCCACCGATCTGAAGCTTGTGTATGGCAGAGCGGACGGGATGCCCAATTCTCTTCAGTCTATGGTCGTATGTACAAGAATTATTCCCATCTGATGTTATATTCAGATGAAAATCCCCGTCTGCATGTCGCTAGACAGAAATCCAAAGACGTCCATCACACCCTACCACTCTGGGGCAGATAAATGATGTGCGACCGCAATTCTGCTTCACATCAAATGTGATCTTCCATATCTCAACTATGAGATTTGGCTTGTTTTGAAAAACTTGTACGTCGATTGGAGAAGAACAAAGTAATAATGAATGTAGGTGGCACATACCCTTTTCTTTGCCTTCTTCCTAATAACCCCATCTTCATCTTCTACCTCTTCCTCACTCTCATCTCCTTCGCCTTCCTCATTGTCGCCCCTTTTCTTCTTGTTGTTCCCGCTATCTGCCAATCCACTCAAAAGCTTACCGGTCTCTGTAGCTACACTGTCGACTCGACTCGTATAAATCTTTACACACCCATCAAGAGTGTAACTGGCCTTTTGAAAATTGACTCCATCACCCTCCTTCAAAAGTGACATGTCATGAAAATAATCAATAAGCGCAAAGTTCCAAGAATTCGCAGCATTGATTTTGTTGTCTGTGGCCATCTTCATCCATTCCTCGAAGTTTGCGAGAATTGGAACACGCTTCATGGGAGTGACTGCGTTTCCTCCAACCATCATAACCCCGCCATCCAAATCATTCTCTTTCCCAGCTCGCCCCGGAGTTCTGTGGTTCACTGACGGTGAGGAGCTTCCTGCTCGTTCGAAGTTCACCAATTTCCGTGGAGTCGCGGCCTTTTTAATTTCGTTCATCTGAGTTTCATGGTGGGCATTTCTCGATTTTAATCGTTTTGCTTTTTCTCGCGCATCGTCATTGAGAGCCAATTTCACTGGCGATGCATCATTCAAAGGTACCCTGCCATCAATCAGTATTGGAAAATCTCGTTCTGCAGAGCGCACGCAAACGAAAAGCATCATATCTGCCAAAGATATGGACATTAAACACCATAGCAACCAGGGCAATCATACTTCACGGGAGATTTTGCAGGAGTTGGTAGAGAGCCAGAAGCAACTCTACCCCTCTTCGCACTTGGGTTTTGTGCGACTCTAGGCATATCAAGAAATATAAAAATTGTCGTGATAGGCAAATGTGTTGCAATGATGTTAAGTTTGAACTTTGTTTATTTTCTATTATTTACATTTTGGTAGGACAGCGGGGACCGATTACCCAACCCAACCCCGACGCGAGTATTGCAGCCTTAGGTATCAGAAAATTTGCTTACATAAGTTGATTCAGAATCGGGATGAGACCTTTTCACATTACATGGTGATTGCCACATCACTTATCGTACGCTGAGAGGATGACCTCGATTCTTGAATAAGACAATACATCCCATTTCAATTTCAATTTGGCACCAGATAATATCTCCCCTCAAGTGTCAAGAAAGTGTTATTATATCCTTCCTATCGGTACCTACTTCTCGCCAGGAACACGACGAGAAACACCAGCGGATGTAACCTTCAAGGCAAGGTTATCTTGTTACTCCATACACGTTTGCCGTTGATCGCCCTTGTCTCAGGTTTATCGATAACCTATCTGATATCTAGGGACCATCAGACCCAGTCATTAGCCACACATACGTGCGATTACGATGTTCTTTGCCATTCACTCTTATGACGAAGATTCCTTTTCCTTGCCGAAATCTCCAATCTCTATCTTGGCAATTTAGCTAGCACAGCCCAGATTACGACTTTGACTTTGAATCTACTTTTATCAGAAGCTTTTCCTTCCGATGTAGGTACTCATAACTTATTATACAATTATCATCGCAATCGCAACTGCAATCGCATTGCTCCAACAAAATCTTCAGGTCCACATCAGATCATGCATCAAGTATGCATCGAACTTCTTTGACTAAGGTGTTATCCCGCCCACCAAAACGTTCCAGATATAATTTCCGAGCTTTCTATCTTACCATATTGATTATTTCATTATTAGCTGTGATAAGTCTTGTCGCAGATCAAAGCGCGAAATACCGTTACGGTTCTCAATATGGTGTCGCACAAAAACGAGCATTGGATGCGCTGGACAGTAAAAGACTTGTGAAACGGGATGAAGAGGTTTGTATATACACACAAGCTACGCCAGACTTTGTGCTCACATTAATACCATAGTGTCGCCTTGTCCATCATGCCGAAGATAAATGCCAATTCATATTGGCGAATTGCCCCGATGAAACTGCAGGACTCCTCAATTACCTTTCGCTTTACTATTGCAAGCTACCAACGGCCCAACCTTTAGCTTTCACCATTCTTATATTATGGCTTGGACTATTATTCTCGACAATCGGAATCGCTGCGAGCGATTTCTTCTGTATCAATTTATCGACAATTGCGAGCATATTGGGTATGAGTGAGAGTATGGCAGGCGTAACATTCCTAGCTTTTGGCAATGGTAGTCCGGATGTATTCTCGACTTTTGCCGCAATGGGTTCGCACAGTGGTAGTCTTGCGGTGGGCGAGCTCATCGGCGCAGCTGGGTTTATTACTGCAGTTGTCGCAGGATCCATGGCTTTAGTCAGAGAGTTTAAGGTTGGCAAAAAGACATTCGTGAGGGATATTGGCTTCTTCATAGTTGCAGCAAGCTTCAGTATGGTATTTCTTGCAGATGGTGCTCTTCACTTGTGGGAATGCTTTGTGATGATTGGGTTTTACCTTTTCTACGTGGTGATAGTAGTGATGTGGCATTGGTACCTGGGAGGACGACGACGTCGTCGTGAAAGAGAGGCCGCAGCTCGTGGTCAGTACTTGGCAATGACAAATGAAGAGATAGAAGTTACCGAGGAAGATGGGGATGATGAGGATGCGCCAGCAGGAGAAAGAGACTTCCGTGGCAATGAGGATTTCGCGGCATTGGAACGTGGCTCTAGTCCTCATCCACGAGTGCCTGAAGATGAAGAGAGTGACGAGGATGGAGATGAAGGCAGATATATTGCTGCCGAGGTGGCTAGCAATATGCGAGTGATACGACCGACCGGTAGCCGGAGGAACACTTTGACTCCCATCCGTCCTAGTTTGGTCGGTGCTCTAGAGTTTAGGTCAGTTCTATCATCTTTACAGAAGTCTCGAGGCTCCCATGGACCGCCGATAAATTTGCGACGATATTCAGATGACCCGTCAACATCATTTGATCAAATCAGGTCATCTGCCACAATATCAGCTCCGGCTTCTGAATATGCCTTGAGCATAAATCCTATTGAGGGTGGTGAAAATGAGACACAGCGCCCTAAGCTAGATACAGTACGCAGTAGAGCCGTCTCTATGAACGCTGCGTCATCCCTCAAGCCTCTAGACCCCGCAGCATTCACTGTCGCAGATGTGCCGGACATTGGTATAATGGCAGCTACTCCCACTTTTCCTCAGCTCCTAAGAGTTCCATCCCCAGGTCCCAAATCGCCCACAGTCTCTATCTCGCCTCCTCCGTCCTTCGATGGATCACAAAATGACAGACTATTCACAAACAGCACGTCGCGTTGGAATGACGATTTGTTGGCACCACCCGGGAATGAATCTCCAGCAGCATCACCCCGGCATCCACGTTCACCAAACTTAGGCCCTGTAAGTTCACAGGCAAACTCTACTAGATCACGAACAGTACAACGACCTCAGCTTCAAATCCCAAGTTCATCAAGAGATAGCTCGCGAAACCGGACACAGTCGCCAATATTACCATTTCCTATTTACACGGACTCTCCACTCTTGTTGTCAGGGAATAGTTCCAAGGCTCCCAGTATCCTGCTGCCAGATTCTGAAATCACACCCGAGTCGGTTAATTTGGAGCACGAGTTGCACTGTCCGGAAAGGCCAATAAGATGGTGGCCATATCGCATATTACCCAGCCCACAAATCGTACTTACAGCTCTATTTCCTACACTATGCACGTGGAGAGATAAGAGCCGATGGGATAAGTTTATCAGCGTCATTTCGGCCCCTAGCATCTTTCTTTTGGCAATCACATTGCCAGTGGTTGAGTCAGAATCCAAAGACCAGGAAGAGACAAGCTCCATTGACCAAAGGAGGGAATCGGGCACATTGAGGAGAAACACCGGCCCATTACTGATCCCAGATAGTCCATCATTCATTTCAGAAGCAGGATCCGAATGGGTAGAATACCAACGGAGTCGACGGAACACACAGACTGATGATTGTCCTCGGTCCCCTATTTCAGATTTTGGTCAACACAACACCGCGGCGGTAGCCATCTCTGCTGAGCGCCATCATATTCATTCGCATCAAATTCCCATGTCACCCACCAAAAATCTAGGTCCGTCTCACGAGGATGCGATTCATAGCGAACCCGGGGTAGAACATTCTAGAGACTGGAACCGCTGGCTTGTCGCGCTTCAATTGTTTACAGCTCCTCTTTTTGTGGTATTTATATTTTGGGCCAACACTGACGATGGTGACTCGAGGTCGCTCATACGTCTACTTTTGTATTCCATTCTCGGGTCTCTGGTAGCATTTGCCATTCTCGTATTAACGACGACACATTCGAGGCCCCCTAAACATCGATTCGTGCTTTGTTTCATCGGTTTCGTCGTTGCCATTGCTTGGATTTCCACCATTGCCAACGAAGTTGTCGGAGTTCTCAAAGCATTTGGTGTCATTTTAGGTATCTCCGACGCAATCCTTGGCCTTACTATCTTCGCCGTTGGCAATTCATTAGGAGACCTCGTTGCCGATATCACAGTTGCCAGATTGGGATATCCTGTTATGGCATTGAGTGCTTGCTTTGGGGGACCGATGCTAAATATTCTCATTGGCATTGGTGTTAGTGGTGCATACATGACAATTAAAGAGGCCAACCACAAACATCACAAGCATCCGAACAAAGACATCAAATATAAGCCATACGAGATTGAAGTCAGTGGTACACTAATGGTCAGCGCCATCACTTTGCTAATCACATTAGTCGGACTTCTCATTGCAGTACCGATGAACAAATGGGTAATGAGTAGGAAAATTGGATGGGGTTTGATTATTCTCTGGTCCATCAGTACAATGATTAATCTTGCCGTGGAGGTTAGTGGCGTTTGGGGTGATAATCTGGACCTGTCTACCTTCTTTTCACAAAATTGAGGATATTTTTGATGTAGATGATGAATTATGTTTAATAGTAGAAAGGTAAGGGGGTAGAGTTGTACTATACCCAGAATATATAGGTTGCTTTTTTGGTATGATTCTAAATGGCTAAGTTATTTCCAACATCAATACTTTGTTCAAGATAAGAAGACAAGTATTCTCAATCCTAGTATTGGAGAATGGTGATTCTTATCAGTCTCGCCTTTCTATGACTAGGTAGTATATAGCATGGTATTGTATGGTATTCTTCAAGGGAAATTGATTCGTATTTTGAATAATAAAGCTTTCTCTGTTGAACCAATTGACTATTATTGGAGTCTCCCCTCAAGTGTCACCTATGTAGTTAGTATAAAAGGCAATCGCCATCTATCAGACAGCCTTTGGACTACAATAAGCCTTGTAGATTTTGATATTTGATTGATTTCGTTCATATACATGAGCGAACACTACCTATATATGTATTTGAATAAACGATTGAGTCCATAATAAATACCTGGGTACTCTTTTGAACATCAGACCTCAATTGCAGCAGTTTTACATTTACCTATTACTCAAAAATCTAGACCCCCTCGAGACCCCATCCTATATTGGCCTTGTCTCTAAGGCACGCATGCCAACTTTCCGAAACTTAACCGGCTCGAAGCACTACTAAACTCCCGCCCCGCTACAGCACATCAGACAAGACAAGACAACAAAAGCTCCCTCCAACCCTGAATTAGGATAACCAGCAGGATACCTACGTAACCTTAACAATTATTCTACCCCTCATCTCACCTTTTTTTCGAAATCATCCAAGATCACTCTTGTGAGGCGCCATTGCTTGCGACAATCTATTAAGGCCCAACACTTTCTTATTAAGACTACAGTATCTTCTAGCCCTCGAGTTAACTTCTCTGGCTATCGCGATAATGAGCACCATGCTCCCGGGGACACACGTCTTCTCTCATCAACATCAATATAATCCGCAGGTCGACCAACCATGGATGCACCAGCAGACCCACCTTCAACAGGCGCAGCAGCAGCATGCAGCGGCGGTTCAAGCAGCTCATTATAATCGCATGGCGGGTCAAAACCAAAACCACAACGCCGCTGTACCTTCCATTTCTTCAAATCACGGACAAGACGCAGCAGCCATGATCGACTCCAATGTTTCAGAAGAAAATAGAAGGACTTTGAACTTCATTGCAGATTTACTCAATGAAGACACCAGGGAAGCTGCTCTCCTGGAACTCAGCAAGAAGCGCGAGCAAGTGCCAGAGCTTGCATTGATACTGTGGCATTCTTTTGGTAAATTTACGCCGTCGGAAGGGGTAGCATTATGACATGCTGACAGATCTAGGTGTGATGACATCACTTCTTCAAGAGATAATCTCAGTCTATACTCTTCTCAATCCCTCCCAACTCACCGCCGCCGCATCAAATCGAGTCTGCAACGCCTTGGCCCTTCTACAATGCGTAGCTTCTCACAATGAGACTCGCGCCCTTTTCTTGAACGGTTGGTTATCCAGACATTATTGATATGACACAGAACTGACATTAGTAGCTCACATCCCGCTTTTCCTCTACCCTTTCCTCAACACGACTTCCAAATCCCGACCTTTCGAGTATTTACGTCTTACCTCCCTTGGAGTCATCGGGGCCCTTGTCAAGAACGATTCATCCGATGTCATCAATTTTCTCCTCACTACTGAAATAATTCCATTATGTCTTCGAATCATGGAGACCGGGTCAGAACTTAGTAAGACGGTTGCAATCTTCATTGTGCAGAAGATCCTTCTCGATGATCATGGTCTTAATTATATTTGTGCTACCTATGAGCGCTTTTATGCTGTTGGCACAGTACTCAGCAATATGGTTTCACAACTTGTTGAACAACAAACTGCGCGATTGTTGAAGCATGTCGTCCGCTGCTTCCTTCGGTGAGAATACATCCAAGATTTTGATTTCGATTCCGCTAATATGAATGTCAGATTGAGTGATAATGCGCGAGCCCGCGAAGCTCTCCGCCAATGTCTCCCCGAACCTCTTCGCGATGCCACTTTCTCCTCGGTCCTTCGTGATGACGCTGCTACCAAACGATGCCTTGCACAACTCCTTATCAATTTATCCGACAATGTTGTTGAATCTTCATCGGGTCACCAAGGTCTCTAATATCCACTTTCTAATTCCACTTTCAATGTACAATTATAAAAGCACCGATACGACGCAAACGAGCATGGGGGATTTCATCTTCGGTTTTGCATAGACATCACGATACCCGGTCTTTCTTTTCGGAAATGTCGTAGGTCTTTGCAGCTGGTCATCACAGGTTTCATAAAAGCATTGCGGGTCAAATGGGGTTGGTCTGAAGGGTGTTTTGCGCGGCTTGGTTCAATGAAGAAGGTAGGAGTTGGCAGTTACTGCTCCTCAAGCGCACCAATCTGGCGAGGGCTTCAAACTTACACCTCCACTCAAGGTGGATGGTTATTTCTTTCATTATTTACATTGATTGGTGTTTATTACTGTATTTGGTTGTTTTGAGGGCGTTGGGGACATCTTACATGCTGCACTATAATATAATGCTGCTAGGGAAATGGGTTGTAAAGTAGGCAAAAACTTCAGCGTTCAGGAATAGAGATATACATTCTTGATATTAGCATTGAGCAATGAGATAGCTTATCGACATTGTGAATATGAATAATGAAAGTAAAGCGGGGACGTACTGAGGCCGATTTGGATCATTTGGCATAAACCCCAAAAATAGATTTTTGCCTGAGCTTGAATCGTATTTAGAATTTAGTAGTATGCTTTTATACAAAAAAATCAATTCAGTATATAATCTTCAAAGGATATATGAAATAAAAAGAAAACAAACATATTTATTAATTAAAATTCAGAGAATCGATTAATATAATTCTTTTTGAATTATCTCAAAAATTGAAATTTATATTCAATATAATAATATCTAAAGATTCAAAGCTTCAATATCGAAAGTTAATAATTATTTAAATTCTTAAAATCATTTTAAATTGAATATAAATTTCAATTTTTGAGATAATTTGAAAAGAATTATATCAATCGATTTCTTGAAATCTAAATATTGAATTTATTTCTTTTCTTTTTATTTTATTAATTTTTTTAAGATTGTATATTAAATTGAATACTTGTATTAATATTATATATACTAATTGGGAGTTGTATTAGTTATATAATTTAAGTAAAATAAACTTAATAAGGAATTTCTATTTATTAGTTATATAATTTAAGTGAGATAAGCTCGAGTTCGAGTTTGAGATAAGGAATTCTTATTAAGTTTATCTTGTTTATTTTAGAGTGGTTTATATACAAAAAGAAAAATTATTTGAAAATAGATTTTAAATATTAGTATATTTCTTATAGAAAATTTCGAAATGAATTTTAAAAACAAATAAATAAAGCTAAGCTTAAGGGCTATTCAATGATATAATTTATTTTATAAAAAATCTCTAATAAGGTTAAATTCTGTTTTTCTTTATAAGATTTCTATAAACACACTATACAGATTCTAAAATTTCTTTTTTCATTAGGCAGAAATCTATTTTTGGGGTTTGTGCTAAATGATTCAAATCGGCCTCAGTAGATGGCACAATGTTACAATCTAGAGGTCGAGGGTCTGAGAGTCTGAGGCCCGAGGGTCGGTCTGAGAGTCTGATGAGGGTTATTATTCGGTCTGACAGATCACAGATTTGACAGACCCTATTACTCTACTACACTACGCTGCATCTGGGTCTTGGACAAACCTTGATCGATTTTCGGACTTGCGGGTTTGATATTAATATGCCGGTACCGGGTTATGTTTATTGGGACTTGTTGGGGATGTTCAATGGCGGATACAGCGCTTAGTAATAGGTAGTTATCAATGTACACACCATCCTACCAGCCTTCGTACCTTGCAATATATATTCTAGATGCGGGATGAGATGAGCCAGTGAGCCAGTGGACGAGCGAGTGTACGAAGCTGAATCATCATCATCATCATCATCGTCAATGTGTACCTAGCATGGTGATCTATCACACAATATCAATGTGTCTCATTCCGAAGATTCCCCAGAATGAATAGGATGAACATTGAATAGTAATCAAACCTCGGATTTTTTTGTTTTTTGATTCTCCTTCCCCTTGACCACACATCCACACATCCACACATCCACACATCCACACATCCACACATCCACACATCCACACATCCACACATCCACCCACAACCCAACAATTCTGGGGACAGATGGATGATACTTGAATGAAAACGTCACAGATCGGTACATCTGTCTGCAACAAAGGAACCACAGCCACCGTCAAGCAGTTGGTGCATCGTATGTTGATTATTAATCCCTAACTTTAAATCTGTTGATTGTTTTAGTTCTTACTTTACTCACCAGAGCTACCCAATTACCAAGCATCAAATTCCGAGTATCCAGGATATCGTACGGATTTACCTGGACCCTACCGGCTAGACTCAACTCTACTTGCATCACCTTCCCTTCCATCTCAAAAGGTTGAGCGGGCAGAGGAAGAAAAGAGAGACGATACAGTCAATCGGCTGAAGAAAAGCTGATAAACCTTGTCTCCAGTCTTCTTGCATACCCACCCTACCTGGTATATACATAGAAAAGAGAAAAAAACAGAGAAAATCAATCTGATGACTGGAGTAGAAAGATTATGCTACTGTCGGCGTTAATGTGAATTGTTACTCAACCAATACTTCATCCACAAATCATTCCACAGCTGACAAGGACGACAAGAGAAGACAAGACAAACTACTGACTGGTCGATATAAGGCGTGGCCGGTCATATTATCGCCGTCTCCAATAAGTGTGTGCTTGACTTGTCTATAAAGCTGATCTGGTCCCACCCCCGCATTCAAATTGGTCGAAGATGAATTCTTCTTATGACAGTCTTCCCATGCAGCAGGACGATCGATATGCTTTGACAATTCTTACTGAAGCCGCTATGCAAACCGATACTCAAGCTAACAACAATCCTTCATCCAATAATTTCAATACAATGTCAAACGCCACCGACAATGCCTTTCTGAGTAGTAATCTAGCTAAAAACAATTGTGTCTCGACCGTCCAAGACAACGTTTACCATTCACGTGCACCGCCTATCTCGACATCCATTTCTTCATCCGCGATCAGTAATCGTCCTACCAATACATCGCAATATCGTTTTCCACCTTCAATATCCAATCTTCTCGGGGACCACACAAGACCTCACCAAGATATGCAGACACTTGCTTTCAATTCCACAGAACGAACCTCACAAGATACCTTTATGAACCATCCATTCCAATCACCCTATTCCAATAGTCTAGGAATTTTGAACGCGGAGAAGTACGATGATGGGAGGGGCTCCATCGGATCTCATAATCCTAATATGATGAATATGAAGGGTCAGATGCAAAATCAAATACCATTTGGAGTGGTGGAGAGACATGGAGATAGCAGTGATACAAAACCACAAAGTGAAGAGAATGAGCATGGACAAGGGAAGAAGCGAAGGAAGAGAGTCAGAAATGAGTCTCCAAATCTTGATGACGATGATGATGATGAAGCTCGAAAAAAGGCGAGAGGGAGACCAAGAGTAGATACTAAAGATGAAACTGCTGCTGATGTAAGTTTCCTCCGTCTGGGTGCAATATGTCTGTTCTAGAGGCAAAACATTTTTAGCTTGCCAAATTAGATCATCTGATCTAGGATATCAACTCTATATGTTCTCCCATGCATGTTGGAATTTATCGCATTGCTAATCATTACCCAGAGGCGAAGAACTCAGATTCGAATGGCCCAGAGGGCCTACCGACATCGCAAAGAGACAACAATTTCTTCTTTAGAGAGGCAAGTCCAAGAACTTAGAGGTACAAATGAAGAAATGAATAATATATTCATTAACCTCTATGACTTTGCCATCAGTAGAGGTCTTCTACAACGCGAGCCGGAGTTTGGTCAGCAACTTCAATCAACTACGCAAAGATTCCTTGCGCTCGCAAAACAGAGTGCAGGCGATGAAAATCCAAGGCATAGAGATGACTCGCCAGACAATATCACACATGAATCTCATGGTGAGGCCAAACATTCATTGACAAGTCAGAACAATCAACACCCGCCTCCCCTTACTCTGCTCTCAGATGAGCCGACTACTACCGAGACGATAAACCCGTGGGGCGGATACACTGTAACGAAGGATAATAGTTCCGAAGGAGAAGAAAGGCAGATCGAATTTAATGAAAATGACACAGAAGAACCTAGACAGTATGAGATAATCAGTAGGGCAACTGAAGATAACGCGAGTTTTCCTCACGACTGGACGAGTATTCAACAATACCGAGTCGAGATACCTTCTCCTACCAGTAACAATTTCTTCCAAAGCTTTTACCCTCACGCCAAAGTCCCGCTTCCAACTACACATTCCTACTTTGAACTTTCATTTGCACGTAGAGTGCACCGCGCAACGATGGAACAAGGCTACAAGTTACTCACAATGCCAAATCCTCCACAACAACGATTCGAAAAGGTATTTGGCTATTGCTTGAAACACGAAACCAAGGAAGAATGCATTGCGCGATTTCAAAGGGTTCTGAATACTTCATCAAAGGATTCTCTTCAGAATTGGCGCTATCCATTAGTTCACCCTGGAGGATCGGGTACATACTATCCCAATCAAGACTCTGATACTGATAATGAATTGATGCCCAAATTCCGTACCGGATTCTCTATGGGCCCCTTTCCCACAGCCTTCACACCACTACTAGAAAACATCAGTTCTGATATGAAATGTACCCTTCCTGGGTTTGAAGGCGAGTTTTTTGATCCTAATGACGTTGAAGGTTATCTCAGAGGTCATGGATTCGATCTTCATCCAGGTGCCGACTATATCACAGGTCAAATAGAACTTGAGGTTTCTTCCGATGCCCACAGTCCAGGGACTGCTAGTACTGACTCGATATTCCCACCTACACCTCGGAGTCCAGTTGGCAAAGCCCTTGATGAAACCAATAAAAATGCGTATAATCTCGATTATATCAATGGTAACCTAAATCAAGATGCTCAAGCTAGTGGTATTTCCCAGTTTCTGACATTTCCATCATGGAATGCTAGTATCCCTAGGGGGGCTAATCCTCTTGATTTATCCGGTCCAATATTTGATGGTACAGGAGGTCCCGATTCCGAAACTTCGAGTCCCAAAGTTAGTACCAACAGTAAACGCTATACGGAGAAACGTACTGTGACTATTAAGGTCGAAAACCTGATCAGAGGTATGTTGTTTACACGTTGATATTAGGATCATAGCTGATTATCACTTTTTCAGAATTGATTGGTATTGCATGCTGCTTGGGACGTGCCCCTGGATACAGACGAGCTGATATGGATGCTGCGATCATAAATGCAGCAAGAGAAACTGGGTTTGAATGAACTCGCGAGCACGCTTAATGATTTCTCTCCAGCATTTCTGGGGCGCTATTTTCGCACCTGCTTCAAATGTTAGCACTCAACGTAATGCTGGCTAATTTTAAAAAGCACTTCGTGGCGCCTGCCGGTTTCGTCTGGATTTTAATTGTCCATATGATCTCGGAGATGATAGACCGATATTTACCTGCAATCTTGAGACAACATCTCAATTTTCTGAAAATTGCTGTATACATATTTACAAGCATTCATCGCTATCCACCACCTTGTTCGCACGATTGTCAACATCCCTTATTCACTTACGACGAACATTCCCAGTTCAAAATGGCCTATCAGAGTCAGTAGATTCTCGTTCATCATGAATCAAGGGCTCAATAGTATGTGTACTGATCTTTTATAGGACCTTCTGAAGGGGCTGACAAAGCAATTCCGGATGCGTATCGAAAGGTAGACGAGCCTACTAACACCAGAAAGGACCAAAAGGCCGAGAACACGGGCATTAGAGTTGAGAAATATACTATTATCCCAGGTCATTTTGGTGCCTATGTCCCTGCCCCAATTTCCCGGGTGCTTCCTCTTCGGTCTACCATGTTTGAATGGCATAAAGAACGTCGAAGAACACCTGCAACCATTGAGAAGGTGTTAATCGAAGAACTCCAGAAGATGCGCAGTAAGATAATCCGTTTACAACAAATCTATTCCAACAGTTGGAGCATCTCAAAGATTCTGAGCCCCCTGATTGTTGGAAAACAGTCTTGACTCTTGAAAGTGAGATCGCTTTCAACGGATGCGACTGACTATATACAGTCGCCAAAGTTCTTGAAGCCCCCAAGAGATCTGCGTTTAATTCCCAATCATCAATTTTAAATGGGCGATTACAACAAAAGTTTCCACCACAGAAATTCCACGCGACATCTGAGATGGATAGAAAATCATTCGATTTCAGATGGGCTGGCTGCATTTGGGCCGCCGATGCGGAGAAATTATAAAAGGAAGGAAGAAGCGGTCCGTGATGATATTACAGGGTGGGAATTAAAAGCGCCTTCATTTGTGAATCTTGAATTAAGATTCAAAAAACATGAGATTGGAATAAGCAGTCTTCGGAAGATCTTCTGTTTACACACTCGGAATCTTCGGCGGAGTATGAAGATGGGTACTCTAGTTTTGGATCTGCAAGTTCGGAGGAGGATGCTGGTGGTCATTAGATTATGCTTGGATGAGGGAAAGGGAAAAGGCGGAAGGGTAATGCATTCCTTTTTTCTCTTAAAAGGGGGAAATATGGAAGTGATGGGAGATGTGAGATGGGTGGGAAGAGTAAGATAGAAAATTCAGCATAGCGAATGTGAAATTAGCGAAGTCTATTAAAGGGGCTAGGGGTTCTGGATATTGGTTTCTTCAAGTTCTTTAGCGTGAGTGCTTCTGATTATGATACTTCTTATGATTTTTACCTACGCGGCGTGTTTTATCGTATTACATACCCAATTACTCACGTTGAGCTGTACCTTTGTAGGAATTGTAGCAATTACAGGATCAATTTATAATGTTAATAGGGAAGGTGATGTGATGAATGGATTGATGAGTTTGAGTTGTGGGGTATGGGTGTAAGTGTGAGTGAATGAATATGAATATGAGTGTGAAGTTGTCAGTGAAGTGTGGTATGAGATCTAATTGAGTTTTCAATTTTTGATTTTTTGTATTGATAGGTATTGATATGGAAGTTTCATTTAAATAAGATGAGGATGGGGATGGGGATAGGGATGGGGATGAGGATGCTTGATTGGCCGAGGCTTTTGAGTGGATTGTAGAGCTGAGAACGTGAAGGGAGAAGAGGGAAGGGGGAGGGGGAAATGTATATTTAGATTGTTAGGGCAGAGATGTACGAGGTGGAGAGGGATTATGAGTTGGGAGTTTGTAGGATAAGGAGGCGGGGTGCACGTGTTGGGTATGGGGGACAAATGGGGACGAAATGAGTTTCTAGTCGGGATGATTTTTCTGTTATTAATTGGGAGGGAAGGAGGGGCGAAACAATATATTTATTGCGCTGTCCACACTGCTTCCTAACGGGATACTGAAAAGTAACATAAGATTTTGACTTTCGAGAGACGCTTCATTGTCAAGTTGATTGTGGGATATTGGAAAGCGTTGTCGCAAGATTTTGATCTGGTTTCGAAAGCTCCTTCTGTATCTTAATTTCACATGTTGTTCTTTCCCCTTTTCGTTTATTTATGGCAAAAGCAAAATGAAGACCAGTAAAAAATTCCCTCCTTTATCAAAACATCATATTTCAGCAGCATCCTCGATTAATCAAGCATTCACCTCGATCTTGAGAAACTCATAAATATGTCATTCAGGGATAAATTAGAAAAATTTGCTTCAGAGCCACTCCTGCCACGAGAAGACTTAAAGGCATTCAAGACAGCAATTGGGTTTCTCGATTTGATGGCTGAGCACGAGAATGAGAATTTGTCTTATCAAATGCTTGATAAGGACGGGAAAATTTTTAAAAGAACACCTTCCTCGGTAGAGGCAGAGATTAGGAAACTCGAGAGCTATTTGGCAACTCTCGATTCCAGTTTTCCAAGATATTGGGCAGTCAAGTTGCAACTTACATACCTTGGACACAAGGATAGATGTGAGATGGTTTCTAAACAACGCGATTCTTTGGAAGGAAATGCCAAAATACTAGGCTTAGAGGCGGTTTATGATACCCTCTTGGATCTGCGGTCCAAGAATTGGAAAGCCATTGAAGAGAGACTCGATGCAATTGCGAGAAGGACCCGTAAACATAAGTTTTATAGACTGGCTTTTCGAATAATTGCCAACAACAAAAGACCAGAAGATGCGATGTTCACAGAGAGATTGAAGGACCTTCATCAAATTCGCAGAGTATCAAAAGATCATCTCAATATCGATGGCTCAAGTTTCAAATATGGCGATGTTGATCTCGAAGAAGTTAAGTGTATGGCCACGAAAAAATGGGGATCGGAAATTTTTCGGAAAGCCGTTCATATTGGTCCATCACGAGTAAGCACGGCCGAAATGACTTTGATGTTTGGCGTCAAATGGGCTTCTAATTCTGCGTTGGGAACATACGATCCCAAGAATGGTTTAGTTTTCGAAAAACAAATTGCAGACGCTTGGGAGGCATGTCAAATCTGTATTGTACCACTTGTCAACACGAACCTTGAGTTCACAACATGGGAATTTCGGATAATGGACTCGAACCTGTTCAAATGCAAACATCTGGAGCTCAATTGTTTGTTTGAGGACATTCATGGACGTCAGTTGGAAGATAGATCTATTCCACGAATAGACTGCCTACAGTTCCACTGGTTTCTTTGTCTGGCTATATCAAAAAGGAAGAAATTTGATCAGCAAAGAATTGAAGCGGAATTGATTTATGGCACGCGAGCTTGGTCTGTAATAGATTCGACGCGTCAAGTGAAAGGAGCATTGATCTCACCCCTAAGTAAAGCTGTTGGTCGTGAACTCCCTCTTGGTCTAACGACTTGGAACAACTATGACATTAAGCTTTCAGATTATGCAGAAATTGAAGGATTGATGTCAAGAATCTGCGATGTGCCGGATGCGACACCGGAATTAGAAGAAGGGGGGAGCGGGCATTAGTGGCTATTGGTATATTAAATGTCAGAACTGAAGAGGAACGTTCATTACAAAGAATTAAATAGTATAATTCCAGCACGATTCAATCAAGCACGGCGTTTTTACAGTCTTCGTGATCAGTGGACCAAGTGTTCTAAATCTGGTTCAATGATACGCCGCATTGTCAAACACATTATCCAGGTCCTACTTGTAAACGTTTTTCGTTCAAGTAAACAATTAGGTATCAACTTGCATGTATATCTCAACCGCGCTTATTACGAAGAGCACTATTGAAGTGGTAGTCCGTGGAATTCTCTCTCGCCTGGACTCGTCGGAAGGATCATTCTGGATGTGGTGGGGAATTTTTTTGAAACCCCTGAGTTCTCGCTAACCATAGAGTTTTGACTACATAGCCCGAGACTCCACATTTTTAAAAGGATGGAATTTTCAATGTGCAGTTGGTGAGAATGAAATTCAATGAATGTGTGGGTTAAATAAATGAATTACGACAAACACGACTCGAGAAATTGAATGATAGAAAATGCAGTGTTTTCAACAGTCTAAACTGCAGTCTAATTTGAGATTTTAGTCTCAAGACCCTGAAGATATTATTATCGATTTCATAAATCAATTGTTCCGAATCAATTTGATAATTAAAACTTATTCAATATTGAAGGTAGATTCAATACTCGAAAGGGATTTACAATTCCAAAGTTCTTGATTGTTGGGCTGCAGTCCGGACTATTGGATACCCTGGGAAAATGGAATGAATGAGAATTGTGAACTTGAATACTGCAGAAGGAAAAGAGTGCTCGTATATGTATAACGCTTTACCAAACACTTCCCAGCTCCGAATTGGAAGCCTTTTAAAAAGCCGAACTCCGCTGTTCAATAATCTAAACATCCTCCATGCTTTGCTGACATGTGCTCGTAGCACAGCTTTGAGTGTTCAAATGGCTCCAAACACACCCAGCAAAGATGTGCCCCACACTTACACTCAATGTGGTTACACCCATCCGTCTTCTCAATAGATGTCTTGCACTTGGGACAACTCTTGATCCCGATCTTTTCCATCAGTCTGAGTGTAGCTTCGTATTTTCCAGAAGTCTCATATTCATACTCCGCGCACGTTTTGTTGTCGTGCTGATGGTGACAATATGTGCATATTACCGTGCAGCACTCCGTGCAGGTATTGAAATGCATGGTATCCGTGACTCGGTAGATGGTATCGCAATTTGGTTTTGGACAATAACGGAATGTCTGTGGATTTCGCTGGATGTGAGATAAGAAAGAGGCCTCGAGGATATCTTCGAATGCTTTAGATGAGAGTATCTCTTGTAGTTCTTCGAGGCTGAAGCTGACTTGACATCTTCCCATGTCTCCGTGGCAGTTTATTGAAAAATTCTTCCCGTTGGAACTTGCGGCGCTGCAGGAAAGTTCGAAACACTCGATGCAGTACACATGATTGCATTTGGTGAGGATTGGATTATCTGCTATTCCCCAGCATACAACGCAATCCTCTTTGGCGGTGACCGATTCAGATAGTAGTTTGGATTCTTTCTTGCCAATCATTTTCAACGCTGTTTCATATTCCTTATCGGTGCCTGCGATCAAGATCCTCCTTGGCCTCGAGACAATGTCGAATGTGGCAATGTTATCTCCGAGTGTAGTGGCAATCATTCTGAAGCCACCATTACATGCCCATCGGAAGTCTTCAGGTTTCAATTCAATTATGTGAGCAGTGTATGATTCCTTACCAATAATTCTCTTGATGATCGACTCCACTTCCTTACAATTTTCTTCGGGGCCATAGAGCTTTATTTCTTGTTTTCTCTTGTTCCGAAGGATAATAACTCCGTGATCTTGCTGAATCTTTTTGAATTTCTGAAAAATAGTTCCATTGCCGATCAAAGAAGAGGTCCACAAAGGCTTCTCGCCATTCATCACTGTGACCCCATCTAATATCCCATTTAACGATTCTTTCGCGGCAGCCACATCTTTTGACGCCTCGCCTTCAATCTTTAGAACTCTGTATTGCTGTTTAAGACCAGCGCTGGGATAGATTTTAAATTTCAGATGCTGTTCGTTCCAAATTTGGCTGACAGTGCGGATTCGACTTTGAACGGCATTGAAGATCGAGCTTGCAACTTTGAATTTCGCAGTACTGATAAGTTGGACAGTCAAGGTCATGGTTTTACAAAATGGTAGAGGCATATCTTGCAACGAAATAACTGCTGCTCTTGCATCGGACTCCTCGTAATATCTAGCAACAGCTTTTGCTGTTTTTGCCCGCGGGGTCAGTAATTGTCTGTTTAAGAGATAGGAGGTTTAAGGAAATAAGAGGTAGGATGTTCAATAGTCTGGACTGCAGTCCAACAATAAAGATTATGAAGTCCCCAAGCCAATTGGAATATTCAAATCATTTGAAATATTGACCCATTGTTAAATTTCTGACTGCTTTTGGATATTCAAAACCTTGTATTGTTGGACTGCAGTCCGGACTATTGGTTACTCTGATACGAGGCTTGAAGGATTCCTGAATATTTGAAACCTATGAAAGATATACAGGGATTGAAACTAACCTCTTTTGCCTTCCAGTTCTGTACTGATTTGGCTCCATTCAATGGGACCAACCCCAAGTAATAAGGACATCACAATTGCACTGGCTTCTTCTCCTTCCACGTCATAATTAACCTCTCCAATCTCTATCTTTCGCGGCACGTGATGTGGCAAGGTGATAGAAGGGGGGATGTCTTTCTGCGTGGTCTTGGCAGGCAGATTTGGTAGCATAACCGTCCAAGTAAGTGGACCGAGTAGTGACGTAACCCGCCCAGTCGGTGGTTGACATTTGACTGGTTGACCCAGCACCTTATAAGACTTGGAATTGATCCTCGCGAAAACTTTCTCGGCAACATTCTCACTTCCAAAATGCAGCCATACCGGCCTAGAGGGTTTAAACCAAGAGCATTGAATCTTTTTGCATTCGATTTGGTGAGATTTGGTGCCGGATTGAAGACCGGCAGATACATGAAAGGCTTTCATGTTTGGATATTTGGTTTTTAAAAAGGTCTTCTCGTTGAGTTTTGAGCAGAATCCCTTTGCAAAAGTAGGATCATCCACTTTGATATCTGCCGATGCCGTGTCATCATACCTTCGTATCCTCACACACTCGGGCATAAGTTGTACTCCTTTCTTTTTCAAAAGTGCAACGAAGGATTCTGCAGTGACGTCTAATGGCAATCCATCGATTCGAGCGGCGGAAAAGTCCGTTGGTAGCGAGATCTTCGACACTTGTGCGCCAACGTCAAATTTGGCCAATGCGCCTCCGAAATCTCTTGTGAAGTTGTCATAATTCTGGTTGCCCTACCATACGTTAACTTAGAACGTAGACTGATATTCGCACCAATAAAACAAACCTCAGGATCTAAGTCGGGCTCTGCTGCCTTTTCTTTTTGTTTCTCTGCAGTGTGCGAGAAGGGGCAAGTACTTCCATTTCGACAATTGCCTCGAGAATAATGGTAACATGGGATCTGAGAGCGAGAATGTTGTGTTGAATGTGAAGTTGGAGCTTCAGATGGCTTTTTCGCAGAGACAGCAACTTGAGGTGTAATAGCAGTCTTTTCGTGAGAATAACGACAATTCTCTCCTCTCATACAATATCCACTTGCAAAGAACTTGCACGGCGCGAGGGAAGTCATCTTTCAATCAGTATGTTGTCGATTTTTTTTGGGGATTTAACATTGTTTAATTAGTATAGAAACAATTACCCCTCATTTTCAACGTGATCACCCCATATATACATACGGGTAGACCTAGGCGCCCGACGGATATAATTTGGTGACGGCTGCTGTGGCTAATCCTTGCGCATTGGGCGTTGTAATCGAATGTAACATCGGTAAGATTACATTCTGACCATTTAGAATGAGCCTGTTGATGTCCTATGAAGTGTCAATTGTTTCGACCTCCCGATTGGCTAGGGAGTATGTATGAGGCGCAGTATGTGGTCGTACGGACAAGAAGTTTGATACTGCAGCGAGATTCTTCCATGATCACTAACTTGTTGTCATCAAAAAAGTATCAAGTAGCTAAAAGAAGAAAGGCAAAAAAATCTAGGGAGTAAAAATGTCGAAGAGGATTCCGGTCGATTGGGAATTCATCACCATGTAGCCGACCTACTTATAAGCCCAATGACGAACTTCTATATTAATCTACAAGACTTAGAATGCTTATCAGTGTAGCAGATAGGAGATGATAAATAATAATAATTATAGGTACCCCCCAAAGAAATAATTAAAGTGAAATGGAATTTGATCTCAATAATACTCATAGTAGCGTGCTCACTTTTATTTGTTCGATCGGTAATCAATTCTCGGCTCTTCTAAACAGTCGATTAGTTCCTAATCGGTGAAAGCAGTGACGAATAAAAGCAAGTCTTACGAGCAACACAAACTGCACCTCTCTGCGGAAAGCCATTAGCAATAGCATATACAAATGAAAACTGCACGACTTGCTCTCCTTACCGGATTATCTTTTGAGAGCTGCATATAGTGTCATACAATTAGTACTTGCTTCTACATATACGATATTCAAGAGCAGCCGTTTGGGGGTGGCGTTGTTGGATCTCAACTCACTATTTCTATGCATCAATTAACCTTAATGAGGCTGGTATCAGCGCTGTATCGCCCTCCTTTATTGCATCGTCTCAAAAGAGGCGGCACGGTAGTTTCAGGATGAATCTTCATCAAATTATCTGGGGTCGAAATCACTTTCACCTTCTATATAACCTCAGCCCTTTTGTTGAAGGACGGAAGGAGACTACATCAATAATTTCTTCATTTAAGTATGGTTTCTAGAACCTTTTATCGTCGCCTTGGATTTCCGGCTCAAAATCCGCCAAGATTTAGAGTCCAAATCAAAGCACATTGGTTTAAAATCATAGGATTGTTTTTTCTTTGGCCTTTCACCCAATCCAAACTCATATCTACGTATATGGAAAATCGGAAACACAAATCAGAAGGTCTAAAAGAAGCTACTGTTCGAGGCAGATGGCATGTTGCTCGGGCTTGTACTTTTCATCTGCTATCAATCACCGTCACCATTATCTTATTACTTTTGAATAGTCTCGAGGTCTACTCTGATTCTATCGGTCCTGATGTCGAAAATCTTAACGCTCGGCTAAATGCACTTCAATTTGGGGCCAAAATGCACGAAATCTTCATTAGTGCTTCACTATCAACCATGGGCCTCAGTCTACTTCAATACGAAATCCTAAATAGAGAAATTCCTTTCGGTGGACTGTTTGCCGGGTTTAGAATCAACGACCTTGGCTCACTTTTGTCCCCTGATTTATGGGCCATTGGTACCCATGGGACGAAGAAGTTTCTTTTGCTCGCACTCACGTTGTCACTATTGACAATTCTAGCCGCAATCTGTGGTCCTGCTTCGGCAATTCTAATGTTGCCGTCATTGGGCTGGTGGGAAGTTTCTTTGACGCAGACTTTGGAATCCTTAGTCGGCTTCGCGATCACGTCGAAGCCTCTGTTCTTTATTGGTGCGAATGCGTCCTCACTTTGGCCGATGAAGATAAGAAATTCGAACTACAGCCCATATGTTTGTGATGTTTCCAATTTTAATAATACTCTATCAATTCCAAATGGTTGTCCGGGTGGTGGTGCCTCAGTTATTTTTGATTGGGCTCGTGCGACATTCTCGTTGGGTTATGCTAATCCATTGAGGTGGAATATAACCATGCCTATTTTTCGAAACACTTCGTATGATTCTCCCGGTCCAACTTTTAGTCGTTTTCTTGAAGGGGCAAGTTACATGGACTGGCAAGTGGCGGGATCGAATTACTGGTTCTTAAGCCAGACTATTTCTATACCGGCTGCGGAGACTCTTGTTTCGATAGCTCTGGCTATAGGTTTTGGCAATGCGACTACTCGCTGGAAGCTCATGTTATCAAATGAGAGTGACCCACCAGCGGCCCAGGCATTCGCAACCTGTAGCAGAAATGATAGCCGGGTCTACCAAAAGACTACTCGCTTAATCCGCCATATATCCGATTTCTCGATCGTCACAAAGCAAGGAAACACTTCATTTGTATTGAAAGACGGAGAAAGCCATGCTTTAGGTCTACCTTATGCTAGTGTTGATGTGAAATTTATGTTCCCACTGGAAGCACCTGCCCGTGGCTCTTGGTACTCTAACGCTAGCACTGCGCTAGATCTCTGGAATGGCTCCCAGCAAAGTGTATCAACCTGGGTAAGCTCTGAGGGACAAAGAGCATCAATTGGTGCTGCTATGATAACATGTGATGAGTCGCTCGGACATGGAATATGTGAATCACATCAGTCTTGGGCCCCTCTTTTGTTCAATACCTGCTCTGTATTTGCTCGATGGCAACCGATGGAAAGCTTTATCAATCCTAGTATAGATAAATTCGTTCACCTATCAGGATCTGATAGCCCCGATAGGAGCTTAGATAAGTGGCTACGAAGCAATTATTCTGATTTTGACCTGCAAAAGGTTCGAATTGATGCTGATTGGGCGAATTCTGCATTGCCGCCGGAAGCTTTCACTCATATGGACACTGCCTTTGGTGTTGTAGTTACCATTTTGATTGCAGACGCAATGGCTAGAAGTGGCAAGAGCAAGCCTGTCATCCTTAAGGGAAATTCCGCATCCGCACCATGGTCAGATCCACGGGATTTTCCAGAATGGAATCTTTTTTTCCATGATATCCTCTCGTTTGAAGATTCGGAAACAAACCCCGAAGAGTTTACCCCTATCGACATACGACAGTGGCGCAATGGCTACAGTTACTCTCTGACCGGTAGTACCAGACGTCTCGCTTTCGGCATCCTTCTTGTACACATTCTATTTGCGCTGATCCACACAACACTTCTTATATGGATAGGATGGAGTTGCGATATCTTCAAATCTCTTTGCGAAATTGTTGCGCTCGCTATTAATTCGTCTCCGACTCCAATTTTGGAAAACACTTGTGTGGGAATCGCAAGGTTGGATACTTATAAACATATCGTGAAAGTGAGAGAAGTTTCGGAACAGCATCTGGGTTTGGTTCTGGCGGGAGAGGAGGGAAGCTCCAAGGTTGTGGTTATGGGGAAGATGTATGGAAATGTGGGAGTTAAAAAGGGTCATCTGAAAGTTGAGTAGTGGGTATTGGTGTGTGTGTGTGTGTGTGTGTGTGTGTGTGTGTGTGTGTGTGTGTGTGTGTGTGTGTGTGTGCTGATATTGAGGAATTATTCCTTGTTGTGTGAGCAGAAAGAGGATCTTCTATAACAAGATCACTGTTAAGAAGCTTCCAAGAGCATTTCCATACTTTTTCTCCCCTAGAAACCACATCACTCTTGTATAAATCGCTGGGATACACGCGAGTACCATGCCAACAATATTAAAAATCATCCAAGCATCAGAACGTCTCGTCTGTCAGAATTCCCACCCATACCTTTAAACCCGGTTGTTAGCAGGGAGACATCATCCTAGCACAGCCGTGCATTCATGCCAACACCCTTTCCCTATATATTCCAACGGAAAAGCATAAGCTAGTCATTACATTTAACAATATGAGGACTAACTCAAACTGTAAGATTATACAGGAGAGCTATTGACCGCAGCGACAACTTGGAGATTTTTATTCCGTGTCGGCAGATTTTCTTCACCGTTGTTTGAAGAATAGATTCAATTATTGCTACCATTATCTACTCTCATATCTGCTTCGTATCTTTTTCCGATATACAACATTGTGAACCAGTATATCAAAAAAAAATTCATCTCATTTTGAAACTATGCAGTACTTTTGGGTTGTGCTTCTCAAGAGACAAGTTTGATTTGCAAATGGTTTGTGGAGAGCGAATGGCGGTTATGTTATGTACCTAGTATAAGGTAAAAATTACTAAGAGAGAGAAAATTTGACAAACTTCTTATAGCTCATGAGAATCTATAATACTTGTTCTACTCGAGGAGTGGATAAATGATTAAGATAATTTGTAAATGATCGTGTGGTAAACTCGTGATTGGTCGTATTCTCATTTTCAGACTGATACTCAATGTACTCAGGATGCCCAATCTGGGATCCTGCCACCCCTGCCATTTCTGGCTTTACGTTTAACTCTTTTTCGCGGTCTTTTTTCCTTTTCCTTTTGGATTCTTATGATTTCTTGAAGATCCTGGTGTCCCGGGATATTTCCAGACTCGAATGCATCCTTTACAACGGCAGTTACGCAATGATGATATGGGTATGTATCGTTTTCATCCCACACTTCATCGTCGTAACCCCTCTTCATAGGGTGGCCGAAAGAAAACCCCCTTTGATCATGCTCCGCTATCGATCCGGGTAGATTCAACATCGTATTTGATAACCCTCCAATAAATCTAGCGAACTCATCAGGGCTCTTCATACAACAAGCATACGGGTCGGCGCCGTGCTTAAGCATCAGTACAAAAACTTCAACCCATTTCGTGGAGAGTGGTGAGATCTCCGAATTGCTCTTAGACACAAGAACGTGAACCAGATAAATGACATACTCCCAGATTGTATGAAAGCTATTGACATGCTCATTCGGGTCAGCGCCATTAATGAGTAGCTCCTCAAGCACGACAATATTGGGAATCAGATTACCAACTGCCCATTGATCCATAGACATTGCGTAAGCTAAAAGAGGCATCCCTGGCCGAGTTTTGACTGATATGTATGGTAAAGGTAATTGAGATTGACTTGCATGACGCGCGGCGGATGCCAAGCTTTGTCGAGCTTTGAGAAGCGATATGAGACCAGATTTGACAGCAATAGAATCAAGATCATCGCCCCAGTCAGGTCGGCTTTTCCCTGCCCATTTTGGATCTTTTTGTGACCAGTGTCTGAAGCCTTCTTCTTGGTCTACCCGCATGCTCAAAACTCTGTCAGCTTCTTGTATCAGTTCGAGAGCCTCGTCCACAACCTTGGAATTTTGCCAAGGGAATTGACGAAGCTTACTCAAAAATTTGACTCCACTTGTGTAGATACAATCTTTAGGATTGAGCTTGATATCAGTAACATGGGCCATCAATAATGAAAGTTCAGGGTTGAAGGAAGTATCGATTGTATCTTTTTTGATCTCGTCCCAGTTTCTAGATTGTTCTAAGAAATCCCTCGCTGTGCGGTGGAGATATACTATCCTTACTTGTGCCGAAGAGAGCTCTTCGGTGCGGATAGTATGGTACCAGCCTGAGATATCTCCTCCCCATTGCACATGCAGCCATAGTGCATAGGGACGTATAATGTCTTCCAATGTTATCGTCTTAGCTTTGAATTCCTCTTCGAAATGCTCCACATCAACGCGATATCTAATTTTCCGCATGTAGCATCTCGCCCTAGCATATGTCTCAACGAAGTCTCGACAGACGCCACTTCTAATGGAACCAAGCAGCTTCGGCATCTCATCAATAGATGGTGTACTTAGAGCCTTTCTGCGTCTTGTACCAAAGAAATATCCCATTGTATTCCGTCTTCTCGATTCTAACCACCATGGTACCTGCATAGTTAGGTCTGTCCTTGTTAATCCAGAAATCAGATCACCGGCAACATCTATCCTTGGGTCTTTTATTCCCCTCGCCAGCTGCCTCGCTGCTCTTGGTTTGCTTGCCAAAGTTCCGCCAGGAGCTGGGAAAAAGTTTGTTGCCGAAATTTGGATGTGTTTCCTAAACTCCTCAACAATATTTACGTCGGAATCGTATGCGTCGAATTTCTGTTTGTTGTCTCCCACATCACTCTTTAACATATCATTTGAAATATTGCGTGTTATCATTTCGCCGTCATGCTGGTCCGCTATCTCAATGAGTCCACGGCATCTACTGGCAAGGCGCAGCCTTGTTTTATTCGTTTTCACGAGCCTTTCGTCCATGGACTCACTTTCTGTTGCAGCCTCCATAGCTATTATGGGATGGTGTGAGGTGAATTGTAACGCATTATGTAGAGTGATCGCGTCCAAATCATTGCCACTTGCTCTAAATATTTGAAAAATCTTCGATGCATCTTCACGAAACTCCGGTTCTATCTTTTGGATGATATGAGAGAATAAATTCTCAAGATCTACTGGCAGGCTTTCAAGTCGTTTCCGAAGTTCAATCGCACCATCTCCACACCGGAACCCATGGATGAGCGATTTGACGACGAGAATAACCCAGAGAAAGACACCTTGTGCTCGGTGAATGATTTCTTCAATTAGCCAACTTGTTGTATCCAAATCATCACTTATGAACTTTCGCATCTGTTGATTTTGCTCCAACTTAGCAACGACATAGTTCTTAATGTCATCACGAGTGAGATCTTCTAGCTTTAATGCGCATGCATCTTGAAACACTGACGAGAAGTCCGGTAATGGCCTGCTCGAAAAGCAAAACTTCGTGAAGGGGGATTCGTTGGCGAGGTCGAATGAGTACTCTGCCATATCACCATGAGCTCCTTCGTACTCGTCTAAGCCATCCACAAAGATGCAGACTTTGAGTGAAGGGCTGGACATGCTGACAAGGCTTTTGAACGCTTGCTGTAAGCGGCCAAGAGACCATTCATCAATTTGAAATTGTAGATCATGTGTTTCTAAGTCGCACATTCGCACCCATTCCTCGTGAAATATCTCTAGAATGAGATCCTGGTGTTGTCGGAGAAGACCATATAGAAGTGTTCGTAGGAGTCCGATGTGAGATCGTTGTCTTTCTGTCCCACTTATCCAAAAATAAAATGCACTCATTATTATTTTGGAGGATCCTGCCCATTTCTTCGACAAGATTGCGGTTTCCGGGTGCTCATATATGTAACGCATTAAAGTCGACTTTCCACTTGCTGGTTTACCATGTATCCAATAGATGCCCGAACTTTCAGAGAGCCAAGTTGCGAAATTGCTCCATGGTTTTTGGTGAACAGTGGGATCTCTGAAGATCCACTCAAAGCTGCTTTGATATGGAGTAGCTGTCATATCTGGTCGATGATTCATGTCTGAAAATCGAAGGGACTCTAAGATAGCGAGTCGGACCTTTTGAGCCCGTCGAACTCGCTGTCTATTATCACGCTCCACTAGCTCAAAGCCAGCCTGGCGGTTCTGTTCCACTAATTGTCGAGATAAGACCAAGTTCTCGTTGCAGTAGACTCTTGATTTAAGTAACAAGTCGATGATATTCTTGGTGTCTTTATTTAAAGATTCAAAGCTATAACTCTGCTTAGCGGTCAATAGACCAAGTTTTTGAAACTCCAATTGCTGAGAAAGACTCAGTCGTTCAAAACGACGAAGGAAGTCCTGATCTGAGGATTGCATCTTGAGGACCTCATTCAAAACTTTCTTGGTATTATCGTCCAATTTTTGGAAATGATTCTCTGCTGCAGATGACATTGAATCCGAACCATCTCTAGAGACACAATCAATTTATCGTTCGGTTATATCTTGAAGACAAAATAGGTACTGACCGCAATAGCAGAAGCAACTCAGTGTCGAGTTCTTTTCTGAGATCTCTCAATCTTAGAGCAAATTCATCAATCTCATGTTTTGACCAAACACTTTTCAATGCCATTCGAAAGCTTTTCCATTTTGGATGCTGTGATTGGGTAGGTGCTTTCAACTGATTGAGCCGGTTGACAAGGGTATCAGATACAATCATGCATTCTTGATGTGAGGATTCATAATAAGTCCACTAAATCACTTACTAATATCTTATCAAATAAGGGATATATTGATGACTAATATACATATGATATGATCTTATATTATAAAATCATATTATCATATAGTTGTATAATAATATCTCTTATCAAATTGATTTATAATGGAATAAAATGAAATGGAACTAGATGGAAATATACAGAAAATCTCGCTAAATTGATTGGTTGTATTTTCTTTTTATTATCTAAAATGATTTTATAAGATACAATTTAAATCGATCTTATTTATAAGTATGGAATATATTGGAATTTTATTATAAACTATATAAACCTAGAATATTCTTTAAAGAAATTTTAGGAAAAAGCAAGCAATTTCATCTCAATTCAGTTTAGCTCTTCTAAATTGACTTCAATTTAACTCTTATTTTATATGTTCGATTTATTCTTATAACTTAAACTAACTAAATCTTTTATTATCCTTATAATACTATTATTCCTTTTTATTATAAAAACTAACCTCTAAGAGATTATAAGCCCAACTAGTCTAAATTAGCTTAAAAAGGGAATTAGCTTGATTTAAGGCTATATATTATATATATACTGCTATTGAGTTGTTGAATATTGAATTTTTTCGAATTAATTCAATCGAATTCATATCGAAAATTACTGTATATAGACCCTGAGGCCTGCGTCCCTGAAGCTAAATCTAATTGAGTGTATAAAATTAGGTTCCTAGATGATATATTTATGTTATATTGTTACCCATAGTGGGTGATATATCAATCTTTTTTATATCAAGGTGCTCTAACTTATTTAGTCTTTATTTTATACCAATTAAGATAAAAATCTAATTTAAGAGGTGGTTGGTTTATTCAATCCTTGAGATTAAAATCGATTTTAAATCGATTTATTTATCTAAATTCATTCAAGCTTGAAACTAGCTATATATTTAGATTAGCATTTAATTAGTATAAGATTAATTAGTTTATAAAGAACTTAAAATAGCCTTTGGTATCAATTTTAAATCTGATTCTTTAAAAGGCAGATTTAATTATATTGAATGGATTAATTGAACTAAGCTTTTTCTTGAAATAAATGGTTTTATGCTATATATTGATGATATTAAGATTCCACCTAATAAAAGTTTATATATAAACAAATCAAGAAATCCTATTTCACCTGAATTAACTATAAAATACAATGAAAGGCTTTTAGAATATCAGTAAAACGAAAGAAAGGTATTAGAAGCTATTAAATCCATAATTAACTTCAAATTAATCAAAAGATTCAAAATTAAAATTATAACTAAAAGTTTATAGGACTCCATTAATAAGATATTTGGAGAGTTTTCCATTAAATTAATGGGAAGATACCTAAATAGGCTAATAAAATCTAATTATACTAGCTCAGAAGGAATGGACGAATATACTAATTCGATCTAATCATCGTATAATTACCTAAAATCGATGAATTTCGATATTCCGGATGCCTTTATAGTATGGTTTCTTTTTAGAGGCCTACCTAGCTCTTTCGATGGTTTTGCCTTTCGAAAATACAAAGAACTAGCTAAAAATATAGCTAATATTGATCTGAATAAGCTCTTTTTTGAGCTAATATCCGAAAAAGCTAGAATACAATCTAATATTAATTTAAATACTAATAAAATAAACTTTAATAAAACTCCCTATTGCAAGTATTACTCTAAAAAGGGGTATTTAGAATCGAAATGCTTTATAAAATATTTTGAATTAAAGATTAATAAAAGAAATAATAAAAAACAATTTAAATCGAATTTGAATAGAAATTCAAATAAAGATTTAAAGAAAAATTTAAATAAATCTATTTCTAGTAAGCAATTAATAACTATAAACTATTATATAGGCTTAGTTAATCAATTTCTTAGATTTAAATATAAATTTATATTAAATTTGGGTGCTATAAAGTATTATTTATCTAATAGGGAATGGTTTATAAATTATAAGCTATTAAACAATTATTTTGTTATTATAGCTAATGGGGAAAAGCTTTGTATTAATAGTATAGGAGATATTCCTATTCTAATTAATAATAAATCAGAAGTGTTGTTGCAGGGGGTATACTATATTCCCAATATAGTCTTCAATTTTATTAATTCGAATAAAATAGTTTAAAAAGAGTAGTTTAGTTATATTATTCCTCCGGGAAATAAGATTGATATTATTTATAAAAAGACTAATATACAAACTATAACTTCCTGGTTAATTAATGTATATTATCTTAATTTTAAAGTAAATTCTAAATATTTTAAAAGTATTAATACCCCTGAAATTAAAGAGAAATCAATTCAAGAATCGGATTTATTATTAAATAAAATCAATCTTAATTTAATTTATAAAAAATTAAATTATATAAATAAAAATTATATCATTAAATCCTTAAATATTCAATCAGATATAACTAAATCTGATTTAGATATATATGAATTATGTAAATTTGGCAAATTCTATTAGAAAATAAGTAAGGAATCTTCTAAAATCCTTAAAATAAGTTTTAAATTCGAAAAATTCAGTTTAGATATAACTAGACTCTTTAGAATTATAAGAATTAAAAGTGAAAAATACTTTTTAGTATTTATCAATTAGGCTATTAGAACTATTTGAGTATATCCTATTAAATTCAAATCCCAGACCTATAATATTCTAATAAAGTTCTATAATCTAATTAGAAATCAGTTTAATATTAATATTAAAATACTAAAATTAAACAATACTCTTGAATTCTTTTCAAATAAATAATCGAATTTTATTCGAAATCATGGGATTATATATGAATATATAAGCCTGTATACTTATTTCCAGAATAAAATAACCGAAATACTAAATAGATATATAGTTAAAAGATTAATCTATATAATTAAGAAAAAAGAGATTTTATTCTATTTATAGTTATATTTAATTAAAGTTATTGTTTATATCAAGAATAGAATATATAATAGTTTTATTAATAATTTATTATTTGAATTAATATATAATAAGAAATCCAATTTAAGTTATATTAGAATCCTAGGCTTTTTTATTTATATTATTAATAATAAAAAGATTTATAATAGAAAACTAGATTTTAAAACTTGGAAAGGTATATTAGTAGGTTTTGATTTATCTAATAATTACTTGATTTATATTCTGGCTAATAAGAGAGTAATTAGCTCGAGAGATATCGATATTCAAAAAGATTTTATATATTCTAATAAATATAAAAACCAGAATCTAAAGTTATTAAAAAAAAAAGATCTCGAATTTCAATCTATTTAAGATAATATAGAGAATGAAGATATTATTAGTATTAATAGATATCAAGCTAATCCCGAAATAAATGAAAACAGTGAAAGTACTAAAACAATCGACTATATAAAGGTTAATCCCGGTAAACCTATATCTGGTAAACCTATGCCTGATGAGATAATAGAATCTAATATATAGTAATCTAAGTATATAAGAGATCTAATTCCTGATAATAAAGATCTTGCTAAAGATAGAAAACATGTGATTTCCTATTGTAAACTTACTTTTTCTGGATACTTTAATTTAATCAATAAGAGGGTGAATATTAAAATAAATTAATAATATCTTTATATAGACAAGGGAATTCATTTAAGGGAATTTACTTCAAAGGATTCACTTCAATACAATGACAACTGTATTAAGGATATTAGACAAAAGTAAAGGAGACTAGCTCTTTTAATAGTGCCTATATAAGGCCTACTATTTCCCTTATTTAACTAGCTCCTTAGATTAAATACAAATAGATATTTAGGGGTTTATACATAATAAAAACTACATTTTCTATATCTCTTTCAAATTAATATTAATTAATAATATTACAAATTACTTTACTTATTTATTCAAAATATCTTTTTACTTTTATTTCTTTTATTTCCTGTTATTAGCACTATAATGTTCCAAACAAGTACTAATACTAATTTTAAATAAGCCAGTAAGAAACTCGAAATTAACAAAAAACCCAATACTAATAAGAAACCAATTCTATTTAATCAATCCATCGGTATAGGAGAATATATTAATATAATAATTGATAATACTAATCCTCTATAAACAGATTTCAATATTTCTCTTTATAAAGATTTGGATCTAATTAATACTTCTTTTTATTTTTATTTCATTACTCTTCTTAATCCTTATATTCCTTTTAATAAAGTATTAATTGAAGAAAAAAAAGCTTAGAAAATTAAGGATTTGGAATTCAAAGAAAAACCTTAGGATTATTTTTTTTTAAAAGATTTTAATAAAGTTAGGTAGTTTTATAAAGGATATATATTCAGGTTGGGAATAGAATATTAAATTAATAAATACTTTCTTTTTAGAACAATTGTATATTCGAATATAAGAATTATTAATATATTTCTTTAGAATATAATCACATTCGATTTCGATTATATTTATAAAAGTATATTAAGGAATATTAATAAACTAATATTACATAATTTTTGTATAATCTTATAATATTATAAAGTTTATATTAATATCAATACAAATATCAAGAATATTTTTATAAAAACATTTGATTATAACAAATATTACAATTGGATTATAAATCAACTCCTGGAATATCAGTTTAATAAAACACAACTATTTATATTAACAAAATGAGCTTACCTCCTTATCGGACTTGGTTCGAGACTATAAACCGGATCTTCCGGATCTTAGAATAGTGATATAGCTGATCAACTAACTTTGCCGAAATCTAGTAAAGTTGCAGGTAATATAATGGGAGGATTAGCTTTATTCCAATCTCCATTCTAATCTAGGGATATACAAAATACATTTTTATTAGATTCTAGAGTTCCATTGATTGATACTCCTATAGGATTATTTGATAATAATGATAATTCAGATAATAATGATAGTAATGGGAA